GAGCGCTCCGTGACCCGTCTGTATGCCAACCTCGTCCAGCTTGGATACTTTGACAAGAAGAACCAGTACCGCTCGCTCGGCTGGAAGGACGTCGTCAAGACTGATGCTTGGAACATCTCGTATGAGGCTGCTGTTGAGGGTATTGTCCTGCTCAAGAACGACGGCACACTGCCTCTGTCCAAGAAGGTCAAGAGCATTGCCCTGATCGGACCGTGGGCCAATGCCACCACCCAGATGCAGGGCAACTACTTTGGCACTCCTCCATACCTCATCAGCCCTCTCGAGGCTGCCAAGAAGGCTGGTTACAAGGTCAACTTTGCACTTGGAACCGATATCGCCAGCACCAGCACTGCTGGCTTTGCCAAGGCTATTGCTGCCGCCGAGAAGTCTGATGCCATCATCTTCGCTGGTGGTATCGACAACACGGTTGAACAGGAGGGCGCTGACCGCACGGACATTGCTTGGCCCGGCAACCAGCTCGACCTCATCAAGTCGCTGAGCAAGCTCAAGAAGCCTCTCGTTGTCCTCCAGATGGGCGGTGGCCAGGTTGATTCATCTTCTCTCAAGAGCAACAAGAACGTCAACTCCCTTGTCTGGGGTGGATACCCTGGCCAGTCTGGAGGTGTCGCTCTCTTTGACATCTTGTCCGGCAAGCGTGCCCCTGCTGGCCGATTGGTCTCGACTCAATACCCGGCCGACTACGTTCACAGCTTCCCCCAGAACGACATGAACCTCCGCCCTGATGGAAAGAAGAACCCCGGACAGACTTACATCTGGTACACTGGCAAGCCTGTCTACCAGTTCGGTGACGGTCTCTTTTACACTACCTTCAAGGAGAGCTTGTCTGGCAAGTCCAAGAGCCTCAAGTACAACGTTTCTGAAATCATTGCTGGTGCTCACCCTGGCTACACCTACAGTGAACAGGTTCCCGTCTTCACCTTTACTGCCGACATTAAGAACTCTGGCAAGACTGCGTCCCCCTACTCTGCCATGCTCTTCGTCCGCACTTCCAACGCAGGCCCTGCCCCTTACCCTAACAAGTGGCTGGTTGGATTCGACAGACTTGCTGACATCAAGCCTGGTCACTCCTCTACGCTCAGCATCCCCATCCCCATCAGCGCCCTTGCCCGTACCGACTCTCTTGGAAACAAGATTGTCTACCCTGGCAAGTATGAGCTGGCTTTGAACACTGACGAGTCCGTCAAGTTGGAGTTTGAGCTTGTGGGCGAGGAGGTGATTCTCGAGCACTGGCCCCTGGACCAGCAGCAGATTCAGGATGCCACTCCATAGATGTATGATTTTGTTATGATGGGACAGTAGTAATATTGAATGAAAAGAGTCGTATTTTGTTTTACATGAAAGACGTTGTCCATTGCGTCTGTGAATTCTGGCTAAGATATTCTATAATTTGCCAATTGAACATGACGCCTATGACTGCCGGAGTTTTGGTGTCACTATCTCGGCTGTGGCTGTTCTCGATGCAAATACCCATGTAAATTTGCTAACGGTTATTGGATACAAACCACAAGGGTAGACAAGAAGCTTATGTGCTCAAGTCCCACCTAGTAGACCGGACCCGTGTGATGAAGTCTTGGTGAATTTGCAACCTTGATCATGCCATAAGCTCCTTGGCGGATCGACATTGAAGAGAGCAGCTGATTCGCCGCCAGTTTATGCTGATGACGGCTCATTATGCCAACAGAGAGTTATTCATGCTAATAACGGAATTTGCCAGCTCGTCAACTTTACCCATACTCACACGTAGACGGCTATTCACGCGCTTACAACCCTAGGGCTCACTGCAATTGGCCATTCCACAGGCAACAAAGTTATACTGCGACGATCATCTGCGAGTCTCGCTATTTACAATTTGGAAGAATCCAAGCCAAGGACTTCGGCTGGGTTTACCCCAACATATTGTGTGCCTGTCACTTGGGGTCGCGTTTTAAAGTGGCAGATCACCTTCTTGTTCGGTGATGGCGCCTATCTTATGACAAGAACACTTGCCTTTTGCGGTTTCCCCGGAATCGCGTCATGCAATTTGCATTGTCAAATTCTCAATCGATGCTTAAAGGCTACTTTATTCATGTCGCTGAGAATTTTGAGCAATTGAGGCGCCAAAGTGAATATTGACGCAGAAAGCATAAAACAGCGTCGTCGGCTTCAGCAGTTCAGTACCGCGTATACTGTACTGTATCTTGACACATAAATCGATTTCTAGCTCACAGCCTCAGATTGACAACAGCTGGTGGCGGCATTTGGTTTGACAAGTGAATTGGACAATATGTTCACATGCCCCAGATCCCAGAGAACCCTCGCCCATCGCGGCCTTGTCCCGGCCAAGAAAACATGTAACCTTCCGTAGTAGCCACAAGATGTAGCCTATTGTGGTATCGTGGCAGAAACGGAATCCGCACTAATGCGAGCTTGTGGAAAAAATGACTGTATACTCCAACGTTCCCCTACTTGTATATCTCCGTGTGGGTGGTATTGCAACGATTGAGTTTGCCCGCAATCTTGCCGAGCCCATGGAAATCTCTGTAACGTTATCAGGCTCATTGAAACCTTGGACAAGGGCTTAGAGCTGGGTTTGAGCAGTTCAGAGGGAGTTACCTAACGCCACCATGGAAACACGTATAAATGGTGGGCATGCGGCTGCTCTTCTGGTCCTTGTCCTCTGAGTGTCTTGGGATCATCTCCAATCTGTAGACTCTTACCGAAATGCGCTACACATCCGCAGCAGCGCTGGCAATTGCCGCTGCGCCCTTTGTGAGGGCAGACAGTTAGTATCCCAAAACTCTATATAGAGGTGCCGGTAATGAGTCAAAAGTATGAATGCTGAAAAGTGGTCAATAGGCAAAGTTGTACCTCCTGCAGGTACTCCTTGGGGTGTCGCATACGGCAAGGCACAGGCAGCACTGGCAAAACTCACCCTCCAAGACAAGGTCGGCATCGTGTCTGGCGTTGGCTGGAACCAGGGGCCCTGCGTTGGAAACACGTCTCCAGTCTCAAAGATTGGCTATCCCTCGCTATGTCTTCAAGATGGACCCCTCGGTGTTCGATTCTCATCAGGCAGCACGGCCTTTACACCAGGTGTCCAGGCCGCCTCAACATGGGATCTAAACCTGATCCGCGAACGTGGACAATTCATCGGACAAGAGGTGAGGGATACGGGAATTCACGTCACTCTCGGTCCCGTAGCTGGACCTCTGGGAAAGACTCCTCAGGGAGGTCGCAACTGGGAGGGCTTCAGTGTTGATCCGTATCTCACGGGATTAGCCATGGCTCAGACAATTAACGGCATTCAGTCAGTGGGAGTGCAGGCCACAGCTAAGCACTACATTCTTAATGAACAAGAACGCAACCGAGAGTCAATGTCTAGCAATGCCGACGACCGCACTCTTCATGAGCTTTACGCTTGGCCCTTTGCCGACGCTGTACAGGCAAATGTCGCCTCTGTCATGTGCTCTTACAACAAGATCAACACGACTTGGGCGTGTGAGGATCAGTACACGTTGCAAACTCTGCTGAAGGACCAGCTGGGATTCCCGGGATATGTCATGACAGACTGGAATGCCCAACACTCGACGGTGCAGGCCGCCACTGCTGGGCTCGACATGTCAATGCCCGGCACCGACTTCAACGGCAACAACAGGCTCTGGGGTCCGGCCCTCACCAATGCAGTCAACAGTGGCCAGGTGCCCTCCAGCAGAGTTGACGATATGGTGACGAGAATCCTCGCTGCGTGGTACCTGGCAGGCCAAGATGCGGCAGGCTATCCGTCGTTGAGCCTCAGCAGGAATGTTCAAGGAACTCACAAAACCAACGTGAGATCAATTGCCAGAGACGGCATTGTTCTCCTCAAGAATGACGGCAACATCCTGCCGCTGAAGAAGCCCGCAAGCATTGCCGTCATCGGATCTGCTGCTATCATTGGCGCTCACGCCAGCAATTCAGGTTCGTGTGGCGACAAGGGTTGTGATAATGGCGCTCTGGGCATGGGCTGGGGTTCTGGTGCCGTCAACTACCCATACTTTGTAGCGCCATACGATGCCATCAATACCAGAGCTACCTCGCAAGGCACCAAGGTTACCTTGAGTAACACGGACAACACATCTTCGGGGGCATCCGCAGCAAGCGGAAAGGACGTCGCCATTGTCTTCATCACTGCTGATTCAGGTGAAGGCTACATCACCGTGGAGGGCAACGCTGGTGACCGTAACGACTTGAATGCTTGGCACAACGGAAATGCCCTAGTTCAGGCAGTGGCAGGTTCCAACCAAAACGTCATTGTTGTCGTTCACTCCGTCGGCGCCATCATCCTCGAGCAGATCATTGCTTTGCCCCAGGTCAAGGCTATTGTCTGGGCAGGTCTCCCGTCGCAGGAGAGCGGCAATGCTCTTGTCGACGTGCTGTGGGGAGATGTCAGCCCCTCTGGCAAGCTCGTGTACACCATTGCGAAGAGTCCAAACGATTACAACACACGCATTACTTCCGGCGACGACAGCTTCAGTGAAGGACTGTTTATCGACTACAAGCACTTTGACGACGCAGGCATCACGCCTCGCTACGAATTTGGCTTTGGACTGTGTAAGTTTACCATTGTTCTTAATGAGCTCCCAGCATGAAGTATTAGAGCAGACCAACTAACCGGGAAATCTCATCACAGCTTACACCAAGTTTAACTACTCTCGCCTCTCCGTCTTGTCCACTGCAAAGTCTGGTCCCGCGACCGGAGCAGTGGTACCTGGAGGCCCAAGTGATTTGTTCCAGAATGTCGCAACAATAACTGTAGACATTACAAACTCCGGCGCAGTTACTGGAGCTGAAGTTGCTCAGCTCTATCTCACCTACCCATCTTCAGCACCTAGAACACCCCCTAAGCAGCTGCGTGGCTTTGCAAAGCTGAGCCTCACGGCGGGCCAGACTGGAACAGCGACGTTCAACATTCGAAGACGGGATTTGAGCTACTGGGATACGAGCTCGCAAAAGTGGGTGGTGCCATCGGGATCGTTTGGCATCAGTGTGGGAGCAAGCAGTAGGGATATCCGGCTGACGGGCAGTCTCTCGGTATCATGAGGGCGAAGATGGTCAGCGAGGCATCTCTCTTGTAGTACCAGATATTGTGTATATATAGTGAGAAGAGATTTTTAACATGTGCTCAGGAATTTTAAAATGTCACTGTAACCCTGGGTGACTCGCAATATGCGTGAGAGCTGAGAGACGCTTCGTTCATTTGACTCAGAGGTGAGTTTGTAAATCTCACTTTTATAGCTACCAATAACCCGGGATATCAATTCTACCTTAAATACATACATGATCTATCAGTAGATGGCAATAAATCAAAACAGCAAAGATGACAAGTCCATCAATTAAACCACCTTCTGCACCGAGTACGTCGGCGGCATCTCTCCGCTCTCCCCGTTGAGCGTCCTCTCAAACGCCATCTCCCTCGCCGTCTGGAGCGCCGCTCGCGCATCTTTCAGGTGTCTCTCCCACTCTTTCGCCTCAGCCTCCGCGCCCTGATGCCTCTCCTGCGCTCTTTGAATCTCCAACTTGAGCACATTAGCGCAGCGCTCCACCTCGGCATTTGACCGCTTGATCTTGTTGTGGAAATCCATGTCTGAGAAGATGTTGTCAAATAGCACATCGCCGACTAAGTTGCCGTGGGAGATTTTTACAGGGGGCAAGTCCTTGATTGCGGGATCCATCCGCTGTGCGTTCATCGTGTCCATCCGGGCCTGGGAGAGCTGAACTTCTGCCTGTGAGAGAGCATTTCGCTCCATCACGTCGGCCATGGTACCGCCGCCAAACATGTCGAAACGAGACGCCGATAGCGCATCTTGCATGGCTTTTAAGGCATTGCCCATGCGCTGTTTCGCCTGCTCTAGCATCTTGATGGCTTGGATCTGGCTCTCTGCACGCATGCGAGCCTCCTGGTAGTTCACCTGCGCTGATGTGCAAGCCTGCTCTCGCTCGTCTTCCTCCGGAAACTGAGGCGTGGGCCCCGAGAAAATGTCGTTGTAGAGGCTATCCAGCTCCTGCTGTGCAGTCTTGTGTCGCTGGACGACAGCTTCAAGTTCGGCTGATGCTTGTCGCGCCTGGGCGAGCGCCGACTCGATGTTCTTCTTCACCTCAGTCTCTTTGTGCTCTTCTTGTAGCACGTCAAAGTATTCGCGCTCTTCTTTGGCGGCGCGAGCCTCAAACTTGTCCTTTTTGCCACCGATCTTGTACACGAAGCGCCGGACGACGCTGTCACGGTAATTCTCATGCTCCCTCAGCTCGACTGCATGTTTGCTTTTTAGAGTCGCGAGTTTGGCTGCGTTCTTTCTTGCCTGGCTTTCCAAGTCGAGAATGTACTTTTTCTGGTTTTCAAGGTCGGGTATTCCATGATCTGTTACGGACAGGACGCCAAGTAACTCATGATTGCGAGTTGCGGCAGAGCGAATCTTGTCTTCAATTGAAGCCATGGTGGTGAGACTATTGTTGTTCGTGATAATCTTTCAGTGTCTCCGCTCTCTTGCAGTTATTTGAGGTTTGTGAAACTTTACGCTGCTTCTTATACACTTCTCAAATCTGCCTCATACGGCTAATCAGGTTCATTGTTGGCTGGTTGCCTCCTTGCGCCTCAACTTTGACCAGCAGCGCCACGCTCTAAAGGGGATCAACCATTGATGGTGTTGGGTCCGTTTGTTCTTGGCGCTGCGCCTCACACCCATGTTCCATTCGCTTAGAATAAGCTCCCGCTGGAATGCGTATCCGAGTTGGCGATCGGATCTGGCTCTGCAGAATTCCAAATAAGCTTAACATACAGTACCAACGCAGCTATTCGTATCAAATAAAGACTAACACACATTGGTCTCTCACGCAGAGTTGCGATCATAACCCATATGAGAAAATGAAACACGGTCGTATTTCTCTGCTTTTATTCTCATGGGGTCAACACCGACAATGCCCAAAGAGGCAATTACCGGGAATGGGTTGCATGCGGCTGTGGAGGCAAGGGTGATTGCCTGAATTTGATGTCATTCGCAAGTTTGCCTTGCCGGCGATGCCCATGTTGAAGGTGTAAATTGAGGGTAATATTTGCATTAATACAAGGTCTTGGTTGTCTACCATGAAATTAAGCGCAGAGCCTTGGGGTCCGCAGATGCATTACATGTAGTCAGGGATTACCCTGTAGTCAAAAAGATAAAGAAGCAGAATGTAGAATTGAAGAGACAAATTAACGGCCACGTGCAACCAAGATGGAAGATAAGCAATTAAAATTCAAATTGACGAAATCACATATGGTATTGCTGGGATTAACGAAATTTGTCATGAGTATGTCTCAGCCTCGGATATCGGTTCCCAGCCAATTTTGGACGAGATAGTATTAATGCCGCAGCATTTTGTAGCCATATTCATGCTACAAGTATTGTATGAGGAAGCAATGATCCGTTCTGATTTGTGTCGCTATTTACTCTAACATCTATAATCGACATTCGCGCGTGAACCCTCGCTATCCAACACACAGTGAGATGAAATCTAGACTTGACCAATAGCTTCCTTTGCCTTTTGTAAATCTCCTGCAACCGCTGCCAAATGTAGCACGTCCGCCGAACATGTGATGAATGACATTCGCTTTGCTGCCTCTTTGATCGCCCCGGGGCCTCCAAATGGAGGTTCGACAAAAGCAAAGCCTCCATATGGCTTGTCGTGCTTGTCAATGATGGAAAAGAACTTTTCTTTTGCCTCGAGCCACTCCTTCTCCTGGCCGGCCATGTTGCCAGAGAGGTTCATGCTTACACGAGCATCCAAGGCGCCGAGCCAAACTATATCGATATCGGGGACTTCGGTGAGAATTGCGTCGAGGTTGTTGATACCTAGAGTAGTTGTTAGCATTATGATACAGACAAAGACAAAGTGGTGGTCAAGCACATACCTTCCAGACTCTCGATTTGAATCATGATGGCTGCTTGGTCATTGAGGTTTTGGTGGATATCGCGAGTGGCGTCAAATGCTTGATCCGTAATTCCAGGGATTAGACGGAACGGAGGAGCCGATCGAGTGCCTCGCTGCTTGGAACCAAACTTGGCAGCTGACACAACGTGCTTGGCTTGTTCTACGGTATCGACCTTGATTGGTGATACCATTTAGCCTCTGAAAATAGCTTTGTTGAAGGTTACACATACCTGGGGCACAACAATACTGGCACCAGCATCCAGAGCGTATCCAATGGCAGCGTGATCATGACCCGGTACCCGCACGAATGGAATCGTGGCACCTTGGCTCATAAAGATTGCCTCGTGCACCATGCTTGTCATTGTCTCGACATTACAGGAGCTGTGTTCCCAATCAATCCAGACGGCGTCATAGTTCATTGGTGCTAGGAATCGAGTAATGGGCAGGGAGCTGAGTCCTGCATAGTAGCAGAGGAGGGGTCGAATCTTCTTCTGGTGGGCATCTCGAATAGCATCACGAGCTCGATGAGGTTGGAAGAGGGAGGGGGCGGCATAGGCCTGCATGCCTTGGGAGGAGGTGGTGGAGGTAGCCGTAGCAGCCATTGGAGAATTTTAGGTAGTTACTGAGTCTGTGATAAGGATAAGATGAGTAGTAGTGATGGGCTAAGATGGGCAGTCAAGAGGACTTGGGAGTTGAGAGCTTTTAAATCCAAGAACCAGCTCTATACCAAGTCTTGAATATGCACAACGACTTGAGCGAGCTTTGAAAAAAGTGGGAAGAATGCTACGTTACTAGAATAGCAACAAGTGTCATGACATTGGCACGAATTCGACCTTCTGTAGCCAACTGTTGACTCATGTAGTCCGGTTTATCGCCATTATCGCCATTCTTACTCAAAAGGGCAAACACAGGCTCGTCACATACGACCAATACGCACTCGCACCCTTGACTGGTGAGCGGACTTCGTACGCCTCGTGAGATATGAACCAATCAGCGACGGTTCCTCATGCGAATGGAACACCTAAAAGAGATGCACGTCGATCGGACATAGGAAAGATGCTGACGTATTCCCGCGCTGAGCGAGAACGATTGCCTCGAAGGATTCGCCCTATTTGATCCTAAGCTTTGAGTTTTCTTGTTCTTTTTGGTTCATCTGACGTCAGATTTTAATTTATTTTAATTCATGCCATTGTATACCTTAGCATTCAAATCTTGATGGAATGCGAAGCTATCTCGAAAGAGAACACGCTTGATGCATCAACCGAGATAACAAACCCTTTTCACACTGGGTTTCATCTTGATAATTTGTCTTGATTTACTTATTCTACATATTGTTATCTCATTTTCACCACTCTGTCCGTTTCATGTGCCACTGGATGGTATCATATCTGCATGAATATCTGCATATTTTGTCGCATCCGATATCAGCGCTGTCACTCATCGTATCCAAAGGAATTGTTCATGACATTAAAATCTGAGCGGTGAATTGCTAGGTTGCATCTTGAGTGTTGCCCGCAACGGAAAGCTATCCCGAGCGGTGTGGAGTTGGAGATTCCTTACGGTTTTTGCAGCCCTATGAGATTGTTATGATCCCTGTCAAGCCTCATAACCGAGCTCCTGGTGCGCTCTGTGGAGGGAGCTATTCGCTGGCGCCGCATGATAGTCTGAATGTAGCCTTATGCACGGCTAGCTAGACCATTAGTTAGCCAGATGAAGCTCTAGACCATCAGCTAGCTAGATGAGCTAGACACTGCCTCATCCTTCATACGCTTAATGACACAGTGATTTGGATATCGTACCAATGATGATCTAGCATGTGATTGTACCGCTCCTTCAATGTGGATAAAAAGGCCGGTTCCCCTCATCTCTGATGATGGTGAAGGATTGCGGAGATTGTAGAGTTTTTTAATCCATTTGACATAATACTGATACAAAAAATCCAATCCCCCATCACAAACTGTCAGCATGAACTCGGGTACGCGACTAGTTCTGAAATCCAACTATACTTCAACATGTGCAAATCCCTCTCGATATCACCCATATCTCTAAGATTGATATACCGTTCCATCATCGGGCATCTCGCCTGTCAGTATATAGTTGTTCACCATCTTGGCCAATTCTCCAGGCGTATTATAGGTTATATGACCAGTCCAATTCTTGAATACGAGCACTGCCTCTGGCATAATTGAACGTAGGTTGATCGCGTTCTGAGCGCTGGTTATAGGATCCAGGAATGAGCTGATCATCAATACTGGATGTAGTTTGTTGATATAATCGGGAATTATTGGCTGGTTCTTAAATAGTACTCCCTCTTTTGGTAACGGCCATGAAATGCATCTGGAAAAGAAACTGTAGCTCTGAGAGTATCCACGCGTGAGTGGCGAAAGTATTCTCAACGTACGCTGAGCGGCTTGGAGCTCAAGATAATCGTTGGCGTGTTGCCAATCCAGACAGCCAGTAGCAAGTGTAGCCCATGTTCCCGAAGGATCGGTATCGTTTGTAAACCAGGGCATCGAAAAGGCAGACGCATCGCCTTGGGATGCTGCCAAGAGGTTGGTAGCTAAGGAACCCCATCCGGGCTGCCCTGGTCCCAGATCTCGTTGTAAAGCCGTCATCATCTCTTCCAAGCTGACGTCAGATCGACATGCTCCTTCGCCAGTCTGTTGGCACTTTGGTGCTGGGATTGGCGCGGCTTCGAACTTGGCCACCAGCTGCTTGAAGAAATCCTCAACATCGTTCTGATCATGTAGTGCACAAGACGCATCTTCTTGACACCACTTGAAGAAATGCCTGAGCGTCATTTCGAAAGAAGCGGATTCTGCTTGCATGACTGCCATTGGATCATGTGTATGATCTACAATCCCGTCCAACACAATCCGGCCGGCATAAGGGAGAGCCCTTTCCAAGTTGGTGATGCCAATATGCGACCCGTAAGAATTACCAATCAAGTGTATCTCCTGATCTATGTTGAACCACATGTTATATCGTATGCTGTCCATGTCCAGGGAAATCGACCGGGTGTCCATATTGTCAAATAATCGGCCCGTCATCTTTTTGCAGGCTTCTCCAACCTCCTTCCAGTGGTAATACATGTCAACAAATTCTACCTCATCCTTGACCATAGAGGGCGCTCGGCGATTCCATAGAGTTGCGTTGCATTTCATTGGTAGACTCTGTCCTGAGCCTCGAGGGTCCATGCCTACTAAATCGTACTGTTCGAGGAGTTCGTGCACATGATGCGATGGGTCATCAAGATATTGCTTTAGAAGGTTGATTCCGGATCGTCTAGGCCCACTGGGAAGAAATACAGCAGCCTTGGGCTTCTTCAATTTTGAGCGGATGCGCATCACTGCGACTTTGGTAAACATGCCATAATTTCTGTTATAGTCGAGGATGTCACTGTGCATAGCACATTGTGTGTTCTCCCGAGGAGGATCACATTCTTCCCACCAGAGTGGTCGATTTTGGGCAAAGACTGGAAGTGCTACTCCCAGTAGAAGCACTATGGATCGAAGTGTTGATGGTAGCATAATCGCTTTTGTCGATACAGGGGCGTGGATCGACGATGGGTGAAGCGGTCGCTCGAATTCCAAAATATTATGCGAGCGAGTATATGGCAGTTTTTGTTGTGAAAAGGTATGGTAGGATGGAAGATGCCTCCCGAAGAAAGGAAACATCAAACAGAGTAAATTGACGCGGAGGAAGAATGTGAAAAAAATGGTCGAGATCTCATACACTAGTCAGGATTCAAGTAACCTAATCATGCACAACTAGGTTTCATTGTGATCCAAATTAACTAGGAAAAGGCTTATATAAAAAACGTAGATAACGATATATGGTTTGGGGCGCACGCTTCTTACACGGAAAAGCATGAGTGATGTTGAACTTTGGCTATTTGCGTCTTTGCATGCTGAACGTTGCTTTTGCCTATCAAAGGCCTTTTCACTTTTGCGGCTTGAACATACTTTCTAGTATATGGACAGCTATTCTTTGGTACAAGATTTATGGCATTGTACCATTTGCAAGCTGAAAGGCAATCTTGATCGCATACACTTTGGCTCTAGCTTTTCGCTAATATCTGCCACTTCTTTTTATCAAAGAGCACTACCGGATGCAAAATTAGTAATCTTGTAATTTGGATAGCTGTATCTAGTAAGTGTGTACAATTCGGAAATATTATGAGGAGTTCCATGAATAGGCACGGCTCTGTACCCAAATCAGCATATTGAGTAATTCTCGACATAGGGATGGTAGAGAATAAATAGCGTTCACAAAATAGCAAAATCATGAAATAAATGGTAAGGCATGCGATCAGCTGCCGCGAAATTGAGATACGAGATGGCCTACCAAAGGTCATCAACGGCCGCCGGCGGCCGCTCCATCAGTTACCACGATGTAGTAAATCATCACCCCAAAAACGGGTATTCTCCGCCAGATGTGTCGGTATACACTTTGGTGAAGGCTGTTCCAACATTAAAAATGCTTAACAAACGCATTCTATGATCAAAATAGTATAGAGATTTCTCGGAGTTAACATAACTCCAGGCTAGCTGATGTCCGCACATGCTTGTTTATAACTTAAAGTGCTATTCCAGCAAATTTCTCCACCCATATTGGTCAGGCTTGTTGAAATCTTGGTCAGCAGTGGTACCACCATCTATACTGTGTTTGACTTTACTTCCAACGCAGAAATTCTTATTTACAGGAACTATTAGCTAGATGGATTCATTCTAGGGAGCCAGAATCACAATTCACTTGCAACCATTTGACAGCATATTATTTCGTGACGTTATTACGCTCTACTGACATGATGAAAGAGGCCACGGTTAATCCAGACTTATCAGTCACTATTCATGACAATGTGCCGTTACCTGGTCCATCACCGACTCAAGTATTAATCAGAATTGTATGTTCTGGCTTTAACCCCAAGGATTGGAAAGAGCCGTACTTTCATAAGATTGAAAGTAACTCTGGAGATGATATGGCTGGCTACGTGGAAAGTGTCGGTAAAGATGTGGTTGGCTTCCAAGTTGGTGTTTGTTTGTTTGTTTGTTTATTTTATTATTAACGTCCACTAAGTAATCTAGTTACATAAGTCCTTATCTAGGCACTAGGACGGTAGGAGCCGCTGAGTTTAGATCGGGCGTTCGCTACGTTTTAATGTAATAAAGGAAAAGGGGATGTGTTAATCTGTTTTACGTATCTGTTTCTGTAGGGGGGGGGCTGTATGGGCTTGTGTCCTCTACTAGTTTTTAAAAGTCCTTATACCCTCTGTTACCGAGGAGGTATTGGATATAGGTGGTTCCGAAGCGTGCTTCCCTTTCTGGTACATTAGGGAGGAAAAGGGCTACTATATAGTACTTTACGAAGTATCTTTATATCCTTAGTTCCCTATATTTATAAGTAGGCCTGGTATTATATCTAAATCTTTTATGGTATTCTGTAAAGTCCCTGTGTTTAGATTTTTTAGCTAGTAGCTTATGTAGGATTAGGCGTAGGAGATGTAGTTTAGGGGGTATAGAGGGGGCTTATAAAGGCCCTATTTACTGGTTTTATAGGACTTTGGGTAGTTGCTTTTTTAGTTGGCGTCCTGTATTTTCCTGCGTTTTTTTTTTACCTACCTTTTAATAAAGGTAATAGTAAAGTAGTTTCTTAAGAGGTAAGGGAGTTCTGAACCCTCTTTTACTAGTTGGTTGGCTTCTTTGTTTTTTAGTACGTTTTTATGGCCTAGGACCTAGGCTACCTTTATAGTTACCCGTAGGAGTAGTTTCTGGGTGATTTAGCGTAGCCTTATATAGGCTCCTTAGGATAAGGCGGGAGTTAGCCTTAGTATTTTATCTACTACTGCTAAGTTATCTAGGAAAAGCAGAATCTCTTAAATATTTAGGTTTATAAAGGCGCATATCCTAGCTAACTTTATAGCTTTAAAGGCGCCTACTGCCTTAGCGTTATAGACCTCTACGTTAGTAAAGGGACTGTATATTATAGTTTTTTTAAAGTTATAGTATATAACGGCTCCCCAGCCTATATTGCCTTATTTATTCTGTAAGCTGTCTAAGTAAGTAAGGAGGGTGGACCTGGGGAGGCTGTTGAGTAGTTCTAGGTGTTTTTCCGCTGCCTTTAACTTCGGTAGGCTTTTAAAGTCTAGGCTTACTTAGACTGCTTTATTATTCTTAGTAAAAAGGGAGGGTTAGACTGTTTTTTTTATTAAGGCTGTAGTATATTATAGTTAAGTAGGGGGAACCTTAGGCAGGAGTTTTTTATTAATGCGTTTGCTAACTGGGTGGTTTTTGTTTAGGCCTGTGAAGTGAGCTGTTGTACGGAGTCTGGTTTATGCTACTTATACTAACGCTGGGGGGACTTTTAATTTTTTATATATAACGGAGAGGTTGGTTATCTTTTATACGGGGACGACTGCTTTGGCTGCTGCTTTAAATAAGGGTTCTAGGATTGCGGTTAATCTTGCTGAGCCTGTTTTTACTTATTTATTTAGGTTTATTGCACTCTGTCTGCTTTTGCTAAGCTAAAACGCTTCCGTTTTATATAGGGTTATAGGGGTAACGCAGGCCTTAGCTGCTATGGCTACTGCATCTGGCGGGGATCCCTTTTATGTTTTATTTAAGGATCTTAAGAAGTTAGCTGCTTTAAGGGCTTTCCCCTTTATAATCCTGAGGTGTTTTTTAAAGGAAAGCTATAAGTTTAGGTATATCCTTAGCTAATAGACTAAGTCCTGGGGGGCTATAGTCTTTCCTCTAAAGTCTACTCCTTTATTATATATTTAGGTTCTGGTCTTATAGAAGTATATAAATTTAGTTTTATTTAGGTTAAAGGAGACTGTATTTCTATTACTTTAGTTTAAGGTGTTTTTTAATTTTTACTAAAGCTTCTAGGCGGTTTCTTTAGTATTAGCCCCTACTGCTATAATACTAATGTCGTCTGCGTACCCGAAGTAGGTATTAGGGTTATTAAGCTTTAGGCTAGGGGAGAAATAAAGTATAGAGATAATAGAGGAGATAGGGGACCCCTGTGGGGCTCCGTATTCTAGCTCTGTCTTTAGGAGGGTAGTCCTGTAGCTATTTTAAATAAAAGTCTTACGGTTATTTATAAAAAAGTTAATCTATTTTATAAAAAGGGGGGGCTACCTTTGTTTCCTAAGTTTATAAACTAGGCGGTTACGTATAATAATATTAAATATACTGGAGATATTAAGTATAAGGAGGGAGATAATAAGACCCTAGGCTAGGGTAACTTTAGCGTTATATAGTAAGCAGGCAATTAGGTCTATTGTAAACCTTTTTAGGAAAGCTTTAAAATATTATTTTAGTAGTATTTTATATTTTATTACTAAGAGGGAAACTCTTCTAACTAGGAGTCTCTTAAGGCCTTTGCCTATGTAGGAGAGTAGGGAAATAGGTTTATAGCTTTTGTACGTAGTATATACCTTCTTTAGCTTCCTAGGTTTAGGGATAATAGTAATTTCTGCGTTTTAAAAGGGGAGTAGGTAATATTCTATTATTAAATATCTGCGGAAAAGGTTAGTTATATATTTACTAATAGTAGGCTAAGTAAGCTATAGAAGGGCGACTAATATATTATTTACGCTGGGTATAGTATTTTCTAACTTTATTATAGCTTTCTTAACCTCCGACTTTAATACTATTTAGTCTTAGTAAATATTATTATTAATAGGAAAGTCTTTTTTTTATAGGTCTAAGATATTTTCCTCTATTATCTTATACTTAAGAAGCTTATTTCTAAGGAAAGTTACTCTCTTTATAGGGTCTAAGATACTTTTGTCCTTATTTATTAGGGGGGGTGGTTAAAAGTAGTCTATTGCCTTATACTACTTAGCTACTAACTAAATATTCTTAGTAGCGCTAGCTTCTGCTATAATCTTATTTTAGTAGGTTTACTTACTGCAGCGTATAGAGTCTCTAAGGGTCTTACGGGCTTCCTCTTAGGCGGGGGAGCCGTCTGCTGCTTTTTTATAGGCTTTATAAGCTGCTTTATACTTTTCCAACTACTATAGTATACTATAGTTATTCTGGTGTCTAGTTTTGCTAGCCCCCTCTATAGTTTATTTAAAAAGGTTCTATAGGGCCTTAGTATATTTATTAAGGTTGGTTTTTGACGGTGTAGTTAGGTTAACTATAGGGAGGGTTTAAGTAAAAGAGCGTATAAGTTAGCCGAAGTCTTCCTAGTATTCTAATAAAATATATTTTTTCCCTGCCCCCGGGGTTATCCTAAGGGGCTCGGGTAGGTTCGTAATTACTATATAGTAGTCCGACCTTATATTAAGGGAGTGTTTAACCCTAGTTAACGTAGGGTAGTTTATAAAAACTAGGTTAATGTATTTTCCTAAGTGTTAGGTAGGTGTATTTATTAAAGCTAGAAGGAGATTATGCTTTTTTACCTATTCTGCGATTTTATTACCTACTGGGTTTACGCCCCTGCCTAGTTCTTAAAGTTAGTGTAAGGCGTTAAAGTTACCTATAATAATTAAGCAGGGGGGGGGAGGGCCTTATTTAGTAAGGGTCTCTGTGGCTGAGTTTACTAAAGCCCTTTAGTAGATGTTAATAATAGTATAACTATATACCTTTATTTAGTATATGTATTTGTTTTTTAGGCCTAGGGGAGAGAGTTATTTACTAGGGAGGTTTAGAGAGATTTTAATAAATGTAAGAACTAAGGGTCTGGCGTTCCTTTAATTATTTAGGGGGTTATATATTTAATATCTAAGGTAATTTTTAGTTTACCTTCTGTTTAATACTTTATTTTATTAAGCATAGGGTTTCTGGATTAGTATAATGTTATAGCTACTTTCTTATACTAGCGATAGGGCGATGTCTTAATATAGACTGCTTTTCCTAACGTTAGCTTAAAAGATTTTAAGGCCAGTATTTCTTCAGTAGCTGCAACGGGGCCTATTATTTATAGGCTTACGTTAAGAGGTCTGTTAGTTCCGGGGGGAGCGTTAAGTATGTTTTTGTCCCCTTTGGCCCCTATGTTCTTCTTTTTATCGTCTAGGCTAGCTACGTAGACTGCTGACCTAGCGGGGGAGGTTCCTTTATAGGGATCTTCCTTATTTAAGTTAACTTTAACGATAACCTTTTTAGCTGGAGCCTGAGGGGGGAAGGGTGGAGCTAAGCTGGAGATTGGCAGCCTTATGCAGGGGTCTGTTTAGGTTTTTAGGTTAGATGTTTTTTTAATATTAGGGGCTGGGGTAGGGGTAGGTTTAGGTTTAGGTAGGTTAGCTTTATTATATTCCTGCTGGTTTAATTTTTAGATTACCTAAAGTTAGGCTTTAGTTATTTATACTTTTTCCCCGTTTCTGACGACCGGTCTAGTAAAGTACTTTAGGGAGTCCGCTGTATAAGGGCTGTTATAGTTAGTATACTAAGGCAGGGATAAGTAGTTAGCTATAGTGTTATTATATTTAAAAGACAGTTTACTATATTTATAGTACCTTTTAGTCCTAGTGTAATTCCATAGGTTATAGAATTTAAAGTACTACAGGCATTAGGTGACCTAAGGGGGCTGGACCTGGATTTCCGCTAGAAGGGAGCTGCTGAAGAGTTTAAAGCTAGGTTTAACGTCTTTATTAAAAGAGATAAAGTAGCTATATATGTCGAGGGATTTTCCGAAGTTGGCTTTGCGGTAGGAGATAGGTAGGCTTTTGGCCCCTGCCCTGGTGCGTACCTCCTCTGGGATTAGTGTATCTATAGGGTAGGTCCTGCTTATGTTAGTGTACGTCTTTAATACGCTGCGTATAAGAAAAACCTTCTATATATATACTTCTTTAATTTTTAGACTATTATTTTCTGCTACTGGCTAAAGTATAATAATTTTATTTTTAATATTTTAATTTTTACCTTTAAGGGTAAAGCTTAATTAGACCTTTTGGAAGTAAGTGATATTTTTGTTTATAAGCTTTAAGATTTTAATTAGTTTTTATTTAGCCCCAATGGCCAATAGCTTTTTTTATATATAGTCTAGGGGGATTTAGATAAAGATACGGTTATTAAGGCTTTCCTTAGGTTTATTAGTTTTATTTATGTTTTTTCTATTAGTAGTAGGGGCTGGCCTTCTGCTGCTTATAGAGGAATGCTTTAGATTATTAATTCCCTTCTGAGGGTTTTTGTTGTAAGTGTTTTTTTGTAATGTGATCTATGCCTATGTAACCCTGGGGTCCTTCTGGCCTGCTTTTCCAGTAGATGCAGGAGCTTCTGCTGTAGTAGGGGTTCTGGCGGCGTTTAATTTATCTTTTTTATTATAAGATGTGTTAGCTAACGTTGTTTTAGTTGGTTAGGTAGCTTTTTTTTTGCTGCTTAATTTCTTAGGGTTTTTAGGCCTCCCCTTAAGGTTAATGTAGGAGGTGATAAAGTTTTTAAAAGCGGTGTTTAAGTATAAGCGGACTTATTCTACTACCGCTGAGGAAAGCTAGGAGGTGTATTACATTAGGCAGGAGTTAATAGCTATAGTTATGTTTAATACTACGTTTTATTTAGCCCGCTGTTATATATTAATTTTATTAATTTAGTTTATAATTTTATTCTTAGTAAGGGATTTCCTTTTTTTATTTAGGTCGGTGGCTTCCTTTACACCGTTAAAGATAAAGGTAATAAGGCCTCTTAAGGCTGTCTGCGCTATAGTTGCCGTCGCCGCTGCGCTCGGTCTTGCTTTATTAAAACTGGGCGAGGGCATTTTATCTGCGCCGAGGGCTTCTCCGAAGCATCTTTTCTTTTTAGGGGTAAAGGGGAGGACTATAACCTCTTCCGTTTTTGGGCCTAAGGGGGTTACCTCCTTCGGTAGTTGGAAGGCTGTCGCTGGTCCAGGGGCGACGGGTTTTGTTCTGTTCTAGTTATCTAAAGGGTTTGCAGATATTTCTATCTCTCCAGGGTCCCCAGATAGGACCGTAAATAAAAAAATCGTAGTCGTTTTGTCTAATAGCTAGTCAAACGGGTGGGAGTTTTTAGTAGTTAGGCACCCAAAAGGTGGGGTACCTGTAGATGTAGGAGGGAAGCTTGGTTGCTTTCAAGTTGGTGACAAAGTAGCTGCTTTTCACACCATGCGGACTTTGGGTGGCTCCTTTGCGGAATTCGGACTTGCAGAGAGCAGCACTACTTTTCTGATACCAGCGCATGTGTCATTCGAGGAAGTGAGTTTGTATCTGATGCACTTGGTACTGGTTATAACTGAATATTTCAGGCTTCAACAATCCCTCTCTGCGCCTACACTGCCGCTGTAGCTCTATTTGCTCGACTTAAACTCCCTATGCAATGGGCTCCCCCAAATAAACCGACGCCCCTTATTATATATGGAGCATCATCAGCCGTGGGTGCATTTGCTATTAAGTTGGCGCGACATGCTGGTATTTATCCAATCATAGCTGTGGCTGGATCGGGCCAGGCATATGTAGAAACACTGCTTAACAGATCGCGAGGTGATTCCATTGTCGATTATCGAAATGGCAACATCCTTCAAGACATTCGAAGTGCTTTGGATGCTGCGGGTACCTCGGACGTTTACCACGCCATAGATGCGATATGCGAGAATGATAGCCACCTCGTTGTTTCCCGTGCCCTATCAACTGGAGGAAGCATTGCACTTATAAACCCAGGGATGGATTATTCCGACATACGAAATGATATTAATAAAGGCATTATCTATGTGGGAGTTGTCAACGGAAATTTTGAGGACGATAAGCGGCTTGCAGGGATGGAGAAAAGTGACCCTATCCCACACCGACGCGATTTCGGCTTGGTCTGGTCAACGCTCTTCAGCCGTGGACTTTCTGATGGCTGGCTTACTGCCCATCCTTATGAGTTGGTGCCAGGAGGCTTGGAGGGAGTTTCAACAGCGTTAAATAATCTGAAGGCTGGAAAGGTGAGCGCGAAAAAGTACGTTGTGAGAATCGCCGAAAATTGAATGGTACATTCCTATGGTCTCATTGGAATATGCAAGGCAGCCACTTACTATGGTGAGCCTATTGACGTCTTCTTGTTGGTTATGCATTTACATCTCATTTTAGCAATGACATTGAATTATTACATCCTGAAAAACTGGGCAATTCGCGTGATTGATGCGGAATATCCGACCACAATTGCTGTCAGAATTATGATACTCAGGCGGAACTCCCGAGCAGCCCAATACAACACAACATGTCGACACGAGAGTCATATCTATCAACAACGGAATTTCCGGAAAAGTTGAAGCACATAATCCCGATCATTGAGTAGCTTGTGTAAATCCGAGAGCAAGCAAGTATATAAAGAGGCTCCAAACTTACAGATGCGGTCTTGAAGGAACAAAGACATATTTATCCAGCAAAACAATAGCTGTACCGCAGAAGATTATATCATGACAAAACTGATTGTCATTCTGGGAATAACCAGCACGCAGGTGAGTTCTACATAATAGAATATTAAGAATAAAAACTGACGAAGCCCATGGGGGGCCTCTGTTGCCGACGTATTCCTTCAAGAGCCTGGCTGGAAACTGCGAGGAGTAACCCGGGACGCATCCAGGGCTTCCAGTACATACTGGAAGGAAAAGGGTGTTGAGATAGTAGAAGCAGACCTCGACAAACAGGAGTCCCTCCAAGCGGCGTTCAAAGGCGCCAACGCCATATTTGGAAACATCGACTCTATCGGACCAATGTATGATCCGTACAACTATGGCAAACTTCGTCCAGGGCAAACCATCAACGAATTCTGCTACGAACTAGAGGTCAAGCGTGGCAAAAATATGGCCAATGCTGCTGCTGGGGTGGACACACTTGAGAGATTCGTTTTCTCGGGTCTCCCCAGCATCAAAGCGGTCACTAATGGAAAATACCCCAATGCGTATCATTTCGAGGCAAAAGCAGCAATCATGGCTCATATAAAATCTCTTCCTAACTTGGCTTCTAAGCTTCTGAGGTTCAGCTTGGAGAATTCGCTACGAATTGGAAGTCTTGGAGATCGAGACGACCAGTCAAGGTATGTACCTCGCTCACCTCAGTATAGCTCTAGGATTAACGCTTGAAAAGCAAGAAGATGGTTCTTATGCGTTCCTTGTGCCAGGAGATAGAGACGTACCAATGCCCATCACTGTTCAGAGAAAGGATACTGGGTATTTCGTTCGATCTCTCGTGTTGATGCCTCCTGGCAAAGTCCTCTTGGGCTATGGCAGTTTCATGAGCCACGCAGAGTTAAATCGCGTATGGACCAAGATTTTGGGAGTTCCTGACGGCGGTGTAAAGCATATTACCGTTGAAGAAGCCATCAAGTTTGAAGGGCCGCCGCTAGGTATAGAGCTTGCAGAGGCAGTGGCGGGACTAATGCAGTTCGATATGGACACGCCGGGCTTTATGCACCCCCATGAGGTAAGATGGAGATTATCTTTAATTGTATGCACGATAAACTGACCGGTCGATTAATGATAGGTTCCAGAAGAAATCGGCTGTCCAACAACAAGCATCGAGGAGTATTTAAAGATTGAAGATTTCTCGTCCATGATGGAGGCGCTCTAAGGTAGTGATGGCAGAGTTGGTGATCCCAATGTCGCAAAAGGTTTTCAAGATCAGTAACTAAACAATGGATCGTTGTTTACTTTATAGAAATAGATCGGCTTCTCGTTGTTGGATTTAATTGTGTATGAGAGTTATAAAGCATGGCTAAATATTGCACCTAATTCCCTCCAGGTCTGATTGTCCATGTCTGGTTCGCCCAGAAATTCCACCCATGCGCCATGCCAATTGCACGTCATCATGGACAAAGTGATAAATGGCCTGTCATAATGAATCAGCAAAATGTCTTCAAGAATTAGTTCATGTAGAAAACGGACAGCAAGCAGCATGAGAACAACGCTTTGGATGTTTTGGTGTCGGCCGTCATGCCATCCTGAATCCTGTTTTGGAGACTATTGTACAAAGCTGAGGCGGTGTCGCTTTGCCCCGTAGTCTGCGCAAGAAGAGCGATCGAAAGAACAATTTTTGTAATATCAAGACTGTCTTGTTCAATCTCAGGGTACATGATCCTGCCCTCTGGCGCCGATTCTAGGAGAGCGAAAACCGTATTGAGTTGTGATTTTTGCTGTTCAATGTCCACAACAGGATGAAGATGGCCAATCACTTCCTGATACACATCGATGAGCTGTAATGCTCGAGCCTTGCCAAGTTTTCGTAAGCACCGTGTGCAGTCTGAACAAAAGCAGGCACTCATTCGCTGGCGTGGTTTAGAAGGCTCTTCCACTCCTTTATAATTATCGGGTGTTGGATTTGGATTGTAGCATGCGATTTTTCGATGTCTACATGAGTACCCAAGTTGGGATTCAACCGGCCGAATACAAAACCGAACTACATTCAGAGTGTAGTCGGAGCTTGTTGCCCCCCAGTATCGAGGTGATGAGTGTTTTGCGCTGTCCTGTTCACAGGCACTTTCTGAGCAGCTTCTGACTGAACACGAAGATGAAGGAGACGATTTAGTGTCAGAAGGATTTTTCCACCCCGGCCATTACTTGGTCCCTTATTATGGTCCCTTATTAAGCTCAATCAGGACATTTATTTGTGATTGCATGTTCTCAACAAGGCGAGCTAAGCGTCCAATCTCACTATCAACTGTTGTGTTAGCTACGAAAAGGTCTAACACTCCGATTGGCAAGTGAAGCCATTAACGCACCTCGTATCTTCTGTGCTGTCGCTCGTATGCTCGCTGCAGTCATTCCTCTGGGTTGAAGCATCGCACGCACAGTTTGTGAGCAACTTGGGATCTGTGTCGTAGATGCACTGAATCGATCGGCTTTGACAATGCTCACACGGCAGATGGCCATCGCAGCGTACTTTTCGGGGCTTGCACTCGCAACAGGCGCGGAGAGCATAGCGAGCTCGTCGTTTTCTAGGCTCACTATCGGTGTCGTCGGCTGTGGCCCTCTTCTTACGACGAGTGGGAGAGATCTTTTGCGAAGGCATTTATACTGATAAATGGGTAATTACATGTGAGCACAAGATTACCAAGAAGACTGATCAAAGCTTGCTTTGTAATTGATATGGTGATGTTAATTGTGACACAAGGATGCTGCGTGAATCTTTTGAGACTCTCAAAGATGTGATTGGCACTACCGAATCGCTAGCCAAAATACAGTGTCAAACGAAACAATAATTCGCAAAGCAGCAACTCCATGCACTGTATGATCCGGAATTTCCGCTACGAAGGAGACGGAAATTCGGTAGTCTGTCTAAATTTTGACAACTCAATCTCTGTCTACCTAGCAGTGAGACACTTCACTACGTTCTACCGTACAAATTACAGGTCCCCTAATAAACTATGATACAACTTACTGCAGAAAATAACACCTATCATATTGCTACAAAGAAAGCAACTTGCTCTTCTTTCGCAATCTAGATCCATAAACCCTAAACACAAACGGGATCGGAATCATAATTGCAGCCAGGCATCCGAGTAAAGTAGCGGCCCACTGTACACCAAGATTTTGAAACATTTGTCGGCTGAACAATGGGAATCCTGCAGCAACTGATGATCGAAGCATGATGTTGGCGGCGACGGTCGAGGCAGCCCTGCAGAAGTTAAGTTAGATACGGTATTCTAGAGCTAAGTAAAGAATGTATGAAAGGGTCAGACTTACAAAGGCAAATAAGAGTCTACCAAGTAATTGAAGCAGGGAAGAAAAACGCACAAGACGCCAAATCCAACAAAAAGGCCAGCTGCGGTTGGTGCCATCCAATGGATCTGGTCAGTGAAGCCCGTCCAGCCGAACCTGAGACACAGAATTAGCATAGGCTGGTTACAGTTCAAGGAGTCAAAGCACGTACCAAAAGATGCCAATTGTAAACACCGGGCCTCCAAACAAGGTTGGGAAGAGGCGCCATTCCGGTATTGGTACATTGTTGTTCTTGGCCAGCTTTTTAGCATATTCTTTTTGTTGCCAAAAGATCATGGCGACACCCAGCGACATTCCTATGAAGAGCCCAATGAATGGAAGCTCCGCAACTCCGGGCCTCATGTGGTATACTTGTCCAAAAACGAAGGGGTAAGCCTCGAGGAGTGCATAAACCAGTCCGTATATAAACGACATGTAGAGAGAAACAAGGCAAATCATTGGCTCCGTGATGAGCATTCGAAGTGGCCGAGTGAAATATTTTGTTACCAAGTCTCTCACATCAGTCTCCACCATTTCATGTCTCGCGTGGATCGCCCAATTATTTGTCTTGCGGCGCATCGCGGCAGCGTCCGCAGCGAGAATAAGGGGAGCATATGTTTCCGGAACAAGAACTGCTGAGATAGCCCCATTGACAAGACCTAGGATAGCAGGGATGTACAGCGTCCATCTCCAGCCAAGGTGACTGGATGCAGTGAAACCTCCTACAATGGGACCTGTAAAGGGGCCGCCAAAGACGGTCAAAGCATAGATGGAAATCGCTCCGCCTCTATACTTGTTGTCAAAGATATCAGCAAGGACACCCGGAACCACAGCGAGTTGACATGCGCCGCAGAGACCTGCAAAGAACCGGCAGATGAGCAGTGTCTGGATGTTATTCCCTGCCGCAGAAGCAATGGAGAAGATGCCACCGCCAATCATGGAGATGACTAAAGGCCATCTTCTACCGTACAACTCCGATCCGGGAGCCCATAATATCGGTCCAGCTGCAAAACCAAGAACAAAAAATGTTGTACCGAGCGTCCCTACTTCCAATCCGACCCCAAGCTCTTCGCTGGCGCTTTCAGTTCCGGGAGCGTAAATAGCACTGTTGAACGCGACAATCCATGTTCCGCTGCAAACGAGTATAGAAATAAATAGCCTAGGTTACTCGGCAGTCTGTAAGCACATTAAGTTGCGCCAAGACCCTCAGGTTCGACATACTTGGTTGAGGTTTTCCAATTATACGGATGCTTTTGGTCATCGGGCCCGTCGAACTCGAGAATATACTCTTCTGGATTTATGAGCGGTGGTGGAAACGACCTCTTTCCCTCATCTTGTATTTGATGACTTTGTGTCATTATAGCAAAAGCAATGCCAGTGGAAGCTCAGAAAGGTCTTGTTTGATGAAGTGAAGGAAGAGAGCCAAAAGCCGGTCCACAAGAACATTATTACTTCTAGTAATGTAATTCAACTGAATCGGCTAACGAATTACAAAGAAATAAAGCACAACCTCGATTTCTTTCTGCTTCTCTCGCGTATGTCGCCTAAGGGTTGTCTTTTGATCGGACGAATTGCGGATCTGACGGCTGTTACGGGATCGACGGCTATTGCGGTTTCCGGCCCGATTTTCCCGATCTCACTGGAGTTTCTAGAGACAAGCTCAATTGATGCGCTCGTGCTTATTCGCTGACAAGATACTTCACAATGACGATGTGATAATCAGCTTATGTTATAGATCTACTTAAACGTCATGCTGCTGGAGATGGACCACCACTCTGCGGAAATGAAGTCGCCGGCACCATTGAGCCGTAAGCAAAACTGAGAACCTTGTTGTCATATCCACCAAGCAATGTTGGTCCGTCTAGCATGCCAGGAACCATGACTTGTTCGAATTCACTCATTTGTTGAGTTGACAGATCTGCGAAGAAGGCCCCAAACCAATTCCGGTCAGCCCCATTTGCAGTCATAGGCACAGCTACATCGTTCTCTACTCCACGACAGGCCTTGAGGGCATCGTCAAATATGGCTACATCCTCTTTTCTCCTTTGATGCTGTAGCCTGACAAGTAATCTGGCCGCATTACAGGCGTCCTTCATAGTGTCTGTCTTGTAGAATGAGGCGGTCAAATTGAGAGTATCCAAAGCATCGCCCAATAAGGAAAGCGATGAACGGGTGTCCATGACCAGTAGGAAACAAACGATTTGGAATGGAACGTTCACCACTTGATACCACGGCGAGCAATCTCTGACCAGGTCCTGTGCGCAGCTCAAGGCTTTTCGAAATAGTTCTAGGACTTTGTCCACTATGGCGGGGGAAAGGTCCACCGCCTGGGTGTATATGCGTCGAAGCACACAAAGAACAAGATTTGATTGCGCCATAGTCGATGGCGGTTGGGTGTGGGAGCTTTTCAGGAGTTCAGAGAGAGTCGAGATAAGATTGTTCCCATCTGTAGGCTTGCCCGGGTCCAGCCCAACCGATGCGGGCAACAACGACAGAATTTCTGCGGTATAATTGGTGGGATCTCGCAAATCATGGACTGGCAGATCGTTTTCTTGGTAGGGTACTCGTGGTAGGCCCAAATCGTATGAGGTCCATACATTGAGGTGACGGGCAACTCCAACAAGTCGTCCTCGAATGTCGTCATTATCACCATCATGTTGGTCATGTTGGTCACGTTGGAGCATGGTTGATTGCATTGTATAATAAAGCTCAGACACTTCGATAAGGTGCATGAGTGTAGACGAGGCAATCCAAGTGGCGTAGGGAGAATCAGTGATTCGAAGGTACACGGTTCGGAGTGTCCATGCCGTCAGAAGATCCAAGGACGGGGGTTCTGTCAGGTGATGAGCATCCAAAATAGAGCGACCTTTCGCAACTAGCTGTGATTCGAAGGATGTGGCTGTTCGTTGAGAAACTAGAGATCCAAGTGCGGCAACGCCCGTAAGAATTGCATCAAACAATTGTGGTTCCGAGGGTATTTGCCAGCGCGCCTTCAAGCGTTTGAAGAACCTCTCGCGGTCAATAAAACCATAGCAACAGTTTACCTTGTCAAAATAGATCTGTGCTAGAGCTTCTATGTGCTGTAGCGATGTCATGTTGATCGTCAAGGGAGTGAACGCGTCTCCTGAAGCGGATGGCCGTCGTGCTCCCGTATTCCAGCCAAATAGACTAAACCTCGGTGCGCTCGTGGGATTAATTTTGAGGCTCATGTTCCTCACGAAGGCTGCACTACAGTTTGCCTCGACACGGCGGACAACAATATCGCGGTCTCGTTCAGCATCCAGCGATTGTTGCTCGCGGCGCGCAGCATCTATCGTTGAACGGTCCGATTCTTTCTCTGATACATGGCGCTTTTCCTTTGTCCGTCAAAGTGGCACTCGTAACCCCAGCTCACGCAGGTCTCACAAGGATTGCCGCCGATGCACTTGCGCTTACGTTCACGGCAGGGCTCACAGGCCACCCGAGATCGTTTCCGCTTGGAGACAATCATTGCATCCGATCCAGAGGCGTCTTCACGAGAGTCTTTCGATGTTAATTGAGATAGGTTGGAAGTTGCGGGTGTTGCGGGCAATGGAACTATATAATGTAATCCGTAGAGGGGTTTGGTAAGATGACAACCGCTGCCATTGATTCCATTCTCGCCTTTGCGAACCTTGCAAAACCGTCATAGCAACGTGGGCGTGAGGCTATTGCCACTCAACCATACGTTTGCAGTAGCATTGGTAGCTCTGATTAAGGTTCTCTCGTAATCAGCCTAGTAGGATCAATTAATCCAATCAAAGGAGTCTAGCGAATGAATTACAAGCAGTCATGATTAAATAGCTTCCACTTGCTAACATGCCGAATTCCTGATCCGAAGTCAAACGCTGACGTTCATAGGGCTAAGAATCGGGTTGACATCTTGGGATTTAGAGACCTGCGAAACTATTGGTCTACTGACAGTATCACATTACAGCAAACAGCAAACAGAACTACTATAAGGCAGGTCGTTTACTACTTAGAGTAAGCCTTGAAAACAAGCTTTAAAGAGGAGCGTATATTCCGATCAGATTATTCAGATCTGGATTCAACTGGTATCTAACTCACACTTTTACCAGCATGCGCTACCTTACACGTACTAGACTTAGGTGCACGCTTAGACAATGATGAACCGACCAAACATCATTATACATAACGCAAGATTTAGCCAAGGGCCCCTTCTCATTATAAGATTAACTCAGATCATGCAGAATTAATGATATCCTGCACAAGAAAGAGGTTTGATGAGGCTCATCTAGGTTCTAGAACAATCTTAATGGTCGTATTGTATTCCAAGAGTTGCCCCAGGCGCTGTTACCCTGTAAGTCGCCAATACCGTAATTGGCCCAGTAAGATCAATCGTAATTGCTCAACGCCGAGCAGTATGTATTGAGACTAACTGAGTACTATTTGGAAACCTAAACTCTAAATAGAGATATGCATGCCAGTCTATTCGCTGTTCTCCTCGGAGAAGTCTTCTCTATTTTGCGGGGAAAGCCTGTCGGGTATTCAGAACTGTCAACAAGTTACTTTTTGACTGCTGACGGTGATGACGTCGGTTCCCATAGAACATCTCGTCTCTAGCCACTGCCTCTCGATTTCTCATATCTCCCACAGCTAGGAGATGATTACATGATATTCGTAACCAGGTTGCATGTTAATATTTAGATGTATGTTCATGACTACCAGCAACGACTTCCCTAGTGTTAGTCTAGAATAAGGCCTGGGCGTGAAACAAGCGCTGATTCCCCCACCTGTGAAGAAACCTGGAAAGAAGCGGGGAAGAAGCTTCTATCATCTCCGGAGCTGTTGTGCCAATGAACTGAGGACAATGTCTCAGCCTTGACGTTGGTATGAATAACAATGCCGGTCGACACCCTCAATTCAGAGTCTCGTGACAGCATATTACCGGCTATGTCATTTATTACCGTCACTTATAAGATAATTTTTTTCTTATAATACCCATAGCTTTTTCTCCCTGAAAAGCCCACAATGTAATATATAACAACTAGCACCATTTCACAGCGTGTCGCTAATCTACGCGCCAAAATGTCAATCAAATACACCATCACGCTCCACAATGACCATGGGAAAGATGGTCGCTACGCCTTCTTCGTAGACCCTCCCCAGGTCTCAGAATCTCTCACAGCCCCTGAGGTATTTACCAATGCGTGGATCTCAACTTTTGTACCAAACGGGAGCACACATGATATTACGACGACGAGCGAAATGTTTGCCTGTAAGTCTACTTGGGCAATAACAGATGACCCGAAGGAAAGAAGTCTTAAGAAAGAATATTCCTTTATTATTGCCGATATCATATACAAAGCCATTCATGCTAAATTTACATAGGGTGCGGAACGGTTCCAAAGCCGCCATGTGTTGGCGTGACCGTCCATGAAGGAGCCAGTCAACCAGCCGCCCTCGGCTATAAGATGAAAGAAGAAATTACGCCTGGAGGTATGTCGATATGTTGACACTATGGCACAACTATATCCTTGTATTGTCTTTTGATTGACGCGGCTGACATTACTCTAAGGCACATTCGAGATGATCGTGGACAGAGGGGTACCAGACTTGATTCCTATCCCCAGCTCTGCGAAAGCTGCTGCGTACAAGATCGAGACTGGAAGTGATCTTCCAACTCCAAACTACAAGTATCTCTTTGGCCTCGGCATGACCAACGGCTGCGGCTTGGTCTCTCCAGTTGCCTCCGTGAGTTGTCTATTTTTTTTTACGTCCATATATAAGAATGAGTTATTAACCGTGACCATGACAAAATATAGGCAGTAGCCACTAACAACATGTCGATAAATTTGACACCAATCATGAAATTCCACGTCAGTCAGAGCGATGTCGAGACGGGAGAGATTATTGACTTGCCCTCCGTTTCTAAGAAGGCCGGCGCGATTGACTTTAGCTCAGGGCTTGGTGCTGGAAAAGATGCAGCCACCGTTGTTCACAAAAGTAATGGTACATTTGACATCATGTACCATGTGAGCTACAAGAATTGATACCAGCGACTTCTCTCCATGTTTACGAGAGCCATTTTAGCGGTATGAGAAATTAGTTTCAGGTATTGATTGCATGAAATAATACGCCAAATTCACTGACTGCAGTGTGAATACAAAACAGCAAGCTGTGATTAAAATCTCGTCAATGAGATAAAAGAGATTTAAATAACCCACAATACACCATCGCATTTCCCTAGCACGAAGAGATAGTGCTCTATGGGCAGCTCATCTCGAGCGCCTATGGGTCTGGACAATTACCTAGAATTTGGGTAGCGCGCCCGAAGAACCAGACACGACTTGAGACATCCTAATTCGCATAAGGGCAATCCTTATTTGTACTCCGTGTTTTGCTGAAGCTCACTGCCTGGATTAGAGACCAGTCTGACTGCCTCTTGGTCGCGTTTCTTCAAGTCTGGTCGTAAAGAGCGAGTAATGACGCCAACGACAAGAAGGCTGGTGACACAAATCAACTCGGGTACAAGGCTTAAGCAAATCTGAACGGCCTTCGAAGTAAGAAATCCAGAGTCCGGGTGTGTGACTTGGAGATGTAGAAACACAAGGCCATATACAAGACGAATTCCAACAAACGGGAGGGCGACAAAGACACCTTTGATCAACTGATGGTATGTTATATTAGCTCATGTAAACTGGAGTGATGTGAAATTGGCGCACAATTCTACCGTTGTCCACAGTCTGCATGGTGGAATATGAAGAGAATTGGCGGACCATGTGGTTCGACCACACTGCCCACAACGTTACAAGTCCCCAGGCAATGGCTGAAAGCGCTGAGCCAATATTGAGCAAGGTCTTGCTTTTAGATACCGGATCGCCATTGATAAGTTTGACAAGCGCCAAGATGATCAAAATCATTCCCAATTGAACTAAGCCATGGTACTTGATTTCCAGTATTATGTCGAGTCTTCTATTGAGGCGGGGATTGACTGCGCGTCGACTAGTAATGTACAACGGTTAGAAGAGACTTTTAAAAACTTTTCACGCATGGAGAACTCACGCTTCGTGTAGGATGCCAGAAATTGCAAGAAGCAAAGGAGAGAGGCCTATGCTATTGAGAATCACAGCTGCCTCGCCCTTCTGGTCTCCATGGAGACCAATGCCGCCAGTGGCGATGCGAAGGACACAGAATAATTGGACAAAGAGCCAACCCAAAAATCCCGTCTTTCCATGTTTCCAGAGACAGAATAGGGCTGGCTGAACAAGAACGAGGTAAATGGCGAGCTTTGCGGCTGAAAGGCCGTCGGTTGTCATTTTGGTCGTGTGGGTTTGCAGTGAGGTTTGATAACTCGGCAGATGTTGTCGGAGTGGTTGAATCTGTGTCGAGAACTGTTGCTTAATAGTTGAGATGATGATTCTTGTTCAGTTTTGTATGTTAAATCATCATATATATGTCTTCCTTCCCCTGTAGCTCATCCTCAATGCTGCTCCTCTTGATACTGCAAGGAGTTCCACACATCCCAACGTAAGCCCCCGAAAGATCCACGCCACACATTAGGGCAGGATTGAACGAGAACGACGGCAGACCTGAATGGCCCGCATCAACCTAGTTTGAGCGCTACGGCAGCCCCTGCGTCGAATCAAGTTAAGGAACGGCACTGAAATACAGAGAGCAGTGTGTCTTGCCCTCAGTGCATTAGACATGGAGGATTCACGATTGCCGGTCTATCCTGTCTCTGCAGATGGCTCATGTATTTAGATCTAAATTAATCTCTCTCCTGGGAAACATCGCATAATAATGACGGGTCCTTCAATATCTCCAGTGGCTGAATCAGCATGCCCTGCCACTCAGGCGGCAACTCAGCTGCAATAGCCCTGGCTTCACGTAGTCCAGTATCCCCGATATACCAAAGGTTGCGGTGAAGAGCCAATAGTGTGAAATAATGAGCCATGATTATCAGTGCTCGTGGTCGCTTCTGCGCCACATAGCCCACAAACTGAGCGTCCACAATCATGGGAAAGAGGATCAGCCTTCTAGAGAGGCCAGGGGGTGGATAATGGTCGAATCTGTGCTTCCAGATACAGCCCAAGCAGCTCAGTGTGCGCTTGTAGACGTAGTAGACTTCATCGTCCCATTCTTCTTCCAGTTCGTGAGGTTCCTGGCGCCGTAATAGGTAAAGCAGTTCGTTTGTGTCTTCCATCCTCCGCTTTTCATCCAAATGTTGAGATATCTCTAGCATCAGTTTGCCGCTAAGAGAACCAGGGTTTTGCTCAATCAAGGATAGTGCCTTGCGAAACACAATATTGCTGGTGTTGCACATGCGTAGCCACTCGATAGGGGGAGTATATGGTGCCAACGACCGACGTTGCAGTCGGACGTATCCATACACCCGAAGCGTAGTAGACGCCAAGCATGAAAAATCCACATTGTCGATATCGAGATGCAACACGTGCTTGTGGTGCGATTGAAGCGTTAGATTGAGATACGTGGAATAATTCTGCATGTGTTGCGTATCCAAAAAATTGGATTTGTACGCCTTATGAAGTGCCGACAGCATGCAGACTCCATGCATCACGGCATCTGATTTCAATGCCGCATGGCATATGACTGGCCCCATGAAGCTCTGGGCGAATTTATCTCCGCCAAGGGTTGGGGCAGTCTCTGTGAAGTAGTGATAGAATAGCTCGAGCTCAAGTTTCCGCCGGGCCTCTGTTTCTGGGAGAGGACGTATGCCCTCTATATCAACAAGACTGTCAGAAACTCCTGTAATAGTTGATGTTGAACTTGATTCAATGTTGCTTTGAACTATGGGAAGAGGTCCATAACCGCACTCCAAGTCAAGTCGCGTGCAGTTGTTACAGATTGGCTTCGCTTCATCACACTGGATCGATGTTAGACCTCCCTAATTCGATGTGGCACATCTGAATCTAGATTGAAATGCACTAATAATGTGCCATTAATCTCGGAGTGTTTCTTCTGCGTACCTTGACTCGACGGACTCGGCAACGCTGGCAACCGGTCCTACACTTTTTGTGGAATAGCTTCGCATGCTTCTTGCGTGGCGGCTGCGTCTGCTGTGACTTTTCTTCCCGTCCACCCGCAAGAGAGAGTCTTGTTGTCACTGTCATTGTCGTTTGTGTAGAGAATCGTCGTTCTTGATGCAACGTCAAGCGAGCTGCTTAAACGATGACGACGGGAGATGAAGGGTACATGTAGTCGGTAGCGGTAAAATGCTGAACGAGAACGAGCAGCAGCCTAGCTTTTTACGGAGAGAGGCCGCATTAGCTTATCCACAGGGCATTTTCCCATCCCGTGTCGTCAATAACCCTATTGGCCAATTGTGTTAGTTGTCTTAGGGCTGACTGCCGATCTTGATGCTAACTTTTTTGACAGAATGGCTGTGGCTGTTGCATGTCCGGCTGAATCCAGCACTCGGATTTCACCGTGATGATGCGAAAAGACTAAACGAGACCGGTTATTATTAGGGCCACAGCCTCTAGGTTTGACGTGGTTGACAACCTTCTAGTTTCTGTACATATGTTTCAGGAGCAATCAACCAGGACCCAAGGAGAATAACCCCCAACAGTTCTTTTGAACGAGAGCTGTGTCGAATGACGGAGGAATACGATGTCACTCGCTCGGCCTTACCTTAAAACAACAATGCCACGTTCTTGCGCCTTCTCATCGGACAGCAGTTCTAAAATTTTGTAAGAGACAGCCCAGCCATATCCAACGTATTGTTAAATAGCAACGAAGTAACAACAATTAAGGCTGCCTTGCCCCACAATTTACACCGCTTCTATACGTTCGTTCTGTGGCCAATGAGAGTATCACGATAAATATGTTTATATTATGATGCTTGTTCGTACATGGCTGCCCAACATAAGCTAGATCTAATGCCTGACATCTCTCTGGATCTTTTGGAAAGATTTGCCTTCCTTTGCCTAACTTAATCTTGACACAAATATTCGAAAGTCATTGATGTTCATTGTAGAGCGCTCTTTTGTTTAGCCTAAAAATGGCTAGTGATGGTGCCGTACGCTCAGTTTCGCACAATACTTTTGGGAATGATGTACAAGTCATTCAAGGCGACTACAACGTCTCAGGCACGGCCGCCTTTATTTGCCTTCGTCCCTTGTGTCCGCATTTGCCAATGTACTGCCAGTCCATCCACCTAAGAAAGCTTTGGAGCTTGACTGTCACCACGAGGCCACTTTTAATGCCACCAAGAAGCAGCATGCACCGAGCTGCCTCGAAAATACCCGAGTACAGGTTCTTGGCCAAATAAGGTCATGGATAGATAACAATGGGGACAAGCGCATCTATTGGCTGAGGGGCATGGCTGGTACCGGAAAGACGACCATCTCCATGACGATCGCCCGCGAATACTATAGAAAAGGTCGGCTTGGAGCAAGTTTCTTCTTCTCCAGAAGCAGTGGCGATCTTTCTTCGACGAGAAAGTTTGTGGCGACGATTGCAAACGAACTTGCAGAGTTGTCACCTGCCTACCGAGAACATCTCCAGAATGCCTTGGACTCTTCTCCCACCATCACTAGCCGCAGTTTGTATGACCAGTGGGAAAAGCTGATTCTTGATCCTCTGCGCTCGACGTCGCTGGAAGATGATGTTCAGCCCATGGTCATAGTCATCGATGCTCTAGATGAATGTGACAGTGAATATGATCAGGGAGTGTTGATTCAGTGCCTTGCAGAATTGTCAGCACTGGAAAAGATTCCTTTTCGCATATTCATCACGAGCCGACCGGAGAACACTATTCATCTAGGCTTTGATAGGGTCACATACAACTCACACCGAGAATTCACTCTGCATGACATTGAGGAATCAATTGTGGCAGTAGATTTGCGACTCTATTACAGGCATGAATTAAACGGCATGGACATTGACCAATCTCTCATCACCGAGGAAACCATTGATATTCTAGCCAGGAAGTCTGACAGATTGTTTATTCATGCTGCCACGGTGTGTCGCTTTATTTGACAAGGCGAGATTTACGCGGCGACAAGGCTCGAGAGCCTTCTTGCTTCACACGATTCACAACTTGAACCGGAGAGAGAGCTAGATTCGATTTACACTACCATCTTGGAAAATGCCTTTGAAAAGTTTGCTACATTGCGACCAGGCGAGATGGAAACTTTCCAGCTGTCCTACCAGAAGGTTGTTGGATGTATCGTCATGATCTATGATAGAATGTCCCCAACGGACTTTGCCACTATGGTTGGCGAGCCAGTGGAAAATACCACTCGACTGCTCAAATATCTGAGCTCGGTTCTGGACGTTCCTCAAGAGGCGTCTGGCCAGATTTACGTGCTTCATGCGTCGTTTAGAGACTTTCTTTCAGATCCACAAAGAAGTTCAAGCCTGCATTTTTCGATCGATCATCGAAAGATACATGCGAATCTACTCCAACGTTGCGTCGACGTCATGGCTATCGAGTTGCGGAAGAACATTTGCAGACTTCGAGAACCTGGGAAGCGAACCAATGACATTTCAGCGTCGGATGTGGAGAGTCACGTTTCTCAAACCCTGCAATACGCATGTAAATATTGGATATATCATCTCCAAAAGAGTAACGTAAACCCCAAAGAACATTCCGGGATCTTGGAATTCTTCCAAACTCGATTTTTGTTCTGGATAGAAGTTCTCGCAGTTATTGGGTGACTGTCTGATGCCATCGATATGATTCGACTCCTAGAGTCGTTGCTGGTGAGTCTATCAACTGATCATGTATCGGACCTTAATGCTGATTTTCTCATAGTCCCGTAAAGATAACCGAACGGGTATTCGGGGCCTACTGACAGGTATCAGCCAAAATGTCGGTAGTAGAGGCATAAAAGTCACCTATCAGACACTAACAGCCGTGGTCCAAGATGCAACACGGTTTCTATACGCGCACAGTTCCACTATCGAGGTTGCTCCATTGCAGTTATATATATCTGCACTCATATTTAGCCCAAGAACAAGCCTCATCCTGCGCATCTATCAGCATCACATTCCAAGTTGGGTTCTGTCTATTCCTTCTTTGTCCGAGTCGTGGAATCCTAAATTGCGACGATTATACCATCACGTTTCGGCTCGGATTATAGCATATTCGCCCGATGGCAAGCTCATGGTATCTGGGCACTGGGACAAAATATGCTTGTGGGATGCGATAACGGGTGCTCAGCGTCGTATCCTAACAGGGCACTCCGAAAAGGTCATCAGCTTCTCATTCTCCCCAAACAGCAGTCTACTTGTTTCTACATCTAAAGATCGGACTATTCGATTGTGGAATGCCATTACGGGCACAGAAGTTACCATGTATCGGAGGAGACATAAAGTGAGGCAAGTCGCGTTTATGCCCGATGGCAAAAGGATCATCTTCACTGAGCCTCTAGGCTCTATCTACTTGTGGGATATGATAGAGAATAAAGAAGTGTGGGTTTCGCGCCGCACTGGTGACGACAGCTCCAAAGGCTACTGCGATTTGACAATATCCCCTGATGGCAAACGCATAGCATGCGGCGATGGGAATCACGAAGAAAGCGTTTGGCTTCTAGACACTGAGAATGGAAACCCTCTACATACCGCCAAGTATTTTGACGAAGCCGTAAGGTCTATTGACTTTTCACCCGACAGTAAGCTGTTGGCAGTGGCATTTTACACGGACTTTGAGATATGGAATATCGCCACAGGAGCAATACGCCGGATCTCAACAGAGGCCGTTATCTACGAGATCCTTTTCTCGCCAGATGGAAAGACAATTGCGATAGCCGATCTTGGAGCAATCCTAATACTTGATGTGGCTTCAGGCAAGAAACGGTGCGAGCTGGAAGATACCGGTATACCCAGCTCCGGCATGCCACAGAAGTTGGCGTTTTCGCCTGATGGAAGCGCCATTGCTTCAGTTTCAGGGGACAAAGGAGTTACTATATGGGATACCAGATTTCGCTCAAAGCATGTGGAATCCGAGTTGGCCTCCGAATATTTTGAAGAAGATGAATTGCCCTTCGAGTATTCTAGTGTTATCGCAGCGTCGCGGGGTGATAAGCAGTTGGCCTCTGCTTCTTATAGTGACGCCATTCGACTGTGGGATGGACAAACTGGCGGGAAAAGGGAACTCTACATACATAGGCTGCGTCCCTTGGTCGATATGCTTTCAATTACTCGTTGGCTACAGAAACGCAGAGATGATTCATGCGTCGATAGTCTCGGCCGAAAAGAGATTAATATTTCATCTATTACATTCTCAATTGATGGCAAGTTCTTTGCTTGTTTCTGGAAGACATAGAAGCTTCAAGTTTGGGGTGCCCAAAGTGGCAAAATGCTGTTCGCTCGAAAGTTGGACTCGAGCACGTCAGATAAGGTTGTCTTCTCGTCGGACAGTAAGCTGATTGCCTCTTTGAGTGACAAGATTTACTTGTGGAATACCAAAACCGGATCTGAGGTTTATTCCTCCCAGGCGCCATTGGGAAACGTAGAATCTATTATATTCTCTCCCAATAGCAAATATCTCGTCTCATCTATTACAACAGAAGATCACGATGACGATTATTGGCATGGGGGGCTGTCCGTTCACTACAACGGAGACTTTTATGGATATACTCATATCACAGTCACTGTAAAGTATCATAGTCCGTTGGAATTTTCTTCCAATAGCAAACTACTTGCCTATCGATTCGGCAACAGAGTCATGGTTTTGAATGTGGAAACGCGAGAGTTTGTGCACACTTTCGATTTTGATCTACTTACACTCGAAAAGTTATCCATTTTCGACGACAATCGATACCTCGGTGCTTTGTACTCGTTTGGCCTTGTTCATATATGGGACCTATTGACAGGCTTCATCGTTCATAGCGGTGCTATCGGGGAACACGAGTCAACCTTTTGTTTCTCCCTCAACGGCAAGCATATCGCTTCGCTGGATCAAATATTTGCATGTAAAACATCAATGTCGGTCAACTGTCATTCCGCTGGAATATCACTTGCTGGAGCATGGATCAAAGACAGCGGTCAAGACATTGTATATTTTCCTCGCGAGTTCAAACACCTTTTTGACTTCATGGCTGGTAGCACTTTGGTCTTTAGGTGGCCTCCCACAGGTTTCTTTGGGGAGGCGACACAGCATATGGGCTGCAATATGTTACAGTTTGCCATGGTGGACAAGATAATGGATGCAGATTGATCTTGGTAACTGCCGACACCTTCACTTGACGATATTTATGCAAGAATGTCATTTGTTGGAAAACTCAACTTTGGAGATGGAACTATATTGCCTTGCTACTTATCGAATTCTTGTTCATACCGGCAGGCTATCATTTGTAATTATCCTCTCTAACAAGGTTAGATCAAGCTCAAGCGTTTCTGCCATGTGCATATTTAACGTTCTCTCGCATACTATGAGGGCCAATTGGGCTTTTAGGGCACATGCCATTTACCTCATGAATTGCTGCCATCTACTCAGCCAGTGCTCGCCCCAGCGCCATTCAGACTGGAAATTGGTTTGTTTGTTTGAGTGTCTCTCGGTGTGTAATTCGGGTAAATGCCGCTTATTAAATCGCTCATCTCTTCGTTGTTATCCTCCAGTCTGTTCAATTGTTTCAGACAAACGCCACTCTTCTACTTTCACACACACAGCTTAGCACTTAAATTGACACTAAGCTAGTTGTCAAGAGTAGACAGACAAACCGTTACGAGTGAGACACCCATCTAGATGCATCGAACTATGATTCTCAGCTCATACTTGTTTAGTATTCTCGGGACACCATGGCCGAGTCTCGTTTCGTGTCAGAGCAATACACATCGGAAAACTTCGTCGAAAGCGTAGGCGGCGTCTTATTCCGTCTATCGTCCCGCGAGATCTGCGTACTTCATCTCTTGGAGGGCGATGAGTACGTGTTAGCCAAAGGACGACGAAATTGCGGAGAAACTCGCCGTGAAACAGCCTTGCGCGAAATCACCGAAGAGACAGGCTTCGCTTGTCGCCTTCTTCCAGTAAATATGCATACTCGTGCCCCGCCAGCAATAGAAACCGAGCAGTTGGATGACCGAGCGCGTTTTTACACGAAAATTTGCGAACCCTTTACCTTGCAAGTCCGCCACCTTGGCAAAGATCAAGTGAAGCTTATATGGTGGTTCGTCGTTGCTGTGGATGAGGAAGTATTGCCAAAGGAAACGATGGAGGAAAAATGCGCGGTGGAATTTTACAGCTATACGGATGTTCTGAACAAGCTGACGTTTCAGATGGATCGTGATATGGTTAAGAAAGCTATCGAGCTAGTGGAGAATACCTACCTAGAGTGACATATATATGGCGGGATTAATATGTTGTTGTTCAGGGGGCACTATTTGGTAGGTAATTGATAGATCAGTAGCTGCTAATGACTGCATTTACTTCTGTGTTTCTACAGATATCACAGGTAGCTAGCCCTTTTATAAGCGACTACTTCTGACCAAGGCCTAAGAGCCCCGAACAAGCTTAAGGTAGAGAGGTATTTGATGAAGCTATACAGATATCGATCTGTAATTATTCTTTAACCAAGTTACCAAAATCTACATATCCTTTGCCCTTTACGAATGAGTAGTACTACGGCCCTTCTTTGGGACCATTTGCCAGCTGCACATGTAAGGCAGCTCGAGTTGGACCATTTGTTATATTATCATAGACTACCTATCCTATCACAATAGGCCCTACGGGCTTCTGAAGAAGATTCAACAAAGCGTCGATAATAAATTGCGGAATAACCTCCAATGCACTAGGATCCAGCAACGAAGACGCAACTGTCGACGTTGAACACCGCACCTGAGGCTTCTCGCCATCTAGAACATCAATCAACCAGGACAACGCCTTGGCGGCCCCAGTAATAGCGAGGCTCCCGTGCTCCGAAAGGACGTCTCGAACGTATTCCACAGAAGTGCCTCCCGCGCAGTACTTGCTTACTAGGGCGTCCGTCTCGTCAACCGGGCTAAGCTCGTCCCCCGTGGACTTGTATACGTATAATGGGATTCCAGGAATGGCATGGCCCATGCCGTTGTCATTCTCTATTTGGACAAGTCGAGGATCCGTGAATGGTAGAGATGGGTCATCAAACATGGCAAGGACATCCCTGCCCAGAAAATCCAAGACGTCGGCGGACAGGCACTGATTCCTCACCAGGCCGAACAGGGGCTTGTACTGGGTCAAGATGTGTTGGTCGAGAACCTCGGCAACATAGGGGTACTGGTTCGACAAGCCGACCATGCCCGATGGAATGATGCCGGCGAAGAGACTTTTGTTGATCTCTGTGAGGACGGTGGTGATGTTGGGCACAGTTCCTCCTAGCGCAGCTCCTGCAATCTTGAGCTCTGGAGCATAAGTTGGTTGCAGTTCAGCAGCCCAGCCAGAGGCGAGGCTTCCACCAGAGTAACCCCACATGGCCACGGTGGCATCCTTGTCGATGCTCGTGAAAGCACCGGAGCTGAGAGCAGCTCGGATGCCATCAAGAGTCGCCTGTCCAGCTTGCCGATTAGCCAGAAAGGCAGCAGTTGGTCCCTCGTGGTCAGGAACGATGAGAATCCAGCCTCGTTCCAGAGCTGCTTCGATAAGCAGCAGTTCGGCCTGCGTCACCAATGTGCCAAAGGGACCACCGGATGCCGAGGCCAGCTGCAACGCATACGAAGGGGCACAGTTTCTGAATGATGAATCTTGGGCTACCTGATACGAAAGCACTTTTGTATAGTCTGCGTTGTGTGGGATTAGGATGGTTGCGACTGTTGCTGTTGCATTTCCAAAGTTGTCATTGGTTCTGTACAGGATCTGATAGCTGCTTTGGAGGTTTACAGGATCCAGACCAAATGCCGCAATCGGTGCTGGCGGTATACGGTGCTTCAAGATGGTACCCGGAGGTGAGTTGCCAACGTCCGGAGGTACAGTGTAGAAGTCATCCTCCGTGGGAGGCACGGCAGTTCCTCTCCCTCTAATGTCATAGGGAATAGCGTAAACCGCCGTAGATAAGGAAAGCCATAAGAAGACACGAACAAACCCAATCATGATTTCAAGTCACTTGAAATAAAAAATGGTTACAGAGCATATACACGGCGACACGGGTGCTTGACATGTCCTCATCGCCGATCTCTTTCATTTGACAGTTATATACTCTTCTGCAGATCGGTTCACATGTTAGGAAACAGCAACTCTGCATTGCCCATCGTTTCCTAATTCCCTCGGCATCTTACACTCGAAAAGCACGTTGTTAGCACCGTTTAGTAACAAATACAACCATCTCGTCCCTTGTCTAGCCTCAAAGGAGATAGTATCGGATTGATCTCGCAGCCCGAGTTGCGGGGAGAGGGGAGATCTGCGGGGAAGGTCGGCTCATCATGGAAAATCAGCTCATCGAGCGGGAATTGAGATTAGATCTGCCCGATCTATTAAGAGTTTCGCTGGATTATTTCAGCCTTGGTACTTACCTATCTAGAGGTACTGTTAAAGGTAAAATAGGTATTGCTGTTTTATTAATTAATTTTACAAAGTTCAGTAAAGTAATAAAGTAATCCACAAGCGAGTGAACCACCCAAGCGTGTGAGCCGCTTTTTACAATTACATAGACTTCTACCATTGTTTATTAAATTTTCCACAACACATTCTGGCATCAGTTCCATAAAGCCAGGATTATTCTTGCCTTTGAGTGTCTTCAAAATGACTCAAAATCCAGGCTTAGAGCTGCAGCAAAGGTCTATAATGTTGACCGTACAACTCTTCCCCACCGTCGCTCTGGTACACTTGCACAATGCGATACAAAGCCCAATTCAAAAGAGCTCACAAAATCAACAGAGGAGGCTATTACCAAGTATGTAATTGAGCTATCCACGTGATCATTCCCTTCTAGATTACGTGATGTTGAAGAAATGGCCAATCATCTACTACGCGTGCGCGACTCGCCACCTGTTGGTAAAAAATGGGCATCAAACTTCGTCCAGCGCCAACCAAAGCTCTGTACTCGTTCATCTCGCAAATATGATTACCCAAGAGATAATTGTGAAGATCCAAAGCTTATTAACAGCGCATTTACCATCTTACAGAATATAAAGGCTAAATATGGGGTCCTTGATGATGATCTTTATAACTTTGATGAGACTGGCTTTATGATGGGCATTATCTTTCCAGGCACGGTTGTTACAATTTCAGAAGGCTGTACGGAAGCTGGATTGGCCCAACCCGGTAATTGGGAGTGATCAACTATTATCCGAGGCAGTAGGGTAACAGGTTGGGCAATACCGCCATTTATCGTACTAGCTGCTCAATACCATCTTGAGAATTGGTATCGAGAGTCTGATCTTCCGGCTGATTGGCGCATTGCAGCAACAGAGAATGTCTGGACAACTAATGAAGTTGGTTTAGATTGGATTAATCATTTTGACTATTATACAGCCTCTCGTATGAATGGCAAATATCGACTGCTAATCCTTAATGGCCATGAGAGTCACCACTCAATACAATTCGAGCTTTACTGCGAAGAGCATAAAATTATTACAGATTGCATGCCCCCTCATTCCTCTCATCTACTTCCACCGCTGGATGTTGGCTGTTTTAGGCCATTAAAGCAATCATATGGTCGGCAAATTGAGAATTTGATGCGTGCGCATATTACACATATTAGCAAGCTTGAGGTCCTGTCTGCTTTTCGTACAGCCTTTTTTACGTCAATCACTCCAAAGAATATTCAAGGGGGATTTTCAGGGACTAGTATATTATACCACCATTTAATCCAAAGAGAGTTCTGTCAAAACTTAATGTGCTATTACAAACACCAACACCACCGGAGACTCTACCTACAGTTATACAGCATTGGGTCTCAGAGACACCGATTATATTGGCAGACTTGAACCTTGCGAAATAATAATAGCCGGTTAGTTTTACCGATGAAGCTTGATTAGCGCAGCTCAATGAGTAACAATGGAAGCTGAATCAAGCGTCCAAGTCAGCACACCTAAGCGGTTGCGAAGTACCGATATTGGCTATGGCCGAATAATAGTACACAAGAGTTGTCAAAAGTTCAATACAGCGATGAAATGATTCCAAATGCCGATTATCAAGCATATATTGGGGTCCACTGATCAGTCAATAAGTGTTAGTAAGAGCATTCAGGTAGGCAGAACCCATTGTTAATTCGCATTTACTTGCACATTATCGCAAGTTCTCCAATCCGAATCCCTGCTTTCCGCACTAAGCAATGCCCCTTTCTGACCGAACTCCACCAACAATGGAACTTACATGTTGGCAAATTTCGCCGCAACACGACTTTTTTGTATGAGGTTCTGACTGCCGGTCCCTTGGTGGCCCTCGTCTGGCCGTCGCAAGAAAAAGATAGGGATCGTGATTCGCTATAGCCTTTACTACAGAATTCCCCAGCAGAGAACCTGGATTCTGCGCCTAAAAGACTCTTCATGGCTAGAACAAACACACAGGGACTACTGTAGCGCTCTGTGTACACATTCGCCGCGCCAATGCGAGCTTCCACACCAATGATAAACAAGGCAAAGGGTGAAACGCTGTGATCAATTGTGATAGCTATTTCACAACAACTATGAGAAGTGTATGGTATGATTGGAAACGAAGGTTTTGTGTGCACCTCTGAATCCTTGCATGCTGGCAATAATGGGAAGAGCGCTGCTGAAATCCTTCGAAGCCAAAAACTCTAGCTGGCTTTCAACGCTCTGCCACCCGACAACCAAAACACAAGTCCTGCACATCTCGCCCTTGAATGCAACTTCATCCAGCATCCAACCGATTGAAGATTCTCCTGTCATTCCAGTTGCGGTTTGGCCGATTTCTTTTAGAAATTGTTGAACGGTTGCAGTTGCGGTATCTTGAAAGTTCTCAGATTCGTTTTGAACACCACCAAAATACATGTAGAGTACCTCTGCTACAGGTGATGTACCATGGCCACCTTTGTTATCAAGTACTGCAGTGCCGTATGAGCCAAATACGACACTATGAGAAGTGATGGGTTCAGTGGTTTGAGAATTCATGAATTCTAGTAGTCGCCGATAGGCGTCAGATTGTAGATATCTGTCCAGTGCAGATTTCTCGACCCATTCAACAAATATACACAGTTTATTGTCTTCTTGTAATATCATGCTCCATTTCAAATGCCGAATGCTCTTTTGTTCTCGTAGCATGGTGATAGCTTCATTGACGACTTCTTCGGCCTCGACCGAAATCCGAAGTGATAAGAGTAGAAACTGCGTAATGGAGGCCATATTGGTTACTAGTTTTCGATCTTTCTGCAAGTAGACACGTCGGGAAATACTGGTGAAGAGTAGCGTTGCCAGGTCGAAAGTTGCAAGAGTTGTTACTGAATCCAAGGTCTAACACGCCTGTGATTCGTGGACCGCGACAGTACTTCGGGGGCAACACATGAACAGCCATCTTTGGGGGGATATGCAGGCATTCCCGATCTTAAATCCACATTGACTGTTTATCATCCAAAGAAACTATTTCCGAATGGTGCATCAGCAGTGGTGAGGTAATCATCCTATTAAGAGCAACCTAGACTAGCTTTTCCCCATAAGTAGACAGGCGATTAAACAGCAATCTTACACTGTCCCAGCCAGAATCTCCATTAGTTTGGACCCACCGACATGGGACTCTTGGGATCCTCAGGGAAGAGGAACTTCCATATCAATTAAGCCATGTGGGAGACGGATCAAGATGGCATATTTCGAGAAAAACTGATTGAAGAATGGTTTAAACACCGAAGCTCCATGTGTTTGCTCTTACAAATACAGGTTTACAATGAGGTACTTGAGTTTGCACTTAAGCTGAACATTAACTAAAGCTTTCTAACCACCTCTTAAATAAACATGACTTGTTGTAAGTCTTGTTTTCTAGTTAAATAAATGTTAAACAATTTTATTTAATGAATGGTAAGTTGTTGTGAAATCGTATTCCAAGTGTGTATACGGAACCTCTCCCAGAGCAATGTGACGGATCATATTAGCAGGTAGCACCAACAGAGCTTTTCTCCTCCGGGTATAGTGACCATCGCAAAAGCCACTTTTTAAAGAATTCATACTCGCAGCTACTATTTCCAGTAGCATCCAATTTCTCGGAGGTCGGTAACCATCGCGGGAGGATTGTCCAACGCAGGGAAATGGCCACCAAAATCGTGATCTATACCAGAGTCAGAGGTTGGTAATCAAATGATGCAATCTGATACTCACTTTTATAGACGACAAGATTGCCAGTCTGTTTCACTAATGCGGGTGGCCAGAATAGAATGTTATACTTGAAGGAGCTGAACAGTAGTGGCGCATCGGTCTTGGCTTTCGTATAGTTGGTGGCGAATCGATTTTGGTAGTAGATGAATCCGGATGAGATGAACGATTTAGTGAGGTAGTAAAGGGACACGGAGGTTAAGATTTCATTGTGTGTCAAGACCGAAGGGCCTGTGCCGGCTCGGGGATCAGACCCTACAGGTTGAGCAGGTTTAGTAAAAGAGAAAAGCAACGATATTGGATTGGAGCTACTCACAGTTCAGAAACTTTTCACCTATGTACGCTAATTGACCAACAGGGTTGTCATATAGAGCGAGACCTATTGTATTTGGCTGGGTACAACCGTAAGCTGATTGTCCGTTTTTGGTGAGAGGGATTGATCATCGCTTACCTTGGTTGTCTCTTGTTGAAAATAAGCATAGCCGTTGGTGGACCATTCCACGAATGATTGCTCTTCAAACCTCTCAAGTGCATCTAGTGTGATGCCTTCCGCAGCTAGTTGGTCTGGGGTAAGCGGAACAAAAGGCAAAGAGGCTAGATGAGTCGCGCGGACGGTACTATTGTAGGAATCGTAAAGGTCGTACGCAGTCGCACAGCCCCAATCTGTTCCATGAGTAGCATATTTCTTATAGCCAAGAACATCTGTCATCAGGGCGTTGAAAACTCTCGCAGTGTCTTGGTTTGTCCAATTGCCTGGAGGAGCCGAAGACAGCCCAAAGCCAGGAAGATTGGGAACAATAACATCAAAGGAGACAGCTTTCCCATTTGACGTCTTCCCCTCCTTTGTGAGATTGTCAATCAACGGGAGAAACTCTAGAAACGATCCAGGCCAACCGTGGAACAGGATCAGGGGAATAGCATTTCGCGCAGTGGATTTTTTGTGTACGAAATGAAGTGTAAGGCCTTCAATTTCGGCCGTAAACTGCGGGTATCTTCCGAGAATGTTTAGTAGTGCTTGGGCTAAGTACTAATCACCTGGAGACTCACTTGTTGATGCTAGCTTGCTCCTTTTTCCAATCAAATTGGGTTAGCCACTGTGTACGCAGTGCCTTCAGGGTACTCAGTGGAATGCCAGCGTCAGAGGAGAGACCCGGATATTCTGGAACTTCAGGTAGATGAGTGTTACTGATCAGTTGAAGCATCCGAGGGACTTCGCTCTCCAGGTTAAGCGTATAAGGCTTCAGTCGATATCTTCCGCTCAAAAGCACCGAGGCGCTTACAGAAGCAACGAACAGATAAGACAGAAGATCGAGACGCATTGTGAGTAAATGTTTGGATGAGATTGATTTGAAGCGTTGAAATCATTGAACAATTGCAAACAGCAAGCTCTTTATACAATTGTCATTTCAAGTAGTTCTACAACATTGACTACTCTACGTCACTGACTAATTGCTTCTTACGACAGACTTACAAATTGAAAATAGCATGAGTTAAGCTTATACAATGCAGAATCATTGCGGCTCTTGACCTGTGGGAAGATTACCAATGTTTGTCCACAACAGGGAGGCATTATGACATGATACATGATGACATTACACGACTTACAATTAGCGGTCTAACGCAAAGAGTCTCGATGGCACCGTCTGTTTTCGCCTGACCCACCGCGGCATCTAGTTCTAGTCTAAACAAACTACTCTACCACGAAGGACGCAAGATTCCATATGCTGCGCGCGTTTATTAGTCATCTAGAGATCCTCTCGATGACCATCATCATCATCACATTGTTATTACTATAAATCGACACTAGATAACAGAAATGCACTCAGTGATTGGTGAGATATGACCTGCCAAAAGAGATCCAACACCGACTCTTTCGTAAGTCTGAGGAGCGCACGACACTGAACGGACCAACAAGACATAATGAACAATCTCTTCATCCTCGTTCGCAGCCTTACTTTTGCCAACCACAATGCACTTCCAACTATTCTGATCGAAAGAATAATCTTTTGAGTCAACCTTTACTCTGCTCAAAAGGTCTCCTTCACCAGTTAATAGTAACAGTTGGTTTGCTTTTGCATGTAGGCGGTCATCGCATTGAGCCTCTTGGGCCGCAAACCTGAAAGGGCTCTCGGGGTTTCTGGTCCAATGGACCAGGTCGAAAGGAATTTCCATATATCGTATCTTCCCAGTGTACGCCATCCAAGACCAAGAAGGTATAGATCTGCTGTCTTTATATGGTATACGAGAAAGATCACCGGGCTCCTCAGCTTCCCAAAGCAGAGTCCTTTCTAGATATCGTTCATAGATACCGTAGCAGGCTTTAGACCCAAATGTGCGAGCCAATCGACTTTGTAAGCCAAGGATGGCCTTTGGACGATCGGTCGCCACAGTAAGGTGAAGTTTGCTATAAGTGTGATTGATGTGTTGAATAAGTCGTATACGATCATTTGTATGGTATTTGAGACTAGACACTGGAAAGTTGGAGTCACTTAAGACTTGTGATTGAGGACTATTTCGAGTATTGATTAGCGATTGTTATGTAATACACCATTGGTCGTATGCATACTTACGTAGGGCAGCCAAGCTTTCACAAAATATGCCTCGGCCACATTCCCAATATATTTGAGTTGCCGTGAAGTATATTGTACGGCGGGAAAGTGCTCTCTCCTGTAGTACCCAACCTCGTTTGCTCAATTCGCTCTGCTCAACGTCTGCATGAAAATCATCGATAGCTTCGGCAAGATATAACGGCCCGCCTGATGTCTGGATTTTGGCGTAGGCTCTAGGCCTTCGCTTGCCAAGGAATCCACTAAGAGAAGAAGTTCCGCGGCTCGCAGCAATCGTACAATATGCAAAGCTAAAGACTTCTTCCATCCTAGCGGCTTCTAATTCCCAGTCTTTTTCATCTTCTTGAATGATGCAAAGTGAGTCGATCCAGAGATACGGAATACCTAACGCACGAGTAACTGTTACTGCATCCTGGAAGGTCTTGGGTAACGCTTTATAGGGAATATTCATCTTCAGGGCTTCAATATTGTGAGCATACGTGCAGAATCTCTCTTCTTTCTTGAGTTTTCCCCAGCAATGACTCAATGCCACATAATGGTCATTAGTCATGTTGCTGGTTTCGACAAGGCGAATGGAATCGTGCCTAACATCTATGACTCTCGTAGGCATATTGTTACTTATAGCTGCAGTTTCTTGCAGTGGCATACAATCATGTGTTTCATCACAAAGGCGAATCCACTGGTTTAGAAGCCTAAATTGTGTGTTAGGAGACTCTGGAAGGTATGGAAGCCCACACTGGGCGTATGTTGGAACAAATCCGGATGCTGTAAATAGTTCAGCTATCCATATAATTACAGTGTACAGAAGTACAGAAGCAATGCTACAGACCTGGATCAGAATATATTGAGATCATAGGAGGCCCAACAGGGGAGCTTCTCACTACGTGAGAAGCGTCGTCCCGAAAAAGCTCCATAGGTTCCCCAAAATTCGGATTGGTTTTTGCACGACAGAGGGCTAGTAAGTGGCACAGCGAACAGTCGGTCGCATCAGGTTCTAAATGGTCAATTCTTAGGGCAGAATCTAGGGATGGCGACCCAAAATCAAATATTCGATCAAATTGACAAGGCTTCGATACGTGCCTTGTTGGACGGAATGAACTCTGAAGTCGAGTTATGAAAGATTTGGCCCAATTGTTCTCTGTTGCGTTTCGCCATCTGTTGTAAAAGCTAGTGGGCCGCTATAATCTGCTAGTATCTCATCGTATCGCTCGGCACAGAGCATTAAAGGCACTGTGTACATGAGGAACTCACCAGCTATATATTGTTAGGATTTCGAATCTAATTAATTTAAGGGTTTTACAAACATTCTCCAATTGCCCAACGAGCTTTCATTAGTAACCTTGAAATCCATGAGGGGGATTGATTCTTATTTGAGCTCACCATCTGGTTTTTATTCGTCAGTACAATCGTAGCTTAACGCGTAACAGGCAGGTCAACTTACTTGCGTTGAAGGATTAACGTCCTTTATGCCAGGTTCATTAGACGTGGATAATCGCTTGCCGCTTGCCAGTTCTTCCAGCTGGGGATTGAACAGATAATCTTGTTCCGGAACCTTCCCTCGGACTGTCTCCAGTGATTTTACCACTGCCTTAGAATCTGCTCGCTCCTTGTCTGATATGATTAAAAGCTTTTCCTCGATGAGCGTAATTACGTCACTAAATGCCGATGAACCCTTGAGATCGCCTCTCAGCCTTTTAGTCCATATTCCAATGGCAGAATGGATTTGTTCGGCACCCCCGGGACCAGCTTCTTCCAAAATCTGGAATTGGAATTTTGGCCGAGGTGACTGTGGAAAAGTTTTGTACCATCCACGTCGTAAACAGCCCAGATGATGAGTTCCAAGAAGACGCAACCCAATGACCATATATCATACTTTCGAGACAAAGTCTTGAGTTGCCTCTTTGGAGATACTTCTGGAGGCTCGTATGTGATACTGCCGTGTCTGGTTGTCGTCGTGTTGTTCCGATAGCGAGTATACATCTCGTGCTGCTTCGCGAGACCAACATCGGCTATTATCAGAGTAGATTCATTAAGATTTCCAGTACCAGGCCCCGAACAAAGAATGTTGGACGGCTTGATATCTCCATGCCGAATATTTTTATCATGGAGAGCTTTGATAGCTTCTGAAAGGCCGACAATTTGATCTAGAACCCATGCTACCAGGTTTTTGTCCAGTGTTCCTCGGCTGGATTTCAGCATATCTTGAAGGTTCCCCCCATTAGCCCATGGGAACAGGAAAAACTTGTCATTCCCTTTGGTATATGTAGCAATGGCTTTGATCAGATGTTTGTTATTCAATTCTTTCATTGTCTCCAGCGTATGTCTTTCCTTCTCATAAAACTTGTCCACGTCTGTCTGCTGGCCATTCTGAAATAGGCGCTTTACAGCTACGTCGAAAGAGCCACCTGAGAGAATATCGCCCTAGGTAATGTTAGTGAGCTGCCGATCCATGTAGAACTTACAACTCACATATTCTCCCTGTTGATAATGCGCATAATGGAGTTGTAGCTTCCGGACTTCACCGAAATGCCCTGAACCATCGCCAGATTGCTTTGCTGATGAATATGGGAGCCGATGCTTCCCATCAAACCCGTATATGAATTTTTTCTCATGAAATACTGGAGCCAGGAAAATCCATTGTTTGTGACAAAAACTGTCAATGTCGCTCCACTTCCAATCCTTAAAACATTCCAGGGGCGCATCCGAGTTGATTTTGCATATTTTGCGAGACTTGATGCATACAGGAAGATCTTCATCCTTGAACCCCCTAGTTTGGAGATTTTTCATTGCATTGACGGTGTTCGAAAACACCAAAGTGAGAAATACTTGCTTTGCGTGGGCCATAACATATTTTGCTAATTCATCAATATCCTCAGGGGTCATCTCTTTGATATGTTCACGCAAAGTTGATCTCACGCTTTCCGGTTGCATCAATGACTCGACCATGTTGTTTGGTAGGAAAAAATAGCATCCTTCGGGGTTCGCATCTCCCCCATCTGGATTGTTGATACAGCCATTATATATGTGATCATAGGTAATACTTGTGTCGTCTGTCGCAGATATTGGAGCGGCCATGGTTGAGAAATTTCAGGTAAAAGTCGGATGAGACCTCTGATAGTAATATGACTGTGACAAAATATTCCTTACTTGTTGTCAAAAAATTATGATCACTATCATGTTTATTATTGTTGCGTCCATGGCGGAGAAGATATAAAAGACATGGACGTTCAAAAGTCACGCCAGCGAATTCCTCATAATCATTTTCCGGTGTAACGATTTTGCCTGTTGTGACCACATGACTATATGCATGCCACGTGTCATTATCTCTGAGAGTTGGGCAAGTCTGAGTTGGGCATGAATGGAACCCAGCAAATAACCTGCAGAGGATACGTGTACAGGCATCAGGCTCTACATCAGGCTTTGCCAAGCAAGGAGGCTCTATTAAAAATTTTCGTCACCGAAAGTGGCACTAATGTCTGATTGGTTGCCTTGCAATATATCTCGGATAATCACGTCTGTTGAAAAAAAAAAAAAAAAAAAAAAGGCAACAAAAGGCGACAAATGCGTGTGGCGCCAGAAACCCACACCGGTGAGATGGATATATAATGAAAGTGTGCGTTGTGCAACCATCATAATTCCGTAGTGACATAGATGTGTGTTAGTCAGGCTTATTCATTACTATACCCCCATCTGTGAATACTACCCAATACATCTTATCCAAGACTAGTGGTATTGAAACTCACCGAAAGGATATTAACAGCCCCCTTTGGGCAGCCGTATCTAATGGTGCTGGCGTCTTGATGGCCTTTGGGAAATAATGGTAGAATCGAGGACTAGTAGATTGTAATTTCAATAGTGTCAATGGGATGAGTGAAATATCTCGGTATATAAGTCACTATTGTGCCAATGTGATAAACTGTTCAATTTCCTCTCCATCAGCCAGATCACGGTGAACTCTCCACCAGAGTCGATTCTCTATATCCCTAGTGTTTAGATTTCTCAATTCTTTAAATTCCTACCCTTGCTTTACAATCTGCACTTTCATCTGTAGACACATCTGTGACAAAACAGGTACTTCATTCTAATGAAGATTATATATATTCGTTGCGGTTCAAATGCTAACTGAGGTTATTTGTGGGACATAAGAAACACTACACTCTATAGAGTCTTATGACACAATGACCAATGATGCGAAAGGATCATCGACAGACCTCGCCGGGAGTGAAATTCGTTCAAAGCTACTGCCCGAGAACGAACCTATGCTTAACCAGTTTCTCCCACTCGGTGATCTAGAGACCATCTTACCTCGAACCACCATAGCCAAGATACTGCAGAAAATCTTGGCAGGCGGCCATTCAATATCAGATATAACTGAGAAAATACTAGGCAGCGGATGCAAGCCAAGTCTAAAAGTTTTCGCGACCCTTATACTCATGGAAAAGGTCGGGCATATAACTCAACTTTTACAACTTGAGGTACACGATGAAATGCTGCCTTTAACGCTCAAGTCGGATGCGGAGGTGTTTCAGAGCTGGAGTCAATCAGACATTGAAGCATTTTGTGAAAGACAGTACACATTTATGGCCCCTATATTCGATTTCCCTACAACGCAGCATTATCACTGGAGTAGATTGTTGCGTATGCCCTTTCTAGAACCATTGAAATGGGAGAAGGGGGGTGCCCACGGGCAAGTAGCCAAGGTCAAGATTCATCTTCAGCACCAGGTTTGGAAAACCCCTTTAGTAAGTCTGCACTAATTGAAAGATACATGAATATTGGCTCACCCTTTATAGAATTCTGGCACTCAAACGTCTTGCTTCGCCGTGAAAAGATTTATCGCCAAAGACGCCCAAGGCGTTGCGAATTTCAACAAGGAGAGGGCAGCATTGTTAAAGTTCAGTGGAGAAAACAGTGGACACAAACATCTTATCAAGCTGCTACTGTCTTATCAAATAGAAGACGGTCTGCATATGATATTTCCATGGGCAGATGGAAACCTTGCAGAGTTCTGGAAAAAATATCCAAGCAAGCCATCGGGAAAGGACTCATTGTGGCTCATTCAGCAATGTTTTGGCCTATCTGATGGACTTAGTATGGTTCACGGTTACAATCAGCGTCTACCAGGATATGGACATGAAGAAGACATAGCTGACATGGATGCGGCAAACCGCGGTCGACACGGCGATATCAAGCCAGAAAACATATTCTTCTTCCTTGAACCGAAATCGGACAGAGGCCTCTTGGTTGTTTCTGACTTTACTTTGATGCGCTTTCACTCTGACGATACCATTAATAAAACTGTCGCAAACATGGTAGGTTTTTCAACAGCATATTGTCCCCCTGAAGTCCAGCATGGATCAGATATCTTCGTTGATCAGAAATATGACATCTGGACCTTGGGATGCGTCTACCTGGAGTTTATTACTTGGTACTTGCTCGGCTACGATGCAATTCGTGGAAGGTCTTACAAAACTTCATCCGGAGTTCGAGTACCGAGCTTCCAAACAATGAGGCGGAATGATCACGGAGGGTCAGATGACAAATATTTTAGCCATATCCCCGGGCTTCCTCCTAAGGTCAAGACATCCGTCGACACGGTAAGTTGTGCTCCTTAATATGGTAGTGATTTGGCTAAAAACGACTAGTGGATAAGCATGCTGCATAAGCACGAGCATTGCTCTGATGCCATTCACGATTTTCTGTCCCTCATCGATCACTATATGTTGGTGCCATTGCCCAACAATCGGTATCCAATGAACAAAGTTCGTGATGAGCTTCAGATCATTGCTTCTAAATGCGAGGAAGATAGCAATTATTGCCTGTTGGGTAATCCGATGGGAACTATTATGAGGGGGGTTAATCACCTGTTTGAGCATTTCGGAATTCCGTCTTTTCAGCCGATCAGAGAACAACCTCCCAACATAAAGCAAGGCCTTCGAGAGATAATGAGAGGACAAGCAGAACTGAACATAGTATAGATACCGCGAATCCAATTGCTTTATTATCTAACCGAATAAAATTGCAGTATTGGCGTAAGGCGAAAAAGGGCACAATAGCTATCTTGATCCAGATATGCAAACAAACAGTGTTAGATTCCGAGTACAATGTGATGCTACAAACAGAAACTCGAATCACTAATATTCTCTGCATTATAATGCATTTGCTCCCAAACCAAAAACAAATGAAAGGAGGAAAGAAAGAATGAAATGAAATGAAAAGAAAAACAGTATAAGACTAGATCGTCTAAAGTCTGGAGAACAGAGTATTCAAGATCGTGTAAGAGTAAGAGAGAGAAACCAGCACCCAATTAGCTATTTTGTTGCAGCTTGGTGTTTAACGACGACTGTATTCATCTCTAACCCTATTCAGAAAAGAAGGAAAACCTGTTTCTTTTTTCCATTATTCAGGCCACGAAGTCTCGCTTGAACCCAGATGCTCACATTCAGCTTTCCTTCTGTCACGTGTCTGACAGAGACAATGAAAGACGTAAAATTATTGGGAGCTCAACAAGGCTCATGTCCCACTAACCTTTATTTAGCGCTGCAGGATACTATTCTCATGTCGTATAAAAGAAGTCTGGTGTCATGATTAGCAGGATAACAAAGTTAAAAGGTGCTGTAGGGGCTGGAACTATACCTGGATGGGTGTCACCAATCTCTTCCAGGCTATGCTGCCTAGAAGCAGAGCTCTCCTCTAAGAATTGTACGCGCTTCTTCTTGTCATTCAAGTACCCAAGGTACCATCGAAGAATTAGAGATATCACGACCACTGCGATTGACATTCCCAATGACGCTGTGTTTCCTTTTTTGTCTGATGTTGTTAGATAGACTGGATTATTTTTATTCCTTTTCAACGGATTTTCTACTTACAATACGGCGGATCGGTGTAAAGTTGGTTACCTGCTATCGAGAACGACTGTGCGAACATGTTAAACAAAGCTAGAGCGGCACCCCTATACCATAAAAGTTAGACGATTTCTGCTCGTTCATGGAATGGACATCAATTGATAACAATGGGCAAAGGCTTACCTCCTTGTATAACCGACAAAGTTCATAGCTGCCCAGGACAGAACTAAAACAACTTTAGAGAACATGCAAAAGGCGACTAGGCAAGTGGCGGCAAATCTAGCGTCGCGATTCTCAAGTCCAATCAACATGGCGTACCCTACAATCCCTCCAAGCGAAGAGATTGCAACTGTGAGCCCGCGAGCATTTGTTTTATCGGCGATCCTGGCAAAGAATAGAATGCCCAAGCAAGCGCATACGTATACGATCACTGTGAACAGCTGAGCTCCGATTGAACTATATCCAAAACCCTGTCAATGGTCAGCATATGGGGCGCGGGGTTTCTCCTTTGGTCGCTCAATAAATGACTTACTCGAACGAGGGCGGGTAGGAAATTAGACAGGGAAGATATTGTGAAAAGAGAGACGCAGTATAAACTAGTAAATAGCCAAAAGTGAATGCTCATCAGGAGCTTCAATATTTTCTTCGGCTGTAAGCGCGCTTCGGATGAATTGTGGGCTCGCTCGCTTCTTTGAACCAACTCTTCTTTCTCTGTCTCGGTGAAACCGTAGCGCACTTCTGAAGGCGAAGCCGGAAGAAAGAAGAGGACAACGAATGCGAACCCGATCGGTAGAACTCCTTCGATCAAGAAGATCCATTTCCAAGCTCTCCATCCATTTTTTCCGTCTAGATTCTTGCTGATTCCGTAGGAAAGTAATCCATTGAACGCACCGGCGAGAGTTGAGGTTGAAAAGAAAACTGCACTCCGAGTTGCAAGCTCGTGGTATTCGTACCAAAATGAAAGATCTATCAGAGAGTGTAACGTATTAGTATCGTATGTCTTGTATTTAGAAGCGGGATTTGCTTTTAGCATCCGTACAAAACGCGCCGCCTTGTACAAAGGCTTCTGCAGCACCGATGAGGAACCGTATGGCGATCAATTGCCCACTGGTTTTGACCAGAACCGTGAGAACTGTGAATAAACCCCACTAATGGCGAACAGTTATTAGCCAGAATAATCGGGAAAATCGGGAAAATTATCAGCTTACAAGTATCATTGCACCGCAAAACTGCACTGGTGCTCGTATTTTCCTGATTAATAGTGTGCCCGGTAGCTGGAACACAACATAGGAAACCAAAAACATGGAGGAAGCGTTTGAGTAGTCCTTCGGTGTGAGATGTAAGTCGTCTTCCAGACCGGCAATTAGAGCATTTGCCAAATCAGAGCGATCCTAGCCTCACGGCATCAGCTTCAAAAGTACATACTGGTGAATGATGACTTCAATTACCATGGAACCAAAGAAGTAGACAGCTGAAATGAGCGGCAAGATGAACCAGTCGAGCTTCCATTTGAGCTTGCGACGTTCTTTCTCATCGAGGTTCGATTCGACAGGGTTTTCAACATGCGAGGTATCCGTCTTGCCCAATTCGAAATCGGTGGTAATACTCGGCTCTGGGTTGTCCTTTGACATTTTGGAAGATTTAAAACGTAGGTTGTAATTGAAGAATACGGGACGGATGCTAAAAGTCTCAATGCAGGCGTGTTTAAGAAGTCTTTTGACAAACCATTGGAAGTGTATTTGCTGTTAAGCAGTATTTGTATCATTCTTGAGATCTCAACTACCCAGCGGTTACTGTCAACGATTGTAAAACCTGGGGTAAAGTGGAGTGACCGCAGTAGGCTCGGGGTAGAGCGAAACTCGGAGCAATAAGCGCAGTACTCCGATTGGCACACCTGGCGTTGCCGAAGGGCTGAGATCTCTCTTTTTTCCAACAGAAGTGCACATCTTTTCCTCTTTTTTCCTCTTTCTTCATGTTGAATATGAAAAGGAGTATCTGAGATTACGACTGAGAGCATACGCGGCCTTGCACTGCCCCGTGGTATCGTATGAGTCGAGATTGAGTCAACATACAGCAGCATTTTTGTATCACACATTTCTACAACCGGGGAATTCTGTTCTACTAGTAGTTTTGAACCGTTGGCAAAACTATTTGATATAATTTAGCCGTAATTTACGTAGCGGCATCTGATGTTGAGACTTCCCCGGAATAATTACGATTCTGGACTCGGAAATCGGCAAATTGACGTGAATTCGATAGAGCTGTGAGTCTAAATTCACTAGCGCTACCTGCTTTGTAGTTTATTTATTCGGAAGCATGATGGGGGAAACCGGCATCACATGTAATTGACACCCGGAGCGAATTTCGCTTCAAGTTTTATATCGAGCGTGGAGATCAAACTGCGATGTGATCCGCAACCGAATCTGTCTAAGCCTGAAAGATACTATGAAGCGAGTTTCGCTTAGTGTTTACTTTCTAGCATGAACAAATATAAGCCACCGTGACATTGAGTCAGTATCACGACAGGTTAGATTCAGTTGTATCGGAAAGATTCACCCAACATAATCGACTCTTCAATATGGATACTCTTACAAGCACCGTCGATGTTCCTCCGGAATTTCTAAAGCCGGCATACCTTATAGGGAAAATCCCACGACGAGCCCTGGCATCAGAACCTCGTGTCTCTTACGACCTCTACATCCCACCTGATCCCTACAAGTTCATCTCAATAGCCCAAAGCAAAGACGGGCCACAGACGGCTCCTCAAAAACTTCCGTTATTGGTCTTCATACATGGCACTCTACGGGATGATTGCTATATCGATAGAGGACTCATCCCCTTTGCTGAATCCACGCCGTGTGCCGTCATGGCGCCGCTTTTCCCAGCTGGACTTGATGGCCCATTCGACTTGGACTCGTACAAATTACTTCGGTCTCGAACACTACGATCCGATTTAGCGCTCTTGGGCATGCTGGATGAGGTGGCCCAGCGCTGGCCGGGCATTGACACAAGTAAAATATTTCTCATGGGCTACTCAGGTGGCGCACAATTTGTGCATCGGTTCCTCTATCTCTACCCTGAACGTCTCGCAGCTGTCAGTATTGGGGCTCCAGGCAGCGTGACTGTACTGGACACTTCAATGAAGTGGCCTGCGGGCATAGCAGATGTGGAAGAGCTTTTTGGCGTATGCATCAATAAGGATTTGATCAAACAGGTACACATTCAACTCCTTGTAGGCGACTCTGATACCGAGATTCACGGGGGAGAAGAATTTTGGATCTGGCTGCGGAAATTACGAACAGCATCTAGTGCTAAGTTGGTAGCCGGTGTACAGCCGGACAAAGAGTCGAATGGAGTACAACACAAAGAGATGGTGAAGAATAGGCTGGATACTCTGAAAAGACTGCAAACTTTGTGGAGAGAAGGTGGGATTAATGTCCAATTTGACATTATAGAGGGTGCGAAGCATGAGAGTCTAAAGTGCCAAGGTCATTCTTTGAAGTTCTTGGACGCGCTGATGCGTAAATGATGTAGTATAATATTTCAGCTCCAGCATGTAGTTTTAAATGTATACAATGATGTAGATTATATTCTCTATTGATTAGTTACCGCAGACCTATAAAACATGGTCCCTGATGTATCACGTCCCGGAGTCCCGTTAAGTCAGGCTCCTGTGATTGTCAATAAGTCTTTTACTTTCGATTTATCGCTGTATATCGTGCCAATTATTCGTACAGAATTAATATTATTCCTAGGGCTGCGTCCATAGCTCATCAAAAAAGTTATTTGAGGGTGACCCCAAAAATCCCAAGAGGTCGTCATATGTATTAGGCAGCCAATCGTTCCAATCAGATAGCGAGTTATCAGATATGGGTGGCCTAGAATGGCTTTCTGAAGCTACTAGATTTGTGTTTAATGACTGCAGCGTGGGATTAGTCGGCCGTGTGGAAGGGTTAACCGCTATGCACTCGCGAATCTTGCTCGCAATCTTCACACCATCATCTACTATCGTCGGACTCGGATCTCCGCTAGTATCGCTAAAGTATGCCGATGATATCTTGTCTTCTGCATGCCGGGACAAAAGACCAATCATTCTTGCAGTTCTAAAAGGCTCGTCTAGTTCCTCGGTGGACCAAGACAGGAATGTTTCGTACACTTCTTTTATCTTGTTGCGGGCCAAGGTTCGCTCCTGAGGTTCGATGTCTTGCGCCATGGCAAGGAATTTTGTCAAATACATCCCGGCTATGCATAATACGCGGAAAAGATGCTTGGGGTAATACACTGTTGCCCTCTCGAGTTTGCGAATTCCGTGAGATGATGATTCATCGGTGGGTGGCGTGTCGTGTGGACGGAGACTTGAATAAATGCTAGCAAGTTGCACGGCTGCATGGAATCCTCTGTACCAAACTGCCCTCTCCTGGCTGCTTGATCTCCTTTCCATTTCTCTGGACTTTAACGCCAACAACGGTACAGCACATAGTCGCAATTTTGCTGCCAAAAAGTCAATCTGATATCTCTGAGACAGTGGGTTCGGTATTCTAGCTCCCAAAGAATCCAGGTCGCGCTCAAGAAGGCCTAAAAGCGACATTTGCAGCTGACTTGGAGAGGTACCGGACATCATCGTAGAAACTCGAATCGAGTATTCCTGTAGTTCACACCGCGCCCAAAACTCGTCGGAAAAGTATTGCTGCATATGCGACCTGATGATTGGGAGTCGTCCCGCGACAGAAGTCATCGGTGGTGGAAAGCCATGGTCGGTCGCTAGTCTAAGCGGCATGCATGTCAAAAGCCTCGATCTTGCTTTGCATATTTGGAAGGGGATTTGGTGACACTAACTCTGTACTGATAACAAAGCAACCGAGCCATGTTTTAAAATACACCAGAGAGTCGGGAGATATATCTCCCATGGTCGGGAGCGATTCGCGAATTCCTATCTGCTGCACAGCTGAAACTGCAAGATTACAGTAGTTCCAACTTGGATCATCACTCTGGGTCATGACCGGCATAGGCCACGCACAAAGCAACAAGAGGGATTGAACTGTGTAAATGGAGCGGATTGGTCTAATCAAGTATTCAGATAGTAGCTGATGAAAGGCGGATTTGAGTCGTGTAAATTGCTGGGAGTGAACCGGGTGATTTCTCGCTGATACGAGCAACAACGTCCAGAAGAGAAGCTCGCTTTCTTGATGGAGCCAGTCAGCGGATTTCCCGGAAGTGATAAAGGGAACATGATGAAAATAGTTGAGATAAAAACTGCATCGAGTCAGAATAATTGCTCTCTACTACGTGATGGGATTGAAACTTGCTGTTCTAAGAGCTCGTTGATGATAAGAGACCCGAAATGTATACCTCCGAGCTCATATACTGTCGTTGTGGAGGATGGCGTCGTGCACTCAGCAGGTAGCGAAATATCTACCCCGACGCTAATGTCTTCAGGCGTTTTCGTATTCTTAGAGTTAATTGATGGACTGGCATCAGATGCTCTTGAGCCATTCTTCAACGAATCGATAAGCTTCTCGAGTTCTTCTTTTTCTTCAATCACCTTTTGTAGAGTTCTAGAAACAATGAGACATTTAGAAACGAGACAATGGAAAGTAATGTTTACCCTCTGACTACTTGTCGCTTGAATCTTGGATCAAAAACGCATGTTTTCACTTGCTTCTCGCACCTCGTACAAGGAGCTGGGAATCGTTGTTGAGCATCACATCGCAGCTTTACAAAACAAGTTAACAAAAATGGGACCCTTCTCACGATGGAGTAAGACGTGGAGAAACGAACCTTTACCTGCCGGCAGGTCGTGCATGCAATCGAAGTTCGCTTTACGGCCGGCATCTTCGGCACTATGGAAGAATTATCCGAGTCTTTGATCTGTTATCATGGGGAAGCTTGAAGTGGCCTCGAATTCGCTGTGACAGAGACAAGTTTGGCATCCGAAATTCGCTCTGCATGCGAATATCGCTTGTCGGGCCGAAAGTGGCTGTTTCGGCGTGCGGGAAGTCGGAGCGGAATTCGTCTGAACGCCGTCGCGCAGCAAGACAGTGTCTCTATATGCTGTATATTGCATCATATATATAAGATACGAGCTTCTAATAAGCAAGTCAAATACCCGAGTTTATGAAGAATCATTTGATCGTTTTCCATACTCCAATCTTCTTGAATTAAGTACTTCGACAAGATGGGTTCCGTCGCCACTCTCACACCCGGCCTCGAGCCACTCTGCCGCATAATTACACCAATTGGGATGCTGGGCTATGGCTTCGATGAATCTGACATCAAGGATGCTCTAGAATACTCATTGATCAGTAAAACACCCACTGCAATCATTTTGGACTCTGGCTCTACCGATTCAGGGCCTATGAAGTTGGCCTTGGGAACAATGACCTGCCCTCGCGCATCCTATGAAAGGGATTTACGGAAGCTTGTCGCCATAGTAACTAAATACCGTCTTCCGGTACTTATTGGGTCAGCAGGAGGAGATGGAAGCAACAGTCATGTCAAAGAGCTTGTGGACATTATCAAAGAGATTATGGCATCTTCAACCAACAGGTAAGTGTTATCACTCGCCCATGTAATTCTTGAGTTGTTTGCTAATAAAGGCTGGTTGTCTTTCAGTGCTGCTCAGCTGAAAGTGTTGGCGATATATAGCGAAATTGACGGCAGTACCGTATTGGAACGGCTGCGTACGGGAAATGTCTCAGGCTGTGGCCCTTGTGTGCCCCCCTTGACGGCTGAAGACATCGAGGCCACCAAGACGATTGTTGGACAAATGGGCCCAGAGCCTTATGTACGAGCCATGTCAGCTCATCCAGATTTTGACATCATTATTGGCGGCCGTGCCTACGACCCAGCGCCATACGTTGCCTTTTGCGCCTACCACGCCTTTGATCAATCCTGTCGTCCCGTCCTCTCCCTTGACAGTCATATCTTGGGCGGATTCACACATATGGGCAAGATTATGGAATGCGGCGGCTTATGCGCTACACCCAAGAGCCCTTCTTCCCAGGCAACGATCTACAGAGATGGGACATTTGATGTGCGGCCGCTTCTCCCTGGAGCTGTTTGTACTCCCACTACCGTTGCTGCTCATACCCTGTACGAGAAATCTCGCCCTGACCAGCTTCACGGTCCTGGAGGATACATCGATCTTTCTTCCTCCACCTATTCGCCGCTGTCGGATAACTGCTCAGTCAGGGTCAATGGAACTACATTTCACTCTTCAAAGAGAGACGGTGGTTGTTACACAGTCAAATTAGAAGGTGCCAAAGTCATCGGTTACCGGACAATGTTTATGGGATCGTTTGTAGATCCGACTTTAATCTCTCAACTACACCCACTTTTGGATAGAATCAAAGCGTACGTGACTAAGCAGCACGCACACATCACCGAGAAATGGGAGCTTGGATTCCATATATACGGATACGACGAGGCTAACAAGGCGGTCCATGCAAAAAACGTGTTTCTGGTTGCTGAAGCACTCGCCGAGACACAAGCAACAGCTACGAGCATTGCCTCCACTGCTCGAGTTGGGTGTGTTCACGGACCATATAAAGGTCAAAAAGCCACGAGCGGCAATTTTGGCTTTGGGTTGGGTGGCAAGGGGGAGATTGAGACAGGTCTCTGTGCTGAGTTTTCAGTCTATCATTTGATGAACCTGGAAGATGGGGAAGAAGACGCCACCCAAATTCTTGACGGCGAACAAAGCAAGCAGAAGAAGCTATTCTCTTTTGAAGCTCTACTTGTCGGAACCGGAGAACGAGTACGACGTAGGCATCATGATGCTGACATAACTTTTCAACTTGAGGACGCAAACTTGTACCCAACACCAGTCAATGCAGTACCTGAGATCATAGAACCCACCCCTTTTCCTCAGACCATCGGAGAGGCAGCAAAGGTTATTAGGTCGAAAAACGCAGGCCCATACGAAATCACATTCGACATCATCTTTAATGACAAAGAGACATATGACAGAGTCAAGAATTCTGGCCTTCTTCGACCCGAGTTAATTGCAGAGATATACGATCTCTCTGTTGATAACATTGTATACTGTGGTTTCTTCGACCAGGCTCTGGCGTTCAAGGCTACTATTCCCCGAATGCGCAATGGACGGCCTGCGGTATCTGGTGGCTTCATGGAAGATGATGTTCATGGGTCGCAAAAATATTTACCTCTGATGAACTTGAAACTTGGTGGTAAATGATTCGAGGAGACTGTCTGGGATGTGGGTGGTATAACAGTTTTTCACGCTGTTGAATGTCATTTGAGCTGTATCAAAACTAAGCCTTGTGCTCATACCATCAACTTGGCCCTTGAGGTCTTACATCGTTGATCGCACCATCGCACTATCACAACCAAAGCAAGAAGAATTGATGTCGTTAATTTTGCCTCATTAATGCTATCTAGTATAATATATTCAAAAGTACATTGATCAAATAGTAGCGAATAATGTGATTATTACAGTGCCCCAAACTCTAGGTTAAGTCGACTGGTCCAGGTGGCCTTGAGGCGTCCAAACCGACATCCGACGCATATCCTTCTCTACCGGCGACATCATTTGTGAAACAAGGAAATGAATGTACACGTAGTTGTTTGACTCGGTCGGGCTTTATTGTCACAAGTTGGTCTCGTTTTGATCATAACCGTTATCTACCTACCTATAGGGGCAGGGCTGTAGACTACCTAGGTACCTATGTTGAGAATCACGTGTGACTCCACGTGATCCTCCTGCTACTGCAAGCCGCGACTGCCTCGTTGGCCGTTTGTCATTGAAGTCGATGTCTTCTGTTTCTTTCTTTGCTTTCCCTTCTTTCTCGATAGCTTCGTCGAGACTGGAGGAAATAGAGTCCTATTTCTCCACAGACTATAACCGCAACGTCTCCAACAACTTGACAGGCTCCATGGCTGACACTAGCCCGGTCTATCATTGGCTCCCAGATGCATCAACGGATATTTTAGCGTACCTAATGGTTGCTGTACTATCAGGGATGGGGCTGACTTGATTACAGCGAGATCTAGGAACTCGCATCAACCAAAACGAGCAGCTTCCAGCCAGTGTAGACTCCCAAGGGTCATGATGCTTGAGTCGGAGATTGCGCAAGCCAGAACAGCAGCTCGCTCACGACCTTTGAGGCAGCCTATGCTGAGGGTCCGGACGGGCTGCTTCACATGCCGGAGTCGCAAGAAGAAGTGCGACGAGACGAAGCCGGCGTGCAGCGGCTGTAAGAGGAACAAGCTGGTGTGTAACTGGCCGGCGCGCGGTGGCGAGACGAGCAACCGGCGAGTTGAGGTTACGCACAACAACAACGACATCCGCAGGGTGGGTGATGTGAATTCGAATTCAGGTTCAAGGAAAAATCGCAGCTCGGACGGGGATCAAGAGCGTCAGAATTTGTCTCCAACCAATGCCGAACATGATCATCACAGCACTCCGGGGTCGCAGTCGTACGGCGAGTTGGAGATGGAGGAGGGCCCAGCCGTGCGGAGGAGCGGCACCAGCACCAGCACCGCGTCGCCACCAGTCGTAGGCCAGATGCAGGGTCAGTATTCGCCCCCTCCTGTGTTGGCATCGCCCTTTGAACGTCGCATGTCGATGCAACAGTCGTCTGATGACGGAGGGGTTGCCATGGAGATGATGGATGAGGATGAGCATGTTCCGGATGAGCTGCTGGACCTACATGTAGATGACGACGATGATGACCGCGACAACGACAACGCACTCATGAGCCTGGCGGACATCGACATGTCAGGGCTCTTGCCTGGGTTCATGTTGCTGGGTGCGGTTCCACGGCCTCCTTCCATGATTCCAGAGGCGGAGAATGGGACGTTTGATCTCATGAGCCATTACCTGGCTCGAACGGCTGTCAGCATGGGCAACGGGTCGACGTCGTCCAATCCGTTTGTTCTTCATCTTGTGCCGCTTTCTTTTTCCAACAAGCTCGTCCTCCAGTTGGTCCTTTCTCAGAGTGCTGCTCACCGTGCCGTTTACGAGGAGCGGAGAGATCTCAAGGCTGTGGCTCAGCGGTACTACACCAACTCGATCAGGAGCTTTCGACAGGCCATCAGTGCGTACATCAATAGGTCTGACCCAAGTCCACTCTGGGTGACTATTGGGGCTCTGGTGATGTGTTTTACAGAGGTATGTTCATGTTGTTGAATTTCACAGCTTGGTTATGCTGACACCAAGCAGACGGCGAGAGGGGATACAAATGGCGTGGTGTTTGACCATCTGCAAGCCGTCGAGCCACTCTCGATTGATCTGATCACAAACCACAATCACATTGTCCGCGACGATCTGAAGAAATTCATCATGGAGTATTACGTCTACACAGTGACCATCAGCATGATCTCCGCAAGTCCCGCCTCAAGGAGCGCGCCGCTCTTGAACCCAACACTCGAACTCGAGGCCCACAGCCTTGTCGCCTCGGGATATATCGGCCAGCTTTGCGGGTGCTGGCTGCAGCTTTTGCTTCTGATACCTCAGATATTCGAGTTTGGGAGGCGCGCCATCAGAGGGGGTGCCGATGTCGATCCTCCTTTCCCGTCACCCGACGACTTTATCACGTTTGCGACACTGCAGGCTGAAATTCTTTCCTATACGCCCAACCCAGATGCGACCAAAGAAGTCATTCTTTGTGGCTACATGTTCCAGCAAGCGCTTTACTTGTACCTTCTTACGGTCTTCAGCAATGAAGCTACGAGCGGCGGCCTACAAAGGACCAGCATCGACAACGCCGTGTCCGAAACCTTCTCTTATCTCGAACAGCTCCCGCCGACAGCGCGCATCAACACCAGTCTCTGCTGGGTCCTGGCGGTGGTAGGCTCATGCACACTGGACGAATCTCGAAGAGACCAGCTTCGACGACGCCTGGAATGCATGTTCCAGACGATTGGCCTGGGCAACATTTCGAGTACATTGACGCTTCTTGAGCACATCTGGACACGGCCAAAGAGCGAGCAGAATCCGTGGGCAATATGCAGAGTTATGCAGGAACAGGAAATCTGGATCTCGTTTGCTTGAAAAACCGAGCTTAGTCTACTACTACACTGACTATACAAATTTCCAACAACATGAAGCATTTCGTTTTATTTTCCCTGGTTTTGAGGTGCTGCGGTCGCTGGGCCCTCGGGCGTCACGTACGCCTTTGTTAAGCCACCGTCTACGACAAAGTCATGGGCATTGACGAAGCTGCTCTCATCGCTTGCTAGGAAGACGGCGGCCTGTGCCTGTTCAATGGCCTCGCCGAAACGACCAGTGGGGAAGTGGACTTCGCGACGGAAGCGCTTGGGCTTGTCGTCTCCGAGGAACTCTTGGAGCATGGGAGTGCTGGCAATTGAACGTTAGATTCAATCGCAACATGGTGTGGTATAATAAGATATAGTGTGAGCATCAACTTACTTCAAGGGGGCAGGACAAAGAGAATTGAAGCGAAATCCTTCTCGCGCGTGAACAATAGCCATCTCACGCGTATAAGCCAAGACGGCGCCCTTGCTTGCCGTATACGCAACTTGAGGCGTGGCTGAACCGACAATGGCGACCATGGAAGCTGTGTTAATGATGCTTCCCTTGGTCTTGCCGTGTTTCCTGAGCGAACGAACAGCATGCTTGGAGCCGTACCACACGCCCTTGACGTTGATGTTCATGGTCAAGTCCCAGATGTCGTCAGGACACTCTTCTGAATCGCCATCCTTGGGGTGCATGATGCCGGCGTTGTTGAACATGACATCAACGCCGCCCCATCCATCGACGACGGCAACAGCAGCCTCGACTTGGTCCTCCTTGGAGACGTCGACGACTTTTGTGTCGACTTTGCCCTGGATGGTCGTGACGACGCTCTTGACCTTGGCCAGGGCCTTTTCAAGGGCTGCGGCGTTGACGTCTGTCATGAGGACGGAGGCGCCCTCCTGCAGGAACAGAATGGTGGACTCGAGGCCGACGCCGCTGCAGAATGGCGGTTAGTTGAGCGTTTGTTTACGACATGGAATGCCCAGATATCAATGGAAGCTTGAGGCTGACATACCCAGCTGCGCCTGTAATGATGGCGTTCTTTCCAGAGAGTCGCCCAACCATGGTGAGATTTGACGTTGATGTATTGGACGTAAGATGTGAGCTGAGGCAAGAATCAAGTTGTGTATATGTTTGTACGAATGGACGAGAGTTTGGAAACGATGTGGTGATGGAGGAGAGCACACTGGATGACAACGAAGATACTCTTCAAGCCTGCGATTTGAATTGATCTTTTTGTATTTCTCTCTTCACGACACATAAATAGGTAGCTGTAGTTACATCCTCCCCCCACACATTCAATCCTCAGACAACGTGAGCTATCTCATCTATAGACACAGTGATCCCCGCATGCATGTGGTGTTGAGCTGCATAGGCCCGTAATTGATAATAGCCGCCTAGCGATAACGGACCGCAGTGCCGTATGACCACTGCGCGGTTAGCGTTTTAGGGGACAAACGCGCTACAGTTAGTGGTTTGGTGGTTGCTGGTGGTTGGTCCGTTTTCGCTATCACAGCACCTCAACTTCTCCTCCACACCACCATGAGTCCACACGCACATCTTGTGATTGCTGCTTGATTGCTTGGACAGTTTATCGAATATGGAATTTATCCGTGTCAACGGTGCCATCATCTCATCGTCGTCTACCGCGATCCGCCCACGCCGGTGTCCTGCCAATCACAACGCATTGCGCCCTCCATGTTCGCGGGATATCCTCCATGGATAGCTCAACGACCACACGAGGAAGATGCCGAACTATGATCGATCTACGTATTGAGTTGGACCCTAAATTGCTAAGACGTGGGGGGTGGAAAAGTATAACATCAATTTCTATCTCAGATATGAGGTCGTCAAGGGATTGAAGCATCGACGAACCTCCACTGTGCCATCAGTATCTCCGTTCACTTCACCATCTCAACACCATGTCTTCTACCATCAAGACCATCTCCCCTACGACCAACAAGGTCATCTGCGAACGCCCAGAAACCACACTCGATGAAGCTCGCGACATCGCCCGCCGCTCCAAGGCGGCTTTCCAGTCCTATCGCAAGTTGCCTCTCGCCGAGCGTCGCGCCATCGTGACCACGGCCTTGGCAATTATCCAGGAGCGCAAGATGGAGCTCGGGCGCGAACTTTCAGAGCAGATTGGACGGCCTGTTGCCTTCAGCCACAAGGAGATTGAGACAATGCAGAAGAGGGCTGATTATCTGCTTGAGATTGCGGAGGAGTCTCTGGCCAGCTTGCCTGGGAGGATAAAAGAAGCTGGGTTCAAGAGGGAGATTAAGAAGATTCCCGTTGGACCGACACTGATCGTCTTTGCATGGAACGTAAGTGCATACAATGCCAAAGGTGTGATATTGGATGAGTGTCGTCGCTCACAGGCATAACTAGTTCCCCTACCTCATCATTGTCAACGCTCTCGTTCCCGCCCTCCTCGCCGGAAACTCCGTCATCCTCAAGCCCTCTCCGCAGGTGCCTCTCGTAGGCGAACGAATCGCCGAAATCTTCGCCACCGCCGGCCTGCCCAAACATGTCCTCCAGGTCATCCAGTCAGGTAACCCCGCCACACTCAAGGAGATTGTCAAGCTGCCGGAGCTGGGTCTAGTGAGCTTCACTGGCTCGACGGCGGGAGGTCTTGCCATTCGCGAAGCTGTGGCGGATAGCACTGTTCCTGTCAACTTGGAGCTTGGTGGCAATGATCCGGCGTATGTGCGACCAGATGCGGATCTGGCATATGTTGCTGAGCAGTTGGTGGATGGTGCTGTGTTTAATTCTGGCCAGAGTTGCTGCGCCGTGGAGCGGATCTATGTTCATGTGGATGTGCATGATCAGTTTGTCAAGACGCTTCAGGACGAGCTCAAGAAGTAAGTTGTTGTCACGTATGATTATGATTCACATACTGAATCCTTGCTAATCGTCATGTCAATTCAGGTACACTCTTGGCGATCCCTTCGATACCAAAACAATGGTCGGTCCTGTCATCTCTCGCGCCGCTGAAAAGACCATCAACGCACAAATCTCCGATGCCCTTGCCAAAGGCGCCGTCAACGCGACCCCCGAGAACAAGTCGTTTACCAGCGCTTCTAAGGATGGTAACTTTGTTGCACCCATCCTGCTCACCAATGTGACACACGACATGGATGTGATGCGCGAGGAAACATTCGGACCAGTTATTCCCGTCGCCAAGGTCAGAGATGATGATGAGGCGGTGCGATCGATGAATGATGCCGAGTACGGCTTGACTGCGAGCGTGTGGACAAAGGACATTGCCCGCGGCGAAGAGTTGATTGAGCTGCTTGAGGCCGGTACCGTGTTTGTGAATCGCTGTGACTATCCAAACCCTGTAAGTTGGACACTCTCTGCTCTATGATCTACAATCAATGATTTATGTGCTAATGGTCTTATTACAGGACCTTGCATGGACAGGTTGGAAAAAGTCTGGCTTGGGCTGCACCTTGGGGCCACGCGGGTATGATGCTTTCGTTAAGCTGAAGAGCTACCACATCAAGGAAAAGCAAGGATAAAGTTCTGTGATTTCAATGTATGGACGTCATCGATGAGAAGTGATTACGGGATAATTATATGTTTATATACAGGAAATGTTGATTTGTTGCCTATAATGGCCTTGGGAATGAACTTGCTTACAAGTGCTCGAGTTGCTTTCTTTCTTTCTTTCTTTCTTTTTTAGTAAAAAACGAAAACTGAGTCATCAAATACCTTTTCATATTCTACAACTTTTATTCCAGCAATCATCCGATTTTTATGGCCTATAAGACTGGTCACATAATGTACCTAGGTACGTATCGGTACTTGAACTTGACGTGCCGTTTCCCACATTTATAGAGGGAAATCTAACACACTCAATGCCTTTTGCTAATCATCAAGATCTCTCTGATTATTCTAGAATATCAATAGAAACATATTGTTTTGCCATTAAAACCTTGCATGGATTTACTAATACAACTCTGCAGCCCATCAACCCTCCATTAAAAACTTCCAAACCGCCTCTCCAACCATGGCTCCATCATGATGACCATCAGCCCTTGACATGGCACTCTCAAACATCTCTTGATCAAACACGTTTTGGCTCCTCCTTAGTGTAAGAATCTCCGACATAATTACCCCATTAAACTCTGGGTGTGCTTGTAGAGAGAATATTCGCCTTGGTGCGTATAAGCCTTGAATACCGCAGACTGGACTCGTTCCGAGGTTCTGAACTCCGTCTGGGAGTTGGAGGACTGCGTCTCGATGCATTTGATGAAGGTCCTGTTCCCATGTTAACGGCTGTTATGTGAGGCGAGAAATCATCCCTTGGCTTACTATTGATGCGGAATTGAAGAGCTCGCGGCCCTTTGGTGCGAGATCGATGTGATCAACAGACACCTCCCACCCCTTGGGGTTACGTTGTACGACACCTCCTAGAGCTCGGGAAATGATCTGATGGCCAAAGCATATTCCAATAATTGGAAGCTTGCTCGTCTGGTGTGCAGTGCGGATATACTCAACTAGCCGTAGAATCCAGGGGTCATCTTCGAATGAGTTGTGTTCTTTGAGTTGTTTGTCAGTCAACAACTAAAATCAACATCTCGGCTATATTCTATACAAAGACTTACTACTTCCAGTGAGAAGAAGACAGTCAACTTGATCGAAAGCTGGCAGATCCCCCAAATCCACCATGTTACTCTTAATCAGTCGAAGATCCACATCCTGAGGCGTAGTGGTATGATTCAGATACTTAGCCAGTCCATTTCTTAAGAACCGTTCAAAGATGTCTCCATACGAGCCAAACTGCTTCACAACTGGCTCGATGGGCGTGTCACATTCGAGAATTGCCACGGTGTAGACTCGCGGAATGGCTTGAGGCCTGGAACCCATAGTGTAAAGATGCTAATATTGATAGCTGATCCGATGACCATAAGCCCGCATCATCTGAGGGGATATAGATATGACACGGCAATTTAAGCCGGTCGCATTACAGCGCTTTCTGTTCTATATTGGAGTATCAACGTATGTCCTATTAGTAGAGCTCCGCGGTTATACAGTTCATATCGCCCTGCGAACTAGTTGGCTTGCCACAATCAACCTTGATCCCAATCTACCTAGGCTGCTAGGCAAAGCGAACCGCCATCAGCATGTGGGCGTTCGCATGGTGCCATCTCCACCCACACCGCGGAAACGACGATGATTGGCCTTTTTACTCCGCGCTCGCATCCTCATCGCAGCCGCTATCGATGGAATTGTTCCATGAGCTTGAGCTTGTTCATGCTCCAAGTGAAATCCGTGGGGTTGCATAACGCGGCTACGCTACATGTACATAGTCTTCTCACGGGCTGGAGCGTGGGATCATCCGCGGTCGAGAAGTGGAGGAATAGTATTGCCGTAGTGTCACAGCGTTTCTCTTCTAGGAAACACACTTACACACTGTAACACAGCGCAACAGCTCGAAGAAGGCAAATTATCGTTTTATCAAGAATAGATAAGAACTCGTGGAGTTTTCATCAACCTCTATATGCCCTCCAATCTTGTACAAGCAACAGGCCATGAGTATCAACGACACAATGTCTCCACAAGAATCCCTCAAGAATCACAACCAGGCCTCCATGGACGGCCTTGTCAACGGCGTCGAGGACGAGGATGCCACAATTAGTCAGTTCAAGAGGCTCTTGGCCAGCGATACCAAGGTCAAGGTCGCAGGCATCGATTGCGATGGCATTCTTCGAGGCAAGATTATGAACAAGAGCAAGTTCCTCTCCAGCCTCAAGGGAGGATTCGGCATGAGCTCTGCTATTTTTGGCTGGGACATGCATGACCTCTTGTATTCGGAAGAGAGCAACTTGACCAGCGCCAAGACGGGATATGCCGACTTCAACGCCGTTGCTGATCTGGAATCAATGCGAAGACTGGCCTTTGAGGATAATATTCCCTTCTTTCTGTTGCGCTTCTTTCTTGCAGAGCAGTCTGTCGTCGCAGATGGACGTGGCCTTGTTAGATCCTTGACGGACTCTATGGCTGCGTCTGGCTTCCAGGGTTTGGCTGGAGGTAAGCACACCAAGCAAACTGTATTTCTCGTAAACCAAGAAAAAAGAAAGATTGCTAATGTTTATTCATAGTTGAGCTCGAGTTTATGAACTTCCAGACTCCAAGCGAAGATGGATATAATGCTCCGCATGGACGACAGAACCTCGCTGCATATCTCTCCTCCAACACGCCACAGAGCCTGCGGCCCGTAACGGCGGGTAATTTTGGCTACAGCGTGTCACGTCCTATTCTGGCCAAGAGATACTTCCATGACATCTTTGATCAGAGTCTGCAGGCGAATTGCCCTGTTGAGGGATGGCACACGGAGAGTGGGCCCTGTGTATATGAAGCTGTAAGCAGCGAGAGATGGATTAGTTGTTACAACGCATCATCATGCTAACGTATCCGGTCAGGCATTAGCTGTTTCACCAGTCGCCCAAATGGCTGACAACGTATCAATCTTCAAGTATGTGTGACAACTATCCCGTGTCCAGGTTATGTTATCGACTCTCTAACCAAAGCTTCTTCAGACTCGTCTGTAAATCGTTGGGCGTCGAGCACGGCATAACACCATGCTTCATGGCCAAGCCACTTCACGGGCTTCCCGGAAATTCCGGTCACATCCACGTCTCCCTAACCGACCTCCAAGGCCATAACCTCTTCGCCCGCGACACACCCGATCCCAACCCCAAATGGTCCGATCTCACACACTTATCCGACATTGGCCTCCAATTCCTGGCCGGCATCATCACTGCCCTTCCAGACATTATGCCTCTCCTTGCACCCAACATCAACTCCTATAAACGCCTCGTCGAGAACTATTGGGCCCCCGTAAACGTTAGCTGGGGTTTCGAAGACCGTCTCTCATCCATCCGCCTCGTCGCCCCTCCAAGCTGCAAGCCTTCAGCAACACGCTTCGAAATCCGTGTCCCCGGCGCAGACATCCATCCTCACTACGCTCTATCTGCCATCTTCAATGCCGGCATGAGGGGCATCAAGCTGCAATTAGAGATTCCGATTCCTCCTGAGGCATCACGGCCGGAGGACCAGCCGGCGGAGCGCTTACCGAATAGTCTCGGCAGTGCGCTCGAGCGTTTCAGTGCGAAAGGCAGTGTTGCGAGGGAGATTATGGGTGATGAGTTTGTGGAATTTTTTGCTCTTTCACGACGACATGAGTTGAGGGTGTGGAGGGAAGCCGTCACTGACTGGTAAGTTGTCACTGGAACTGATACAAGATTTGCACGCGTGCTAATTGGATTTCTAGGGAATTTAACAGGTATATTGAGACTGCTTAGTTCTGCTGTACTATATCACTATATCATTATTAGTGTGGATGGTTCAAGATATTGTTTGAGCGTAATCATTTGTTGTTTTCATATTACTTTGAGGCCTATATGCTGGTCGTTGTGATGTATTCATATAGTTATTCTTGTATCATTTTATGCCTACTCAATCAATACTTCGACGCTGGAAATCGCATCATCCCTCGATAAATTCTGAAATACGCCCTAGATTGATCTCAAAGGCGCATATTTTATTAAATTTTACTGAAGGCACATTTGCTAGTTTATAGCTGTGGCTTGAGTTATTGCATCGGATGTCGCCTTTTAAGGCATTGCGTGAGTAGAGTCTTTCATTAAATCTACGTTCTTAAAGATGGTTTGATGTCTACTCGAACAAATTGGCAGGTATTTATTACAGACTAAATATACTAAGTGAAGCAAGAAACATAACATCCTATAACTAATGAACGCTGTTGGAGAGTGGACGGTAGTCGACTCTAGCCCTGATATACCACCACGCAGTCAAAATTATGAATGTGATGACATAGACGACTGATACGTAGTTCATGTTATCTCCCTTGACAGGCATCACTGGGGGCAATGCGTACATCTAGTGATAATTTTATTAGCAAATGGAGTCCATAATGTCACAAAGAGGAAATTGCTTACCATAAGCGTAAAGATAAGCCACAAAAGAAGAATATAGTTGCAAACCATTCCCAGCTTTCCTAGCCAGAATGGTCCGTGGCGAATAGATGAACGTCCCTTAATCAGCAGGCAAATAACCGGGATACTGTAAGAGGCATAAAGAAGCACAACGCAGGCAGTGACCATACTGTTGAATGCGGTGTTGGAAGCAAGATACAGACAACCCAAAATGCTGACAATTATGCAGCTAATGACATGAGCCCAGATTGGCACGCGAAGCTTGGGATGAACGCGGCTCAGGTACTTTGAACCAGGTAGACCGTCATCACGGGCAAAAGACCAGCAGAGACGGGCTTGCCAAGTGTGTGAGGCAATCAGACATCCGCATCCAGTAAGCACGATCAAGGAGCAGAGCACAATGGCTCCGGCCTTGTTGCTCAGGGCTTGGTCGAAAAGCTCCAAGATGGGGACGCCGGTTGGTGTCGAGCTGACGGCGTCAAAGTCCTTGATACTAAACATCATGGCAATGCCAAAGAGCCAGGCAGTCACAAAGCCCACGATGACCGTGCCGATGATGGCAATTGGAATGGCCTTCTCGGGGTGGAGAACCTCCTCGGCCATGTGCGTGGCGGCATCGAGACCGTTGAACGCCCAGTTGCAGTTGATGAGGCCGACGATGTAGGCAATTCCGTTGTTCTTCCAGCCAGTGTTGTTGACGAACGTGGCAAAGACAAACTTGGCTGACTGATGGGTTTCGGCCTTGCATGGTACGGTCAAGATGATGACGAGGAATGAAATAATCGAGGTCCAAAGCGTGAAGAATGTAACAGTCGGGAGCGCAGTACTGGAGATGTTGAAGATGGCGCAAAATATGTTGACAACTTGATAGGCAACGAAGCTCATCCATGGTTTGATGACTCTATATCATATGTGTTAGTTTTGCGTTGACGATCAAGATAAAAAAGTCGTGACATCAAGGGAAACAACTTACAATGTAGGGTGTGCCATCTGGATGCAACCCATAATCAGATTTCCAACACCGAGTGCGATACTAGCGCAAGTGAAGAGAGAACCAGCCCAGGCGATCCATCCCGTCAAGTATGACACAAACCTCGCATATTTCTTGGAGGCCAGCTGGCTCGTCCAAAAGTACTGTCCACCAGCATCCGGCATTGCCGAGGCCAGCTCAGATAGCGACACGGCAATCGCAGCACATACCACAGTGACGATGATGATTCCATAGACAAGTTGCACCGGGCCACCAGAGTTGATGCCAGTTACCAGAGCAGTGGAGATGCCGAACCAAGAGTTGGCCAGCGAGAAACTGATGCCAAGGACGGAGAAGACGGAGAAGTTCTTTCTCAGCTCTTGGGCATCGTGACCTGGAAGTGAGTGTCCATCATTAGCAACCACGCTCGCGATGCAGCAGATAGGTGTGTTCCATGCGGGTTGACTCACCATTGAACGACTCGCTGTGGCCGAGCTTTGTATCCTCATCTACCTGGTATTCATCTTTGGACATTTTGTCTGACATGATACAGAATATTGTACGAAGGGTGAGTTATCAAGACGGGAGGAGTAATCGAAGAGGTTATGCCTCCGACGTTCTGTGTGACACACAGTCAACGCGTGGCCATCACCGTCTTTTTAAAGGCGATAAAGTTGGCAGATGTATCGTCTAGCTTCAACGGCCGACTGTTCACTATCTGCATATGTTGCCTCCTTGGTGCGCCAGGGTGCTGGAACCGCCTACATGGTATCAAACTCCCCCCTCCTTCATGGCATCAATCTCATCTCAGGTGATAAGCCAGCGATAATTCACCCTGCAAAGGACGCTAGAAAGCTATCGTTCGCACGCCACAGATGATATGAACATGCTGGTTTAGAAGCTCCGCCTTGCCCATGGGGTAAATCGATATCGCGTGGTTGGGTGGGGGATGCCAAAGAAGCTTCGATCTGGAGAGCGCGCAAGTTGGAGTCATTGGCTGGACGTGCGGACGTCAGCCAGGGCTGGCCAATGTGCGTCGTGTGCGCGGTCGAGATGGGGCGAACGATATAGACTAGATAGCGGCCAGCCTCGACCAGCCACGCCGGAACATCGGGTTATGCTCGACTACATACGTACTAGAGCAGGCCATCTTCAGCAGGGAGATAGACAGTAGGGCGTAAGCTTACCTTGGTTGTGTCACAAAAGCGGCAATCAGTGAACAGTTGATCTAGCGATCCAGCGCGGCTCCGTGGATACTGATGGACATGCAGTCAGTTGACCAGATTGTCGAGTTGGTAATGATATCAGTGATTGATTTGATAGAAGCGGATTGCCGCGACCAAGTTGCTTAGTGGCGGTGGCGATTGGAGTGTCGTATCAATGGCTCCATTCAATATTGATGATAGTCGAGGCATTGATGTTATGAGAGGGAAACTGATACGAGGCATATCGATGATTATTTTGCAACGCAGATTTTATCGTCAACTGATGGGCTGTAAAAAGGAAGTAGTTGAGGTTACGCATGTACTCCAATTCATGGGGGATGTTGCTTTCACCCAAGGCCTGATCCAAAGCCTCCCTTAGTACAGTACAATAAATTATTACCGCCGAAAACGAATCTTGCCTAATTTTTCAACAATGAAAACTAATTCCAATTCTGCATCAATTGCGACACAAATACGGTTGCAGACCCATACGACTAAGGTTACGGTCAAACTCATTATACGCCCAACGCTTACACTCTCCTTCCACTGACTGGTGCCTCCGACATTGACTAGGATCAATACGCATCCATCAAAATGGACTATTCTCTAGAGCATCATCAATCATTTCTCAACAAATCTGTTTCTCAGTTACCCACGCCATCACTAATTGTGAGCCTACCAACTATAAAACGAAATGTGGACAGGCTACACCGTGATGTGGAAGAACTGGGGATTGGATTTCGACCACATGTTAAGACCTTAAAGGTACTTATCACGCCTTACGAGTTTTTATATCTTACCCAGATAATGGACACTGATTTATCAGACTATCGAAGTTACGAGGTTGATGCTCGCAAATGGGAAATATCACTCCATCGTCGCGTCAACTTTGGCAGAGATACGGGGAGCTTTGCCCTTGGTAAAGGAAGGGCTTCTAGATGAGGTAATTGAATTTTTAATAGCTTTGCATCATCACGTCCAAATTACTAAAAACCAACTTTCCAGTGCCTTTACGGCTTACCGGTCTATCCCGGGTGTCTTCCAGGCCTGGTCGAGCTACGCAAATCGATTCGCATTACCCTTATGGTCGACAACGAACAACACATCGACCTTCTCGAGAACCAAGATCAAGCACAACCATGGGATGTCTTTGTCAAGATTGATGTGGGGTCCCACCGTGCTGGTGTATTGGCTGCCAGCCCTTCGTTGAGGAAACTAGTCAACCGGGCCGAAGCTTCTCAACATGTTAATCTCATCGGCTTCTATTGCCATGCAGGCCATTCATATGCTGGTAGATCGCAAGAAGAAGCAGAAGAAACTTTGCACGCCGAAATCTCAGGGGTATTGGATGCGGCATCGCTGCTCCCTACCAGTCGTAAACTGACTGTATCTATCGGAGCCACGCCGACGGCACATGTCGTCAAGAGCCTCAAGGCAACCATACCGTCCAACATTCATTTAGAACTACATGCGGGTAAGTACTATCACTCAACGACGAAATTATCATCTTCTCTAATTAGCTGTCCCCCCTATAGGCAATTTCCCCACAAACGACCTACAGCAATTATCAACCAAAGTCATTTCCGAAAACGACCAAGCAGTCCGCATTGCGACGGAAGTCTGCAGCGTTTATCCAGAACGAAATGAAGCTGTTGTAAATGCAGGAGTGATCGCTTTATCCCGAGAAACAAGTGGCTTCCCTGGGTTTGGTCAGGTTGTGGGTCAGCCCGACTGGGCAGTTGTGAGGCAGTCTCAGGAACATGGAATATTAGGGACTGAGAACTCTTCTTGCAATGCAGCCGATACATTTAAGGTTGGACAGAGAGTGTATTTGTACTGCAACCATACTTGCATTACTGCTGCCGCATTCCATGTCTTTTATGTCGTTGATGAGAATGACGTTGTGGTAGACACTTGGGTTCCTTGGAAAGGCTGGTAGTGCCCAGATACACGTATTTAGTTGGACCTAATTTCGAAATTGAATAGTATAGACATACTCTATAAGCAGTATTCATCAATAGTTACCCTTCACAATAGATGATCAACCTCTTTTATCTAGAATCTAAACAACCAGCCCTGCAATACACACACAAATGCTAATGTGCAAACCTGAAATCCAGCCGTCCACTGCCCTGCAGCTTCGTGTTTGCAGTGTATTCCTTTCTTGCCTCTTCACTCATGGCATTCCAAACCTTTTCTTTTTGTTTGTTTCTGAAAATATAGTATAGTTTTGCTAGAAGGAAGAGGACAATGCCGAGAATGTTGATGATGACGAGGTTAGTGTTACCACGGTGATACAATGGCGCATCATCGGCGACATATATGTACGCCGAGATGACGCTACCGACCTGAACACACATCTGAGGGCGGTATAAGATTAGCAAGAGTAAAACAAACTAGAGAGATAATATCTTACGTTGTACATTGCTGCGGAGACCGAGCGGGTGCCAACGTTGTTGGAGTTTTTGGACGTCCAGCCAACCAAGATTGCATCTGTAAAAGATTGGTTAGCATAAAGAAACTTCAAAAAAGTAGAGCTTCATATTTGGAACGTACGGCAATAAGGGTAAGATGTCAAGACAGTGACCAGAGCATAAGTCCCCCATTGATTGACCATGACACCAGGCCACCAACGCAAGGCAATGACGCACGGAAGTGTCCAAATAACTTGCAACATGGACACCAAGGTACGTTCATTGAGCCACTCAGATAGTCGTGTGATGAGAATAAGATTGATAATGTGAAAGATGTTCTAGAAAACCGTCAGTTTTCGGCAGCGAGCAATGCATACGGTGAAGGATGCTTACAGATGGAATGGTCAACAAGTTGGTAGTAAACGGGTCAAAGCCAATTTTTCTCAGAGTGAGTGTAATATACGTCCCCGGCGGACTAGGAGGTATAAATACAACCAAACCAAGTATATAGAGCGGCCAGAGATCAAAGTCTTTCAACGTCTCCCACAACCGCTTTGGCGTAATAGCTTTCCGGTTGTGCATATCGCCCTTGGAAGGATCATCTCTCAAGACTCTATTGACAACAATAGCGACTTCACGATCTGTGAACCATCCCTTTGGGCGGAACCATGTCTTTGTCTGCACAGCAGAGGCAGGCATCATGAAGAAAGAAGCAAGACCTACAACAAGGGTTATCAAGCCCTCGACGAGGAACAGCCACCGCCAGCCAGCCCAGCCGTTGGCACCGCGGAGATGCAATAGGGCGAATGCGAGTAGAGATGTCACGATTCCAGTGACAGAGAGGGAAGTCCAAAAGTAACTGAGACGGACAGGCAGCTCGCGAGATGTGTAAAAATACGATAGCCAAAGAACAATATCGGGAATGAATCCTCCCTACAGATCACAAGTTAGCTTGAGTATAGACGATGTGGGAGAGATGGGCTTGACAAACCTCCAACAGTCCAAGAAGACTGCGTGTACAGAGAAAGCTCGTGCGGCCGGTCAATGCGCATTGAGAAACGGCGACAACAGACCAGAGAACCATCTGTACGGGAATCCACCTATCGGGTCCAACCATTTTCGACACAAGCTGCGAAGGAAGTTCGGCGACCAGGAAGGAAATCCTGAATATGCTGTTGCCGTAGTTGTAATCTTTTCTCAAGTTAGTCAACCTCCTCTCCAGGTCCTTTCATGGGGTGGATGTCTTTGTATATACCATTTGTATCGAGCCCCAGATCATCCAACATATTATCCGAGACTGCCTGTGCAAGGTTTCCACGGTCGACCTGCAGGCCAAAGAACATGATACACTGTAAGCAAGGTGACATTGTTAGTTGGCAAACTTCTGGTGCTGTCTTTCATTGAGCGGACAAACTTACGGCCCATAGGCACACTCGCCAATCCAACTTTCTTATTAAACGACGCTCCTCTTCTTCGGTCCATGACAGTGACGGATCAAATACATGACGACATTCGTACTGTGACTTTTCATACACCTCTGTCCAGTGCTGAGCGATAGCTGGATCTCTGAATGGGTTCTTCTCATCGCTGTATCCATTTTCTTCTGATCCAGTGATCTCTCTTAGCCGCTCTGTGTCGCTGGATGAGGAGTCATGAATGCTCGAAGTCACCTCCTCCGTGAGGATGGAGATGTTGGTCGTTTTACCGTCGGCGGCCATTTTTTCATCGACTTCGCAAAGCGAGTGTCTTGATGAATAGACACGCCTCTTCCACCAGTTGAAATGCAGCCTCAATCTGCCCAAAGCTTGCCCTCGCCCTGGCAGCTATAAAGGTTGGTTATAACGCTTCGCTCTGACGGGATATACAACACCGAATAGAGAACCAGCAATTTATATGTTTTCTTGCACATCCTGGACATCCCGAATTTCGGACCATGATTGCGTGCTACAATGACGACGTCGATGATACCTTATCTTTGTTCATGTTTAAAGCTGCAGCAACAGTCTGCATCTCCCCGCAGTTTGCTGCGAGCGAAGACGCATTGCGCCATTGATTGAGGCAGATCCCGACGCCGTCACGCGGCAGTGGAAAACGTGGGGGGAAACGGTAACTTGAACGTCTAGGATAATCGCAGCACCCTCCTCACGAAACTTTAACTTGTACTTTGCTTTCAAAGGTAGTTGCTTATGATCATCTGTTACATCTGGTATAAATAGGTTGATCCTTCAGAGAGAAGCGTGACCCCAGACGATAGTTGTGGGGAATCCTGACACTTATAGAACAGGCGTTGAAACCGCCATTTCTCGTAATTTGAAGACTCATTCTTTCTGTAACATTTCGAGCGCGGAAATGCTCAAGAATATTGAACCAAATAATTTCGCAAAGGTGAGTTTCCCGCGGAGATGTAGACGTTTGCCCTTTCAAGCGACTTTAATTACTGTACTCTTGCCTTGGCGATCAACTCCGTTTTGATGTCGTGATATGGCGCCATACACACACCTTCGGACTGTCGCGACCGAGTACATATAAGGCTGATAACGGGCGCTATGAAGTATGCGATTGCACATTACAAATGCTACCCCAGTTTTGAATGCACGCTTAAGTAATGATTGCAGCAGTCCGTTATGAGAATGCTACAATAGGCAATAGATTCATTATGGTAAAGGTGTTGTATTAAGTCTTGGCGGAGAGCTATAGTTGCACCTATTCATTTTATTCTGAAGTCAGCCGTATAAGCTTATTGACATTGGTCTATCTTAACCAACTATCTAATAGTAGTTGCCTTATGTTCCCGCAACTGTATTTGTATTTTACAGCCAAGTTTAACAACCACAGTCCGCTCATGCGAACACGCCTTCTATGAGCAAATGTAAGAGTCGCAGTACCAAGTTTGTTGCCAGTCACAAGTCGCTGCGCCATAATCGCAAGACTTATCTCCAGATGTCGGATAGCATGTAGCAACTTGCGAGCCGTCTCCACCGCTGATATAGCCGATGTATGTATCGCCACTCTGATAAAAGTTCAAGTCCCCAACTCCACAGAGACCGCCCATACTGAAGAACGAAGTAGCCGATGGGCAGCCCAGAGCACCTCCAAAACCACCGCTGAGTAACGAGTTTGTGGCAACGCCACTGGGATTGTCGAGGTTGCCGCAGCCCAGCTTGTTCTCGGCAGAGATGATTGCATCGGGATAACATCCGTCACTGAAGTCGCCGCCTTCATCGCAGCATGGCCCGCACAGGAGTTGAAAGTCTGCCAACACTGTGGTGGAAAGACTGAGGAGGAGAGTAGAGGTAAACTGATTGACCTTCATGATGTATGAGTGTTGTGTGGCGTATAGTTTGCCGATTGTTGCTTAAGGTAAGATGGTGGTCAGGTTTCCAATGTTGATGAGTGGTGGTAAAAAAAGATGTTCATGGTGGCGAAAGCGTGCTTTTTATACTCATCGTCACTGTCAGAAGTATTGAGATTCTTCTATCATCAGGTGAGGTATTGGACGAGTGTTGCATGTCGTGAACTCGCAACTCACACACTAGAACGACACCAACTTCCCTGCAGATGATCAACATTAGACCCAAGTACACCGCTTATTCTTTCTCTATTAGCCTATATCTAACCATATTTTGGGAAGTTGCATTAACCTATTGCAGATCGATTACCAAAGTTGCCATGCAGCTGATCCTTATTTCATTAATATTTGAATTGTAATCATCTAGTGGCTTACTCTGGTGTTGAAAGTCGTATATCTGGGACTTCACCCTGTTAGAGAAGTAGACAAATCATTTGATTTTAAGTATGTTAAGTGACTAATAAAAAATGTTGATTCAACGGTTAATAATATCACAGACTAACGCTTTTACAACATCAAGTTGCCCTCTGATTCATTACCTACATAGATGTTGATTCGATTTTACGGAAGAATCTCCACCTCTCTGACTACTAACAGGGTCAAAAGGAGACTTATCCTTATTCGTTACGCCAACTCGACACCCAGATTAGGGTAATGGTGTTTAGAACAAGAAATGCAGACATACTAATATAAGCGAAGCGGCTAATCGGCACTTCCCGTAAGCCGTCGTCAGCTCAGCTCTGCGGAACATCGGTAAACATTTCCCAAAATGTCAATAACACGCAATAGAAAACCGCTATAGTATAAAGCCCTTTGTGGGATTCCACTTATTGGCCAGCAGTTTCTAAGAATTCAAGTAGGAGTCAGCCTCTATTGAATGGCTTTGCAGATATTCACATTCTCGCGATCTCGAGTATAGTGAGGCTAAACCACAAATTAATCACTGGTGGTGTGAAAGAATTAACTAGCTATGCAGCCAATAAGGAACAGTCAGAAAATGCTGTCGTTTCACCCTGGCAAGTATAGAGGGGACAGACTTGCCGCTTACTCCGAACGAGTTTACGTAGCCCAGATTCGTGTTACTCTTAGTCTGTCTTCATATGCCTCTGTGATAGGCCGCTGAGCATATTCCGTTTTGGGAATAAGGAGTTCTGTGATGGTAATTGTTGACCTCATCCTGGCAGCTTAGTTGGGAAGACATGGATTAACAGAAATCATTACACAATCAGTACCAATCAGTACCAATCTATACAGATATACGAGATGTACTATGAAGCCAATGTAAGATATATAACAATCGGGAAGCAAAGCAAGGTTCGGCGTTAGCGTAGCTGACAGTGGAGTATTCTTGAAAAGTCCGGTTGTTAACAAGATCTCCTCCATGCCAGATATTAGCCGATTTCTGACATATTATTCGCGGGGACAATTATTCCACGCCCTTCGGGTGTGTGCAGATCCGATGGATAAGTCCATTATCCGTCCGCCACCCCATCCGTGCGCTAGGATTGACATTGCTTCCCATGAACATGGTAAAGCATCTTGACTATTAAGAGAGTGCCATGAATAGGGTAATTCCCTCGGCGTTTGCCTTATAGAGAATTGGCGTATTTCTTGTACAATAACGTCCTTCCGTAAACTGCTTGACTAGATCCAAACGCCGATTGGTACAGACCGATTGTTGCATGCATGAGACTAATTAACCTGTAGGTGTTAATAAATCCTAACCTTGTCCGGACACAGAGCCTCGGATTTACGGTCGGAATTTAACGTCTGTGAGCTGCTCCTGCATCCAGTATATCAAGGCCTTTTTAATGGTCAAGCCCTTTTGAGTTTTGACTCCAAAGTCTCTTAAGATTCAGCATTAACGTACAGCATGTTGAGCTCTTTCTCTTCATTAATGCAATGCCGTGGTACGAAAGACAAAAATTGCAACATGTCTCAGAGTCTCAGAGTCGCCTTTCTAAGAGCTTGATGCAATAGGTATTAACAATTGAGACATCCAGGAGATAATCTGATGTATCATAAGTTAGTTTACTAGGCTGCGGTGATAGCTAATTCGACAAATGGTTACTGAAGGAATTACGGATCTTCCGAAAGGGAGTTACACGGGCTAAATAAGATGCTACCTGAGAACTGATTCGTCTATTTTTGAGATCGTAGGCCAGTGTAGATCATACCCACTGAGATGTCAAGCTGACATACCATCATGGCACATCCCAGATGGAGTGCTACGACTTACCCTGCACCATGACGGGTTGATCTCGGGTTCTAATGTAACTAAACGAATCCTAACGCTGCCTGATCCTTATGGCTTTACTCATACTTATATGTTATTGCAAAGCTTCGCTGTTATGTGAATATAGTTTGCTACATAAAAGTCCAGTTGGTCCTTTAGAATATCCTTCGCTTGCGGCTTGTGATGCCTTCATAAAGTTCCAGGAGCTTAGCGTCCGGCTCTTGTATCTTAGATACTCATTCTGGCAACGGGCATTTGCACATGTGCAATCGCAAGATAATAACGAGGGCGAATCTCGTTGATTTATAATAATTTGACCATACTGCGCCAACAATTGCATCCTCATAGATAACAAGTGATGATTCAATTAGCCTATACCGACTTAGTGCTCAGTAGTAGAGCAAATCTCACGCCCAGAAATTCCAGCTAGAACGTTTTCTTCACCGTGTCGTCTCTTTCTGGCGCTCCAAACAATTAGTCTGCGTCACTAAGCTAAAGACAGCACAGCCAAGCAAGCATTGCAGTGTCCACATTCTTGATGCTACCTGCAATCAACACAAGCTTTGCTAAGCTTTGTGGCGGCGTTCGCCCAGTACTCTGGGTTACACCCACGTGGGATCTTGTCGCGATCAATGGCGTGTCATCCCCACAATGGGCCTTTTTGCCGTGTCAGCCGGTCTCTTGTCCAATTCCAGTGAAGAAAGACAAACAACTGCTGCCGATTGGGCGCTGGTTTCACGTGGGATGCAACACCCCGCCGGTGACAATCGTGAATGGAGAAAAAGTCGCTTGAGCTGCAGGAACCTTTCAATGGCGCCGGAGTGCGGCAAGATTGTCGTTGATCGAGAAGATGGATCTCTTCAAGTATAAATAACGGTTCCAAGGATGCAACCGGAGGTGTTTTTGGAAGCGTTGGGAGTTCAACGTCACTCATCAATCGCCAACTTCTCACCGCAATCTTCACTATGTTCCGACTGGGTGCATTTGTGTCGGCAGCGCTCTTGAGCCACCGGGCTGCTGCTGCCGCCGTGTCTTCGTGCGCTTGGCCTCAATTGCGATTCACTCCCGAAGGCACCTTTCAGATGACAGTCTTCAATGACTTGCATTTCGGTGAGGCTGAGAACACAGACTGGGGCCCTCTGCAGGACGTTGACACGCTGCTGGTGATGGAGACGGTGCTGAAGAAGGAATCTCCCCAGCTTGTCGTGATTAACGGAGACTTCGTCACTGGCGAGAACACCTTCAAGAAGAACTCAACCGATTACGTTGACATGGTTGTCTCGCCTTTGGTTGCCCGCCACCTTCCTTGGGCATCCACATACGGCAGTACGTAATTGTGAGCGATGGCAGTATACGATCATGGTGGCTCATATTCTCATAGACCACGACTCGGCGTACAATCTTTCCTCCGAAAACATTTACGAGAGAGAGAAAAAGTACAAAAATAGTCTGACGAAGAAGATGGTTCAAGACAAAAACGCCGGTGTCTCCAACTACTACCTGGAAGTCATGTCTAACAACAAGCGTGATTCTACGCCCGCCATGATCCTCTGGTTCTTTGACAGCCGAGGCGGGTAAGTCTAGATTTTAGTTCTGCATTCAATTGTTTCATCACAGGCTCATTAAATACATACAGAAACTACTACCAGGAAGAAGAAGCTGACGGTTCGGATGTCGCCCGACCAAACTGGGTCGACCAAAGCGTCGTTGACTGGTTTGTATCCACCAGAGCTCAATTGACTAAACGGTACAAGAAGAATCTGCCTTCATACGCCTTTGTCCACATCCCTGTAGGCGCCATGTACGGCTTCCAACAGGAAAAAGGCGTTGATGGGAACAAAGAGCCTGGAATTAATGCCGACAATCCTCTCTCTCAGCAGGGAGTGCAATCCCCACTGTATAACGCTACAACAAGTTTCGAGTATACTGGCCAAGACAAGGCTTTCATGAAGGCCCTCTTGGACACTGAGAATCTGATGGGTGTTTTTAGCGGTCACGATCACGGCGACGACTGGTGCTTCAAGTGGAACAAGGACCTCAAATTTTTGGACTTGGCTGGTAACGGCCTTGTCTTCTGCTTCGGTCGTCACACCGGTTATGGAGGCTACGGCTCTTGGACTCGAGGATCGCGACAGGTTCTAGTTGACATCAAGGACCTTGGAAAGTCTACCAAGACCTGGACTCGACTCGAGGATGGCACTGCTGTTGGAGCCGTCACATTGAACTCGACATTCGGCAAGGATGTTTATCCCCCAGTTCAATTGACGTATACCAGCGAAGACAATGAGGGAGTTCCATCTACTACTGATTAGACCATTTATTTGCTTCTCTACTTATGACTCTAATGCTGCCATTAAACATCCAAAGCAGGATATCCTCTTGAAAAGAAATTGTCCGGATCGTATTTCCTCTTCACCGTTTTGAGTCTTTCCAGAGTCTCTTTGCCAAAGGTGACCTCCAAGTCAGTGTCAACAGGAGGAATTAAGTTCTGATAAGAAGCTCCAACATATGCATCGCCCGTAGCCTTGATCCCATCAATCAGACGAGCAGACAATTCAGCCACAAGCGATTCCCCTTCTTCTGTTCCCATCAATTCTGAGTGGCGAGAATTAAGAGGGAACAGCCTGTGACGATATCGCAGGGGGAAGCAGGCGCTCGGATCCGGTTTGATGGCATTTCCGTGTGCGCAGTGACAAGGGATTCCGGAGTATATCTTGGGGTTGGTCCACTGGCGGTTTAAGACCGAAGCGATGTTGCTGGTCAGGCCTTTTGCAATAACTCCACGGACCTGGTAAGATACTGGCTGCGCACTCGGTTCCGATGTAAGATGGGTAGCAAAGTCAGCTAGACGCTCATTTGTTAGCAATCGCCTGCGTTCATCGTATATCCTGCAAAACAATGATATGCCGCGAAACTCACATTCTGCAATGCGTTGAACCTCTGCACCTGGCAGTGATTTGATCTTTTCGAAATAGTCCCAGCCTTTTTGTATATCCTCGCCTTCTTTCGCGCACCAGGCAAAGAAGATGATCATCTCAGGACTATCCAATACGGGATTCCTAAAGTAAACTTCTCCTCCAAACTCGTCGGGGAGATTAGGCTCGATGTTGTTTGCCCATTCGTCCAATGCTGCCAGCCAATCTTTCTTAAGAATCTTTAAAGTGCCGATCAAAAGATTTGGTGGTGGATAGACTTTAATCGTGAGTTGTGTCACAACACCCCATATGCCGTTTCCAGCTCCTCGAAGCGCCCAGAACAGATCTGGGTGATTTTTATCATCAACGTCAACCACAGACCCGTCAGCAAGAACAGGACGAGCGCCGAGGATATTATCGACACCAAGGCCGTATGGCGAAGAATAAAGACCATAACCTCCTGCCATCGCCCATCCTGCGTAACCGAGCCTTGGATGCCATCCAATAGGTGTAAAGATACCCTGCTTTGACAGAGAAACGGCCAGATCAACTGCTATAGTGCCTCCACCAATAGTCGCAGATGTCTTGTCATCGGACACATTGATGGAGCATAGGCTGCGAAGATCCAATAAAATGCCTTTGTCAGTTCCCTTGTAGTTTCTTCCCGCCATTTCTAATCCTCCAGAGCGAATTCCCAGAGGTAATCCAGCTGCGCGGGCTGCTTTAACAGTGGCCTGGACATGGCTTTCATTTAGAGGACGAACTACCGCTAGTGGTTTAGTCGTCGTTGATGTCTTGAATGCAGGACTTATTGTCTCATAAACAGGGTCGGCCTTGGTGTATACAATGTCCGGGAATTCGTCGTAGAGCGGCAAAAGACCTGGGATTTCCGCTGCGATATCATTTCGTGTAAGCGATGCTGGAGGCACTTGAGTGCTTTGAAGTACGGCTTTCTGAAACTGCATGTTGAATAATGGAATGACGAGTAAAGAGAATTCCGAAGCACTCGGCGTTAAAGACTGGATGCGCATGACTCTTCTTATATGCATCCAGTATCCTACATTTCGTCAGCGCGTTCGAATGCAATTACAGTGGGTTGCTGTATTATACTCACCTAAGATTTAGTGGCTTGAGTCTTGTCAGCAACTAAGAGACAACAATTGGTTGCAAAGAACATAAGTTCGAAGAACTCTTGTTTCAAGTGAGAATTAAGCGCGAGTTTGTCTAAGATCAGAAAGTCAAATGAGAGACCTCGGAAGTCGTGTGACGCATCAGATAATGCCCACTTACAAGGCTCAAACTTGGTGGAAGAGGGCGGAGATAGGAGTAGAGCGGGATTCGTTTGGAAACGACAAGTCCGGCGGACAAACGCGGTCTGGTGACGGGGCGTCGAATACAAGGGAGGGGCTGTGAAAAATGAATAATGACGTTGGAAGAAAACTATAAGTATGCTATAGGCAATCAAGCTTGAAAACTCTAGAAGAGTTCAATATACCACTAAAGATTTAGGAATTTGTGTGTACAGATTGACGCTCGGAAGAAGCTACATCCTCGACAGGCTGCGCAGCTAAGCAAAAAAGAGTATATACAATCTAATTTACAGTTCGGAGATTTTTCTTCTATCTATTAAACGTTCTAATCAATAATACCAACTCCAGAATGCAATCTGTCCGACTCGGCACCTTATTTATGGACCTTGTTTAGTCTATCACCTGCTTGCTTTTTCTCTCAGTAACCCAACGAAATGCGTATACGCTCATCATGGTCGCGTTTTCATAATCATTGTCCGAGATATACAAGATGTTCATCAGAGCCACTTGTTTATGCCGCCTCAACCTGGGGTGAAGAGCTTCCGCTCTGTTCGCTCTTTGCGCGTTCTTTGAGACTGCGCCATTCGACAAACACACTACCAAAGATAGTGACGGCTGAGATGGCCGCCATCATGATGAAAACTTCCATAAGGGCATCGTTATAGTCTTGGAGCAGCAGTTTCAAGTCACTTGCTGGAACCAAGTTTTTAATCTCAGTAGCGCCAGCAGCCGCGATTTCTTTGGGATCGATATCATGAATATTTTTGGCTGTTCGGGAGGACAAGTTGGTGATGAAGAGTGTCTGCGCAACTGGTAAGAAGATTGACGAGCCGAGGAAGCGAGTGAACATGACAAATGCAGTTCCGCTTGAGATATCGCCTCTGTCTAAAACCGTCTGCACAACGTTCATTGCTTGCTGTGAACCGAACCCAAGGCCCAGTCCAAAGATGACCTGGTAGCCAATCCATTTGGAATGACCTGTACCCGGCTCAAGCATTGACAGAAGTCCTGCCCCAATAGCTGACAAGACTGAACTGGCGTAGAAAAACGGAGTGTAGAAACCGAAGCGAGAAATGGCGGCGCCAGACGACAAAGAGCCAACAACTACCGACAGAATGGTGGGTAACAGGGAAATACCAGAGTTGATGGCGCTGACATTCTTGATTGCTTGAAACCAGATGGGAAGATAGTACATGACAACCATCATGCTGGCGCCGTTGAAGAAACTAAAGAAGCAAGCTGCTGCAACACTGCGCTGCGTCACGATGCGAGGAGGAAGAGTTGCGGCTTCTCCTTTCCATGCCTGGACGCCAATGAATACAAGACAGAAGACGCCGCAAAGGACCAAGAGAACAATGATTCGAGCATCATCCCAGGGATATTGAGTGCCTCCCCATTGAAGCGCAAGAACCAAGCAGACGATTCCTGGGAAAAAGACCAGGTTGCCAATGGGGTCAAGTTGCTGAAATTTGCCAAACAGTGTTTCTGCTGGGGCGTCGAGTTTCTGGTTGGGCAGGTGTAAGATGAAGAGAGTGACGATGATGGACACGGCTCCGATCGGCAGGTTGATGTAGAAACACCATCTCCACGTAACCTTGTCTGTAAAAGTACCTCCAATCACGGGTCCGATGACAGATGCAACGGCGAAAACGGCTCCGAAAAGACCTTGGTATACCGGTCTCTGCTGTAGCGGAATTACGTTGAACATGATGACCATGAGCCCCGAAAACATGCCAGAAGACCCCAAGCCAGCGATTGCACGGCCAATAATAAAGGCAACAGAACTAGGAGCTGCACCGCAAACGGCAGAACCAACTTCAAAGAGAACAACGCCGCCGAGAAACACTGGTTTTGCAGGGTAGTATTTGTAGACCTTGCCCATGACCAGCTGGAAGCCGCACATGGTGAGTAGATATGCCGTGCCATACCAGCCAACGTCGTTTAGCGAATGGAACTCGTCCGTGATGCGAGGGATAGCGGTCGATAGGATGTTTTGGTCCTAGAGAAGCAAACAGCAAGTTAGCGATTGGATTGAATCTGGCAATAAGCGCTAAACAGCTGAGTGTGTGTGCTGAGAAGCTCCCATTCGATCGATCTTCCATACCAGGGTTACCAAGAAGATTGCCAAGTAAAGAGCCACCATGACAAGGATTCGCTTCTGATTGGAGGGATACTCCGGAGGGGCCTCCATCTTCACGGTGCTGGTCTCGGTGGTTGCCGTGGGAGGCTTTTCATCCGCATCCAACGATGATTTCGACATGATGGCTTCGAGAGAATCTTGCAATTCTTGCAAACAAATTCTTAAAGTCGAAAATCAATTTCCACAACTTGGAAGCCTGTGGAAACATACCATTGTTAAACCCATAAGGAGGATTTCATGCAATCTTATACCGTGTGGCGCTAGAACCGATCCGCCTCTCGGGGCTCAAAAATGCAAAATTTCACGCCCGAACCCCGAAGGAATCTACACGAACTCTCCTCCTGACAACATAAAACTAGGCAGAACCAGATGCCATTTCTCGCTCCTTAATTTTGAACTTTCGGAGTTGTGGACTTAGTTTTAACACCGAGAGAAAAAAAAACAGTCATAGTCATGGACATGCAGCAAGTTGTTATGGCCGACACCCCGAAGCGGCCAGAAACCGACTTGAAGGGATTCTCCTGTCTAAGTTGCCGTCAGCGAAAAGTCAAATGTGACAGGCGAACTCCGTGTCTGAACTGCGTTAAAGCGGAGAGGCAATGCAGCTTCGTTGCCCCGGTACGTGGCAAGAGGAAGCGGACGAAGCCTCCGCGAGAGACGCTCCATGCGCGGGTGAAACGATATGAGGAGATGCTCAAGGCATATGGCGCCAAGATTGAGCCTTGTGATGATGACTCTGATATGTCTGAAACCGAAACAGAGCCTCAAAGTATTACACCAGAGTCGAGTGGAAGCATGTCGGCGATGAGGATGCAGGGGTGTTGCATAATGCCTGAAGATATTAAACCAAAGTTTATCATCAAGGAGGGAGCATCGAGATACTTTGATAGGTATGGTCGGTCACCAGTGAATGCACATTCAACAAAGGCGGACTCTTACATGCTGTTTAGTGCCCTCTGGTCCAATTTGTCAGACGATGTAAGTGAAAATCTTTCTTTATATCCCAACAGGCTGTTTGCTGACTTTAATCCATCTATAGTTTCAGCATCCGGAATCTACCAATTTCAACGACGTGGGAGAGGCCGTTCCTGTCGAGCAAGACAACCACATCGATGAAGGCGGATTATTCTTCGAACAGGAGCACACTGACAAGATTGAAAACCTTTCAAAGCTGCACGCTACTCCGCAACTGCTCTCAAAATTAAAAGAGATTTACGCGGATCGGGTGGATCCTATGATGAAAATCCTGCATCTTCCCACGTTTTGGGTCTCCGTGACGAATGCGCTTCGACACCCTGACAACATACCAAAAAGTTTGGAGTCGCTCATCTTTGCGTTTTATCTGGTGACAATCAGCTCGTTGAAGGAAGATGAATGTCAGAATCTGTTTGGATTGTCGTTGACGACCATTATGTCTCGGTATCGCGTTGCAACTCGACAAGCCTTGATCAATGCCAGGTTTGTGTCTACATCGAATCTGATGACGCTGCAAGCATTTAGTATCTTTACGGTATGCTCTTGAGCCTCAAACACTTTTTATACGCGTATCGTGCAGCTGACCTTCTAAAACAACAGGTTTGTGTCAGGAACACGTATCGATGCGACACTCTCTACATCCTATCAGGCGTGGCCATCCGCCTTGCTCGCAAAATGGGCCTTCACCGAGACGGCACATTTCTCGGCCTCTCTCCCTTTGAAACAGAAATGCGAAGGCGCCTCTGGTGGCATCTTGCCCATGTCGACTGTCGCACAGCTGATGTGATGGGCACCAAGCCATCTCCAGAAATATCCAACGGCGATACACAAAAGCCCATCAACGTGGACGATGAAGAACTCCTCCCAGACATGAAGAAACTGCCAAGCGAGCGCAACGGTATCACTGGAATTTCTCTTTGCCTGCTCAAATGCGAGATTATGGAGACTTTGTGCAAGTTTGCAGACCCGTATCCGACTGATTTGCGCTGGGAGATGCTGTATAACCCCGATATTTCAGTCGCCAGAAAGGACAGCCTCATAGACGCCGTTGAGGATCACCTGGAAAAGAAGTACTTGCGGTACTGCGACCTTGCGAATTCGCTGCACACCTTTATTTCTGTTATGATCCGATCAGCAGTATGTAAGATGAGGCTTTTTGCTCATAATATTCGGCAATTCGCTCATCATTCCGCGAAAGCCACTCAGAAAGACCACGATGTAGCATTTTTCAACGCCATGAAACTGTTGGAATATGCGAATCTGATACAAGGAGGCCACATGGGTGTGGACAAGTACATGTGGCAAATCGGCACTAGTTACCTATGGAACACAATGCTCTACCTTCTCATCGAAGTTCGCTGCCGCAAAACGGGGCCCGACGTCGAAAGAGCGTGGCAGCTGATTGCAATCGTCTTTACGCGCTGCCCTCAGGTGTTGGAGGAATTCACCGGGTCCGTCTATGTGGCACTGGGCAAGTGGACGCTCGAGGTTTGGGATAGTTACATGGCAGCTTCGAAAGCCGAGGGCCTTCCAGAGCCAGTGACGCCCGACTATATCAACGAGATCAGGGAGTGGCAGAGGCTCAAGGCGGAATCTGAAGCCGTGGCGAAGAGTGACAAGGCGGAAGCGAGGCCCGTTACTCGGCATTCGGTTGGCATCGAGAAATTCTCGTATGCAGACTATCTTGATACCGGGTTTTCGGAATCGCAGTATTTTCCAAATTTATTCTCTTTTGAGACTGATCCGAATCAATGGTTGCAGTGGGAGCAAATGGTGGCGGAACAAGGGTTTCCGAACTGATATAAACATTTTTTTACTAGTCGTTTGGTCGGAAATGGCACTTGTATATTAATTCACCTCATACCAGACTCACCTATAGAATCTTTAAATGCTGAACTCTTCTCTGCATTGTAATATTGTCCGTACAGCGACGTGAACATGGAATCGTTGTTTGTAAGCTCAGCCTATATAAACTGATATCAAGTTCCTCGATGCATGTTGCTGAGCTTTGAAAGTAGCGACGATCGGATCGTGTAGATCTATCTTGTATTCCCTTTCAATCTCAATGGTTGCTACAATTTCCCGACAATCTCTTATTAAGCTCCTAGTCATCGTACTCCGACTGGTGGGTCAGTCGATAAAGGAGTGGTCTGTAGGATTCATCATTCACGGCCTAGTGTAACGACAAGGATATTCGGGTACATTTATTGCCCCTATCAAAAATCGCACGGAGGTGACGCGGCTTGCAATCTCTCACGATATACAGTTTGTCTTCCCCCCTCTCGAACAATATTTCCTTTATTGGTCGGATGTAATTAGGTGTGTCCTATTTACATAATACGACTTAAATACGCACAGAATGATATTTTAATAGATACTAAATTATTCCAGTAAAAGATGCACCCCGCCATTTTGAAGTCCTGGTCAAATCCTTGGCAGCGGCGTGGGGTCCTTGAGTGTCTCTTGTTATTCCAGTAATACCTTATATGGTATGTGTTGCATCACGTACCAAATTGTATCGTGCAAATTGCCAAATTAGGCATTACCCGAATGCACATAGTTCAAAACGATAGGAAAGCTGTAATACCATCTATTGACTATAATATGACACGGCGAACGTAGCATGGTAAGCGTGCTTGTGTGGTAAGCATAGCGGAGTCATCGTAGGGTAGTATGCCGTAGCAGTCTTTCGTATACCTATTCCGATATACTTTTATTATCAGGCTCTTCATTCCTTGTAGTCGCGCTCATTGCGCTCATCATTCTATTTTGCTACTATAATATGCAGGGAATGAAGCAGCGACAGCAGCCTTTCGCATTCTACTTCGCTTCCTACTAGAGGAATTCGACTGCCGCGAATTATGAATAGTAAGATTGACGGGAACACTGAGTTTGAACAATTCTTTTGCTCCTTCAGAAAAATAAAAGAAAATAGACAAGGAAATTCTACTGTGAATCACTTAGCTAGAAATTTATGCTAGATAGTGGCTAACTGGCTATTCAACACACTTCAACATCCTGATATCCATACGTATTAATTGAGCTGTGAGGGCACCGAGTCTTCAGTCAGATTACATAACTAACATCCTGGATCAATGGACAGTGGTGCGGACTTGGTCGAGACCGAAACCCGCAGTCGAGGTGGGTCGGACGGGTAGATCAAAGATGCAGTGACATAATGACACACATGCTATAACTGGCAATAGATGCTGGAAGGCTTGGGTAATCAACATTATGATACGAAAGATTCCAAATGAATAATGGATTTCGTGCGACACGCCTGATACACCCCGGCTGGAAAGATTAGGTGCTACTTAAAAGCTACAAGCCGCAGAATTACTATCCTATGCCGCCTGCAACGGTGGGTGCCAAGTTCAATCATAACAACCATGAACTTATAGGACAAGGTCATTGTTAATACTCAAACTATGGGGAAATAGTAATCATGCTTAAAGATGTATTCCACTTTCCTCACAAGGCCTGCTCCAATGATATTCCACGAATCGGAGCAACTCGGGTATCTGCAGCCCCCAACTACAGGTACATCTAGGTTGAGCTTTTAACAAGATACCTACACCAGCGGGAAGGATGAAGGATTCCACATGCTATCAGATAGTAGCCGAAACCTCAACCGCTAACCATAAGGAGTAAAAGATTATATATGAAGTGCCAACGGCAAGTGAAAATCCGTCCGAAAGGAGCTCGAAAATCACCGCTAGTGCCGCACCTCCCGCACCTCCCGCACCCACTCATGATCAGCGCCGGGATCATAAGCTTATAACGTGCTTTCAATATATATATAGGTTTATGGACATCAACAAGGATACATCTAGCTTCATTCTACGCGATGGAGCCATCTATGCAAGATTACTCCATGACATTCGCACACAGACGCAACAGATTCGCACAACTGTCTCTCATCTTCCAGACAATGCCAACAGTTGTCAGTTTGGTGTACGCTTGGCATACTATACGCCAACACAGTGACATGTTGCTGTAGTATTTGGCGGGGAGTAATTCCCACAGATTCGTCACTCGGAAAATTAACCCTCTAAAATCTTCCACAATGAGTTTAGCCACTGTTTCTCAAGATCGCCGTTGCTTTGTAAGAGATGTTGAAGTTGCATTCGGTATTTATTGGCCGTCTTCATACAAATTAATCGTTGGATAGAGATAACACACTATAAAGAGCCGGACCCCAATCGAGGTGAAAGCTTTTAATTCTGTCCCATCTTTATCCGTTTCATTGACTATACAAAACCATGGCCTCATTTGCTACCACTCACGTTAAGCCTTACGAGGCCCTCACCAAGGCTGTGGCAGCTAATCCACTGACTGGAAAATCTGCTCTCATCACAGGCGCCGGCCGAGGCGTAGGAGAGCACATCACACGTGAGCTTGCGGCAGCGGGTGTATCTCGAATTGCTCTCGTCGGTCGTGACCTTGAGCGCCTAAACAAGACCAAGAAGAACTTTCAAGAGGCTTTTCCTAAGACCACATTTGAGGCGTTCTCAGCCGATATTACGGATGAAGCAAAGATTGCCTCCATCTTCAAGGAGTTTGGGGCTCCTGATATCGTGATAAACAACGCCGGCCACTTTCCTGACGAGGGGCCGTTCATTAAGGAGGATTTGAAGAGCTGGTGGAAAGGCTTCGAGATCAACATTCTAGGGACGGCAATCGTCACACAACAATTCCTTCGAGCCAAGCCCGAAGGCAAGAGTGCCACCGTTATCAGCCTTTCCACCATCGGTATTCACATGCGATTTCCACTTCCTGGATGGTCAGGGTACGCTACCAGTAAAATGGGCCAAGCACGGGTCTTTGAGCTGCTCCGTTTCGAGCATCCTGAGGTTCGGTTCATCAACGTCCACCCCGGCAGCGTCGAGACCGATGGCTATGCTAAGACGGGTCTTCCGGCGCCTCCTAACGGTATGACGGATGGAAAGCTTACAGGGCAATTTTTTGCTTGGCTTGCTTCTGATGAGGCAGAGTTTTTGAGTGGGAGATTTGTTTGGGCAGACTGGGACGTGGATGAGCTCAAGGCCAAGAAGGAGCAGATTATCAACGATGACTTGTTACTTACGACAATCGATGGATTAGTCAAGGGTTTCTAAAGTACATGATGCACAATACCTGATGGATCTCATGCCTATATATAGTCCACTTGAATGATACTCCGTATGCCGTTTCGATTTGAATTGATACTACAATATTAAGACTTTATTTCCTATAAATTGATCTCCAATGCCGAATGAAATAACAATCGTGGCCAATGTTCTATACTCTTCAACATGCAGGTACCTCTGAATATGGGGGTACGTATTATTGAGATTAGATACGGAGATTCCGGATTCCGGCGATGAGATAATCAAGCTAGGGGCCGCGTGTTTTGATATTCATCATGTCAACGATGCCGATATTTTCTCCGCCGCATATAATGTTCAATATTGGCATCTTAGAGACATAATAAATCCCCGGGGATGTTTATGACTCGGGGGCCAATATATGATGCGCACTAGCCTCCGACTTTGAAGATCATCTCACGCCGGTACCTGGGCATTGCCTCTTTCGTTACGCGTCACTTAACGACATCTCAATCACTAGATTCTTGTTTTTGACTTACAAAATCAGGAAAAAAAATATATGCCAAGAGAAATGCAAAAGATGGAAACCACCAAAAAGTCGGGAAAATGAACCTGTCAGAAATGCCAACATAATTATGACATCTCCTTCATGCAAAAAACAAGACAACATCATCGCGCATACACATCCTGGCGATTTACATGTTATGAATATATTGACATTGTCATTCATTCTCACGCTCATCGTGATTCAACGTACACGCGGCTCCAATCACTTGGTCTCACATTTGGTTCTGACACTTTAGTGAACAAGCCATGACAGCTTATTTGACAACCTTACTATACTTAGAAATAGAGCTAAACACCTATCTCATCGCATACTGAAACAGGGGCCGCATAAGCTATGATTCAAGTGGCGATAAGTCGCGAACTAATAGGACAGATACACTGCGGGGTGCCAGTGCTCAGACAACCATCTGTTTCGCCTGTTAGTGCGAGCCGCTTGTGCCGGATGAAGTCATCTCCACTTTCGGATATCTATGCTGGAAACAATGATGACGGCAGAACACAAAAGAGAGATTATGAGAGCCGGATATGACGTTCTCGGAATAGCGTCATGCCCGTGATGAACATACGCAGCTGAAAACAAGTTGAGACACAGCCCACGGGCTCAACTCACGGGCGAATCTGGAACCCAATCCAGCCATCTAGAACTCGAGATGTGCCTCGCCATTGGCTGGCTAAAGTCTGTGCGACTCCAGCGGCTGTGGAACACCCGGGCCGGGCCTTGATACCAAATGAGTGCAACGCCTTTGCCGCTACTCGGCACTCGGCACTGCTGTCTCCGCACGCACTTTATGCGCCGTTCGAATCACAGCCACGAGAAGCCTGGACCTTGTTTCTCTTTCAGCTTCTCTTATAGGTTATGCCATTGCCCGCATTGAGTCTTGCAGCGTCACACTGACGGAAGCAGATGGGATGACGAAACAGGAGAAAGGGCAGAAGAGCCCGCATCATGCGGTGCGACACAACACGCGCAGCCAGTCATATGGCGGGAATCTGGTGATGCTACGGTAAAACGCGCGTTAGAGTGGAAGGCAACAACATAATCGGACGCTTGTCATGCGCCTGATAAGGCGGAGGGCCAATGTGACGATCTGATATGCACTGACGGAGCACTGCGTATGTATTGGGATATAACTTTTGAGCAGCGTTGAATTGTTTGAACAGGACGAAGCTCGACGTGATATAAATAAATCCACATTCCCCGCGTGCTATTCTAGGGTATAAAGAAGTTCAGTCCATCAGTCTGTCACAGAATTCACTCACTCACTTTGTAACCATCTCACTCATCGTCTTATTCCCATCAACTCACTCATAATCTCACCTAACTCACTTATTCACTCACAACATGGAGGCCATCTTCCAAGCCCAGGCCAAGTTCCGCCTCGACCGCGGCCTCCACAAAATCACCGCCATCCGCAACAAAAACTATAAGCGCCACGGCACAAAGTCCTACGTCTACCTCCTCAACCGCTTCGGCTTTGAGCCCACCAAGCCCGGCCCGTACTTCCAGGAGCACCGGGTTCACCAGCGGGGCCTCGTTCACCCAGACTACAACGCCCCCGTCGGTGGCCGCGTTCACATCACAAAGGCGCTGCACAAGAAGAAGAACCACCATGGAGCTCTTGATGCCAACGGAACGGAGAAGGGAGAAGTTGGCGCCGAGGATCAGCAGAATGACTCTGAGTACTTGTGCGAGGTTACTATTGGAACGCCCGGACAGAAGCTGCTGCTAGACTTTGACACCGGTTCATCAGATCTCTGGGTGAGTTCATCCCTCTAATTTTCAGGACACAACTGAAGCTAACAACAGTAATCAGGTCTTCTCCACAGAACTCAGCAAGAGCCTCCAAAAGAACCACACCATCTTCAACCCATCTGAATCCTCCACATTCAAGAAGCTCTCCGGCCAGACCTGGCAAATCTCCTACGGCGACGGCTCCTCCGCCTCCGGCGACTGCGGCTCCGACAACGTCACCATCGGCGGCCTCACCATCAAGAACCAGACCGTCGAGCTCGCCTCCAAGCTCGCCGCGCAATTCGCCCAGGGCACCGGCGATGGTCTTCTGGGTCTTGCTTGGCCGTCCATCAACACTGTTGCTACGAATGGACGATCTACTCCTGCTAACACGCCTGTTGCGAACATGATTACTCAGGATGATGTTCCTAGCAACGCAGAGCTGTTCACTGCTGCGTTCTACAGCGAGCGTGATGCAAATGCAGAGTCCTTCTACACCTTTGGCTACATCGATCAGGATCTTGTCACAGTCTCTGGCCAAGACATCGCCTGGACTGACGTCGACAACTCCCAAGGCTTCTGGATGTTCCCCTCAACTAGCTCTTCCGTCAATGGCCAGGCCATCTCACAATCCGGCAACTCTGCCATCGCCGATACCGGAACCACCCTCGCTCTCGTCTCAGACGAGGTCTGCGATGCTCTGTACAAGGCCATTCCCGGAGCTACTTACGACGACCAACAGCAAGGCTACGTCTTCCCCATGAGCACCGACGTGTCAAGCCTCCCCGAATTCAAGGTTTCCGTTGGAGACACTCAGTTTGTCATCCAGCCTGAGGATCTGGCGTTTGCCCCAGCAGACGACAACAACTGGTACGGTGGTGTTCAGTCCAGGGGAAGCAACCCCTTTGACATTCTCGGCGACGTGTTCCTGAAGTCTGTTTATGCGGTGAGTCTTGAGATCTCTGCACCCTCGTTTTTGGATAATAAGCATGCTAATTAAAAACTAGATCTTCGATCAGGGTAACCAGCGATTCGGTGCGGTTCCCAAGATCCAGGCAACTCAGAACCTGAACTCTTCTTCCGCTCAGTAAATATTGACGCCAAGTGCGTCACATTCGTTCGCATAATTGCGAGATATAGTGTACTTGTGAATTAGCAACAGACATGCAGGCAATAAATTCGTTATGCTATTACTACTCAAACATTCTAATCGTCTCTAAACTCCCATAACCTAGTTCTTGGTCAAATGCAGTAGTTGCGACTCACCCTCAGTCAGGTAAGCAGTGTAGTAGTTGTCCACCTTGGTCGAGTTACCCGACCACACATCAGTAAACTTCCACTGTGAGCAGCTCAGACCAAGAGCAGCCAAGGAAACAGTCACCGTCTGTCTTCCATACAGCTGAGTGTTGAAGCCTCCAGAACCCTGATCAGGTCCCAGGTTGGCAATCAAAACGTAAGCCTCCTTGCCGTTGTCACTAGGTCCACCGATCCAGGCCTGCAGCTGCTGAGCAAGGTTGTTACCAGTGCGAGGGTTTCGGGGCTGCATGGGGTACTTGGCGAAGAAGTCAGCGGCAGCGATAGACTGGGGGCTAGTCAGAAGCTTCCAGCCAAGCGCGTCGGTCTGAGTAAGATCGTTGCCGAGAATCAGGTTGGCTCCAGCACCGAGCCAGTGGTTCATGACGGTAGTTCGCATGGTGTCGTTGACGCCGACCAGCTTTGTAGGGCCAGCAGCAAACAGGTTGTCCATGTCAGGGTAGATGGTTAAAGGCTGGTTTCGCTGAAGCTGCAGGCCAATGTATTGGCGGTAGTTGTCAATGGCGCGCTGAGCAACTGACCAGGCCAAAAACGTCTCGTGGCCATAGTTGTTGATGTCCTGGTCGGTACGCATGGACTCGGACAATCCACTCCAGACAGGCAGCCAGGTCTCGTTACGGCAAAGCTTCCACGAGATGTTCAGGCGGATGTTCTTACCCGTCTTGGCGATGGCCTTTTGGTACGCCACGACGGCGTCAGAGTTTTGGCATCCCAGCATGGCGCCGTTCTGAGGAGAACCAGGGGTAATGTAGTCGAGCTGCCGGGTTTGTCAGTTGTCATCTCATCATGTGGATTTTCCATCTTTAGTACTCACCTTGATCATGTCAACACCCCAAGAGGCCCACAGAGCTACAGTAGAATCGTGCCACTGCTGAACACCGTCCTTGCTGTAATCAAACTGGCACAGAATCTGGTCAAAGTTGCCGTTAAAGACGGATCCGACAGTAATGTCAGTGCCCAAGATGGTCTTGTTGGCAGCCTGGCAGGGCACACCAGGAGTAATGTAAAGACCAAACTTCAAGCCCTTGTTGTGTAGCCACGGGCCGAGCTGGGGCATGTTAAAGCGAGTCGTGTTGTAGGTGATGCGGCCGTGGGGGTCGACCGTGTCGAACGACTGCCAGCCAGAGTCAAGACTGCACATGTCATAGCCAGCAGCCTTGAACTTGGGGTTGGCCAAAACACCGCACTGGGTTTCGACAAACTTTTGCGTATAGTACAGACCGGACTGGCCAGCAAAAGACGGGATAAGCGTGGAGCCATTGGTCAAAGCTTGAGCTCCATACGTGTTCCAGCCTCGAGCAGACTTGGTGAAGCCATTCTTCGTCTTCACCGTCTTCAAAACCTTCAATGGGCCACCAGCAGGCTTGGGCTGAGGGTAGCAGTCTGGCAGCGAAGAGTCACGGTCCTGCAGACAGTAAGGAGCAGGTCGAGTCTTGATGGCGCCGTTTCCAGCCTCGCTGGTGTAACAAGCACCGCTAGTCCAGAGCCAGTACCATTGGTTGTCGCTCCAGCCCCAAGTTGCACTTGTCGAGCCGCTCAAGAGACAGAGGTCAACCATGCTCTTGAAAGAGACGCTGACGTCGCTGTTCTGGGCCGAACCAACGGCTCCCGTGTTGGCCTGCTGCTGCATGCTGATGTTGTCGCCATTGCAGTCGACTGTTGAGGGACTGGCTGACAACTTGGCGATGCAGTTCTGGATGTCGTTGTAGCACTGCTCCGTGAAGTAGACGGAACCAGGCGTGTAAGAGGCGTCAGAACAATGGGCCGTGCCGGTGTTTGTTCCAGCGACGGGCTGGAGCAGCGCGGCCGCCGCAAGAGAGAGAACAACGGCTGATGCCATGGTGGTGTAAAGACTTTGTTGCGCTTGCACGCTCTGTCGTTGAAAGCCTTGTCCTGTCTTGTCCTGTCGTTGTCAGAGTTGTAAAACTCTTGAACAAATGGGAACGTCTCCTTGCGAAGACTATTATTTATAACAAGTGCTTCCCCGGCGCGCCTTTACTATCGGAAGCCGGCGAGACTGACGGCAAAAGGCACGGAGAAGGCTGTCAGACTAGTGGACGGAGCAGAGTAAATAGTCTTGCTCGACTTGTCCCGAAGCTCACAAGGTGCGGAAAGCCTCTCCGCAACTTTCGCCAGGCAAAAGCTCAAGTAAATATTCATTCCTCCACTTCCGCCGTGTCTGTGCTAGTGGCATGTTTCTCCACGGCAAAACCTTACCTAGTGCCCACGGATATATCTCCCATTTGCTGGGGGGAGGAGGAACTCAATGACATCTGGACAGGGCTCTCAATTGCCCAGCTTTTCCCCCCTCAAATCCATCCGAATGAAGCTCCATCAACCACTTCCGCCCGAATTATGTCCCATATTCGGCTGCTCTGTCACCAATGCCGAACAAATCCTCGTCCAACTCGTATAATTGTCTTGTCCGCTTTTCCCTTTGTTGTCTTCCCCGCGTTCAGCAACCTTCCTAATGGAGCATTGGCCCAGTCTACCCCTCAAGAAGCCATCCGTGAATCACTAATCTCCCCCATGGAGACCCCACGAATGAATTGAGTACCCCATGTATTACCCCATGATCGATTGCTTTTTTCTTTGCAAGCTCGGACTCGTAGTGCTGCTAGTGGTATGACTGAAGCCAGGGGTAGATTGCTGTTTTCATATCTAGTTCCTGGCTTCAAATGGAGCCCTCGAATCGCCTTATTCGCCGATGACATGTGCTTCTAACCAACAATCCTCTAGCTGGCTGTCGCTTCAGCCTTTGTCATTCGAGTTCGAGTTCCACTAGAGCTAATCCCCCACAGAAGCTCTCATAAGCCCAAGTTAGCCTTGGTTAACTCCGTAAAAAGTGGACTCGTCATTTCGGAAAAGCTCACAAGGCCAAGAAAAAAGAGGCACGACGGGTAATTGGGCTGTCACTGCGAAAGCCTAGCAGAGTTACCCGAAAGCCGATCAGCTACAGCTTCAAGGGCGAAAGCGAGCGTCATGTTTTCCGTTTCCTGATTTCATAAATATAACCATAATGGTAAAGTGTGGAGGCGGGGGGCTAGCGTTATGTGTATGCTTATGTGTAGTTCTTCATCATCGTCATCGGTCATTGGCTCCGGTAGTGTGAGCAGGGATTGAGATTGAGACACCCTCCTGGCGGAGAGAAAATCGGTATCAGGAAAGCACCGAAACGAGATGCATGATTCCCCAACTTTGTCATTTAATTTATTCCTGATATTTTTCGTTTACTCACACGGAAACTGTGCGAGGGCGGAATTGTCACGATGTAACAAGACGTGAATTCTCCAAGCTATGACAGCTCTCTGCAGGTTTCTCTTACGTGACGGAAACTGTGTCGTTATTGTGCTCTTCTTTATCCGCCTTGATATTGTCTGTTTGTATATATGCTCGGCGTTTCGCTGTCTAAGTTGAAAACCCGAAATAACAGCCATTGCCGACAACTCTCTTTGTCTAGAGTCTAGTTGCAAGAAACTTGGCACAATGGGCCGGTTCTTAGCAGCCCTCTCCCTTGTGGCGAGCTGCGTTAGCGCACAAAGCATCTTTAACCTGAGTGATGTTTCGTGGACGGTGAGCAACGGCGTCAACGCCACCGTGCCTGGCAAGCTGCCTTCACATGCTCATCTCGACTTGTTGGCGGCGGGCGTCATCGACGACCCCATCTATGGCTTCAATGAGTGGAACCAATTCTGGGTCCAGAGAATGAACTGGACATATACGTCTGGACCGCTCAAAGGACTGTAAGTACCTTGGTCTAATTCAACGGCTGTGGGTTACAAGTTGTGATTTTGAAGCTGACTGGAGCATCCACAAACAGCAAGTCTGGAAGCGGATTGACTTCATGGCTTGTCTTTGAAGGTCTCGACACTTTCTGTGAGATCAAGCTCTGCGGTCAGAAAGTCGGCGATACAAAGAACCAGTTCCGCAAATACACATTCGACGTCAGCGACATTCTCCCCCAGTGCAAGGGTGACCCAGTCCTCAGCTTGAACTTTGGTTCTGCGAGCAAGATTGTGCTCGACATTTCGCAGAGAAGCGATCTTGGTGCGTTGCAACCCTAATGGACACCTCATTCTCATATCCCTGCTTGGAAATCTTTCTGCTAACACTTGCTGATACTTAGCCACGGTCAACTCTGCCAACGGCTACAATGGACAGGAGTTCCAGGGCCGCACTTACATGCGAAAGCAAGAGAGTGACTTTGGCTGGGATTGGGGCCCAGTGTTTGGACCAGCCGGACCATGGCGCCCAGCATACATTGTCCAAAAGGCCAAGACGGATCCCGTGTACATTACCAACACGGCCATTGACATTTTCCGCCAGGGACAGATGCCCAACCTTTCGCCTGATCAGTCCAAGCCTTGGGTGTTCAACGCCAGTATCGATTACATCGGCGATCTCCCCAAGGGCTCGCAGTTCCACATGAAGATTGTCGACAGCAAGGGTCACACTCTCAAGGAGGCTAACCTTGTTGACATTAGCCAGTCTGCCGGCACCATTACCGGAAACACCGTCATCAACAGCAAAGTTGACCTGTGGTGGCCTTCTGGCTATGGCGAGCAGCCCCTGTATACTGCAACTCTGTCTCTCATCAGCCCGGGAACCCCCAAGCATGCTACCGTAACTAAGCGCGTTGGTTTCCGCACCATTGTTCTCAACCTCAACGCCATTACTCCTGAAGACAGGGCAAAGGGTGTCGCTCCCGGAGCCAGCTGGAAGTTTGAGATCAACGGCCATGAGCTGTATGCCAAGGGCTCCAACTTTGTCCCTCCCGATGTCTTCTGGCCTCGTGTCAACCAGACCAAGATCCAGCAGACTTTCGAGCTGGCTGTCAACTCCCACTTCAACATGCTGCGAATCTGGGCCTCCGGTGCCTATCTTCCCGACTGGGCGTATGATTTGGCTGACGAGATGGGACTGCTGCTCTGGTCCGAGTTCCAGTTCTCCGTAGCCTACTTCCCTGCCACTCCTGACTTCCTTGCCGAGTATGAAGCTGAGGCCTACTACAACACCCGCCGTGTGAACCACCACCCCAGTCTTGCTCTGTGGGCAGGAGGCAATGAGCTCGAGTATCTCATCTATGGCTGGTGGCTCAACCCCAGAAACAACACCCAGTTGGAGGACTATGAGACTATCTTCCAGCAGCATCTGGCCAAGTGTGTTTATGCCAACACCCATTCCATCAGCTATATCCCCTCGTCCACCTACCACGGCTATACCAAGCTTGACTTCAACTCGGTCAGCCCTCAAACTTCTCGATACGACTATATGGAGAGCCCGGATGCCGTGTACCTCGACACTGACTTTTACAATTATGATGGAACCATTGCCTTCCAGTACAGCGGCTATCCTGTCGGTCGTTTTGCTGACGAATTCGGATTCCCTTCCATGCCCTCTGTCTACTCTTGGCAAGAGGCCATTCCCGAGAGCGAGTTCAACTTTGACTCGTCCTACGTCCGCCACCATAACCGTCATCTGAGCAGTGGTAGTGACTGGTTCGCGCAATCGGCAGCCGGCATCAACCAGTTCACTGACAGTATCAAGCTGTGGTACCCGCTTCCAGAGCTTGCTGATCCCGTGGCCAACTTCACCGCCTGGACGTGGACCTCGCAGGTGTTCCAGGCTGACTACTACCAGGCCCAGATTGCCTTTTACCGCCGCGGATCAGGTCTTTCTAACCGCCAAATGGGTGCTTTGTACTGGCAGTTCAACGACATTTGGGTCGGCCCGACTTGGTCCAGCACTGAGCACAGTTTGCGCCAGAAGGTGGCCTACTATGCCGCCAAAGACATCTTCAACCCCGTCATCGTCTGGCCCTTTTACGACGAGGCCACTGATGTCTTGGAAGTCTGGGTCGTTTCTGACTTGTGGGACAAGGTTTCGGGAACTGCCACGCTCCAGTGGGTAGACTGGCACGGTAACCCTCTTGATGTTGATCCTCCTGTCGGTGTCAAGCCTGCCCATGATGGTTCGTTCAAGGTCAACTTTGATGTTCAGCCGATCAATGCCACCCGCCTGGTCACCTATCCTGCTCTGACCACCTTCTTCTCTTGCAAGAACCCGACATCCAATGCCTTGCTCTCCATCTCCATCAAGGCAGGAGAATACACACACACCAAGTTCTTCCACCAGCAGAGCCTTCGATTGAGCAGCATTGCCGATCCGGGTCTGGTCATGAGCAAGTCGCTCCACGGAAAGACTGCCCAGTTCAAGATTACCGCAACCAAGGGTGTGGCGGCGTGGGTCTGGGTTGACTACCCTACCACTGTCCGAGGATACTTTGACCAGAACGGTTTCTGGTTGAACAAGGGCGAGAGCCGCACAATTACCTTTACTGTGTGGGATGATTGGTCCTACGGTGCATGGATCAACGATGTTGTTCTCCGATCCATCTATGATAATGTGCATAATTAAATAAATAGATAATAGATAGTTGTCTATTTGAGCGAAACCTTTGTTAACTTTCCTGGAACGAGTGATGTGTGGAGTGTGAACAGCGATAGGTCATCCGTGATTGTGTGAAATGTATGGGCCATGGATGTTGTGACATGTGGCAACGTTGACTCATATCATATTTTCTAATTCTGTAATCGAAGGTTTTCTCGGCGCCAAAACCCGTACGTGCTCTATCAAGGCCGTGTCTTCGGTTTTGTTATTTGCGACAATGGCAAAGCGGCCGCTTCTCGATGTGGTATATCGTATCGAAATGTCTCCAATGTCGCGTCTCTGCCCAAAAGCAATGTTTCCCAGCTCCACTCCACCCTCTGAAGCGGCAATCATCAAATGACGCACATCTGCGACGTCGAAATCGGGTAGATCTTTCCATCCTCTAGTCCTAATGATCTCGACTAGGAACAACAAAATGATGACAATATTGACTACGAATACCGCAATGCTGTACTTCATCTCACCGACAGCCATGGCAGTCACCCGCAGTGTAGCGCTTGTGCTTTGAGTCAGATTGCCGACCATGAGCTGTGCCGCCGCATAGGCGCCCAGCATATCATCCGTCATGGCAGTAATGGAGTTTTCAACAGCAGCGAGGATAATTTTCGTCTCTGTCCAGTTGCTGGAATGACCCGGGGAGTCGGCATAGGTTCGGAAATCGGTGATGGAAGCATTGAATGCCGTCCCAACCGTTGAGATGTAAAGATTTGTCTCATCATTGGCAATCAGCTCAAATTGACGCAGTACGGTACCTTTGAGGCGTCTACTTGGATTTATATCTTTGACCGTCGTATCATTTGTGGCTTTGACGGTGATGTTTTGGCCCTGTAAATCCACCGTGACGTTGAATCGCGTTGGAACAAAGTCAATCTCGCACTGGATCTTGTCCAAAAATTTGTAGTTTGAGCCCGTCGCAAACGCCAAATATTTTCGAAGTGGATACTCATCAGCCGATTCATTGGCAAAATGAGAGACTCCAATAGAGACGATGCGGTCCATATCGTGGCCAATGTAATCTGAATATTCGGGTCCATTGTCACTGTCGGGTAGAGGTCCGCTCGCAGCGTACACCAAATCGACGACTGTTGGCGATAAGGAAAACTCGCTCGAAGTGTTGTAGATGCAGTTTGTATCGGCCTTGTATCCCACCTCTTGAAACGCATATCCGATCGCGAGCTTATTGCTAAGAATATCTTCGTCTGCCAATCCTGCTGACGAACCAATCCCGTAAGAGCGACCGATATACGTGAGTTTGGATCTGTCCATCTTTTGATGGACTCTGGTAGAGCCGTCGATAGTAGTCGCGGAGGAGGCGCTGGCGAGAAGACTTCCAAGTAGCTGATTGCCGACAGAATACGAAAACCGGCCCTTGAGATTTTGTATAGTGGCTCCTTCGCTACCAACCTCGGAAGGATACTCTTTGACGAGGGTGAAGTTCCCCCAGCTTGGAATAGCGACAGTGTGGTCGACGTCTTTCCATAGCTGGACCGGTGTAAGGGCAGCAGCCCAGAGCGCGGACAAGATCATTGTCAGGGCCACAAAGGCAGACAGAGGTAACAAAAAGCGAATTGGAAGACCGAGATCAATTCTTGGCTCCATGGCGTCAATCCAAGCCCTCAGAGTGTCTAGCTTTATGCTGCCGGCCGCGAGGTGCCTTCGGACTCCATAGTTGATGAGCCTGCATATCACCAAGACTTGGCAGAGCGAGAGTAAATTGGCAATCAGCTGCACAGCAAACTGTACGGACGGACGATTCGATTCGATGAAGTCGTGAAGAGAGCCTGAAAAAAGAATATTGTTAATCGACCAGTAGAGCAACACAGTGCTAATGGGCGTTGTCAAGAAGAGAGCTAAGAAATTGGCATGGCCGGAGGAGAAGAAGGTGAGGAATGCGCTGCTTGGCTTGGCGACAGTCATTCTGGCGGCGCAAATGGGAGAGCATTCATTTGGAGTAGATGGATAGGAAATGATGAGATGCGCACTCGTACTTCTTGGAGCTGCATGCCTGTATATATTTCCAGAGGGCTGCTGTATTTGGCCTGCAAATAGCCGCCCTGCGAAGCGCCTAGATGCTCCATCGTCATCTTTTAATAGGACAGCCTTGTTTGAGGGCACCCAACATGCATGTCCACCCCTGCAATTGTGCTCTGCTGTGCCTGGGCGGACAAATCACAGCAGAGCCTCGCCAGCACACTAGCAAGGTTCAACCCGCTATCTGGTAGGACAGAGAACGGCATCTTGTAGTAGGACAGAGAAATCAGTGGCCAAGTTCCACGCCCAGCTGGATGACGAAGTGAGGCGGGGTCCGAGCATCATCGCGGTTCCAAGGCTGCAAAGAAATCGGGTTGCCTGAACACAGAAGAGTCAGCTGTGCTCCTGTTAGCAACGTAGGAGAAATAAAAGAGACACCCACGTATGACACGGGCTTGATAATCTCCCAGGCTAAAACGATGCAATTGAGCAAGCCGAGCCGGAAGCCTTGACGGCACGATTGCTCGGAGGTTGCATTGCAGGCAAAAATCGTTTCAACGCATCAACGGTTGTTTCAATTCGTAACTGCATTCATCGCAGAATTTGGTGATCAAAGAAACAGGAGGATGAAATGAGCGTGCAAAGAGTGCCTTGTTATGATGATGAGTGTAGAGGAGAAATTCGGTGGGTGACGAAGAGAGGCATCGGGTGGGCAACCACGAATCGCTGATTACATAACCACAATTTTCGTGCACTCTCTCCCCTACAGATCTAGAGCTGAACACAAACAAAACATCTGCATTCAGATTAAACAAGGTAAAAAAGCTACTGTTACTATTGGATCCGTACATGGATATTCACCTTTACTACCGACTTATTACATTCAAAATCCCTAATTCCGAGGGTGAAGGACCATACGGTTACAGTCTCTCTCGGCCGTAAACATAAATAGGTAGGTACTCTTAATTATATCTTCATTTTCCTCCTCTACCTAGGTAGCATTTACATTGCTACATTGCTATACAAGAAGAAGTTACTGATACAAAATAAAATCGTCTACTCATAGCCAGAAAAATAAATACGACAAGCCATGCAACTGAAGATGACCCCTAACTGTGGCCACAGCAGCTAGGTCAAATGGGCCACTGACTTGTTCTCGCGCCGTGGTCCTTGTTAGGCAAGCTTAATTTCTCGTGATATGTTTATTGTTCGTTGAGCTAGTTTAAGGGAGCATTCCCCAGCTGCTAGCAGATGACTTTGAAGGATCTCGTGATACACATCCATAGATGGCTTGATACCTGGGCCGTGTCCACATTCAAGGAGTGCACACGTGGCTTTGTTCACTCCAAAGAATCTCATAAAATGCAGTCCAGTGAGTTTCTTTGGGCTTGCTTGACTGTAATTTACATCTGATAAGTATCTCCCAGCGGTCATCACTGGGAAAAGCTACCCCTCAAAGGCCCGCCACAATGAGATACGCCGAAAGCTTCAAGACAACCATTTCCACAAAGGCATATACACTTTTGTGCCGGGCCGATTTCTTGAAAAGTATTTAAAAAGAATAGAAAAAGAATAGCCAGTGCAGATCTTTGTTCTCTCGAATACCTAACCCCAAAACCCGAGTCATTTGGAGACAAATGTCAGCCATGGATATTTCTCCTGCACCACCTGCGTATTCCGCAGCTCCGATTATCGACCCATGTCGATGCACACATTATTCACCATGTGCTTGCCCTTCACTTCCGGAGCACGCGCAATGGCCTTTGCGAAGGCGAAGGGATGAATGGTCTCCAATGTGGCTGCAACAGCCCATCGACGACGAAGACCCTAATAAAATCATAGCCAAGATCATGAAGAAGGAGCGCTGGCGATATATGATGAAGGATATTAGAAATGCTTTTACGCACTTATTCTTCAATTCACAACGTTCTCATCAAGGACCACCCCCAGTACGGTCGTTCAGATGGTTGGTATCATGTCATTATTCTCCCGAGGACTATCAGTATGTGCGGACGCCCCCATGGCGAATGCTTGTGCGCCTATACTGCCACGACCTTCCCAAGGAGTTGAAAGATGAAAAGGACAGATGGTCGATGAGGTCGTGGCGAGACCATCCACCAAAAGTTTCGAATCAAATACGCGCCCGCGTAGAGTCAGATAATGCGCCTGCCGAAATAACATGCGGGCGACGATACGTCTTCTCGCTCATGTCTCCGGAAATGAGTCAATCTTTGGTGGGGGATTGGCTTGCTGTAGTCTACATTTGGGCTACAGATCGTAAGCGAGTAGAGAATACTGATGGAAGAGATTTGATTTCCCTCGGCAATCTCGTCGGGTAAGTGGTTGGATCCCATACGCTGCATCTAGCCTCCAATAATGCTCACACATTTTTGTGTTACTTTAGTATTCGTGCCTGGGAATGGGTCGATGCAGTTGACGCCCCTCATAAGACTCCCTATTTATTTTACGAACTCTCGCAAGAATCGGATCGTACGCTCAAGGATACAGTATTTGGTGGGCTGCCGTATGCAAATTATGATAGTCTTCCAATCCACCCGGAGGACCCTCTGCCGGCCAGACTTGCTGGATTACGGCGTTTGATGAACACGGAAGGAAGAGAGTTAGCGTCTGCGTATTACGATTAATTTGACATGCTTAGGATTGGTGCAGAGGAAGGGCTTTATTAGATTAAGCGATGCGTCGGCGCAATAGATCTCAGGCGTGGAAATTCCCTTCAATGTATGACAATATGTAGATGAAACAAGATGCAAGTCCCTCTTTTTGGCAACCACGCGACAGGATCTATTTCGATATGACTATGAGCACGCGCCCCAACCAAGCCGCTAATACAAAGCTCCAAGAGATGAAATCGGACTGGACTGAATGTCGCAATGGAAAATACACCCGCAAGAAGCATCGCAGGCGGGCCTCGGCCTCCCCAATAGACAAAGCCTTGGACTTTTCCGCCGGTGACGCCTTTGAGCGTTGTGACGTCGCCGTCGTGAATTTGCAAGACCAGCAAATAAATTGGGAGTGTCTTAAAATAGCAGCTGCGCATCGTACATATGGTGAGCAAAAAAACAGAGACAGAGAGCAGGAGGAAGGCCCTTTGGAAGCGATGGTAGATCAGGCAGGAGATCCCAAAACAAATTGACTTTAATACAAGATGATAAGGGAAAGTCATACCGAACCATTGAAGGATGATAAATACCAGTGAGCAGCCGAAAATTTTGACCCTTGGACTGAACATCAACATCAACATCAACACTAGTGGCGACATCAACATTCCGAGCACTGACGCCATCTTGCACCGAACATCGACATTTGTCACAGCAGCAGCAACAGCATCAACATATCAACAGCAGCAGCAACAACATCAACATTCACCAGAGCAGCAGCAACAGCAACAGCAACAGCAACAGCATCAGCGTAATGAGGTAAGTTATTCTATACTCATTCGACTTTACTACATTGATACGGTCCTATTCTTATTGTATTCGCGTTCTATATTTTTCTATCTCTATGTCTATTGTATTCCTGTTCTTACTTATTCCCGTCCTCTTTATCTTTATTCCTGTCTTTTCTTTTACTTATGTCTACCCCCATCCCCTTTCTATTCCCATTCCATTCTTATTCTTTTTGTGCCATATTATTGTTTTATTACTGCAAACTTATTCTGACTAATTAAATACTATAGCTATGAAAATCGAGTGTGGGGCTTTTCCTTATGGAATGAGTGGGACGAGGCTTCGAAGTAAATTTATAACTATTATTAATATATAACTATACTAACTTACTATATTCAGCCTCGAAACAGAAATCCTGGGGCGAATGAGCCCCCCTCCTCTCAGCTCCCATTCCGCCTCTCCCCCTCCTCCCAGCAACAATTCCTCCTCCCCACCACCATCCGCCGAAAATGTATAAGTGTGACGAACCGGTGCCTATATGTTAGTATAGGTTAGCTGTTCCTAAGGGACAAACCTTAGAGTAGTTCTATAGTTTATGTTAGCGGAGCGATTAGGTCGGTAACGGGCAATCTTATTACTAGCTGTGGAGAGAAGTGTCTGAGTGTTTAATCTAAATGCTATTATATTAATAACAACTGGCTATCTAAGTATTTTAATAAGTAATATAAAGTAAACTTATATATCTAGTTAATCTAGACTAGATTATTAAAGGATTTAATAATCCTACCTTAGATTATTAAAATTCCTAATAATCTAGCTTATAGATTATTAAATTATTAAATAATCTGATAATCTGTATTTAATTAGTTAGTTAGTCCGGTGTTTATTTATAACTGTTTAACCTATAGGCCTATTATTACAACTATAAAAGCTAGGTTGTAATATAATATCCCCCTCCTGTTAGTCTTATCCTTAAGACCTTACTATAAATAGTACATTCCCCACTTACTTATTAATAGGCGCTCTTTATCTAATATTTATTATTTTATACAGTAACTTACTTAACTATAATAGACTGTGTTTTTAAAACTTTATATCCTAAAACTTAGAAGCGGAAGAGTTTATTTAAATCTATTTTTAAAGGTACTAATAAAATAGATAAGCGTTATTCCTTCTATATTTTAAAGGGATTTAATAAGTATTTATTATCTTTAGATAATTCTTTATAATATTTAAATTATATATAACTAAATAAATTATACTATAACGTAAGAGGTCTAACTATTAATTAATTAGATTAGGTATTTACTTAATATTTCCGTTTAGAGGATAAGCTTAAATCTACTAAGGATACTTTAGCTAAGTTAGCTGTAAAGGTTTCTTAATTACGAAAATAAAAGAAAATTTAATATAAGCGAATACGTTATACTATTACATAGGGTATTACCGATTTAAATAAGTTAAATAAGGTTAAGTATAAGGAGGCGGAGGCTGCTTATTAGGCTGCTACAACGCAGTCGGTAAAGGGTTCTTCTAAAGTTATCCCCGCTTCTTTAAAACTAGTAGATTATTTAAGGATATTATTAATAGATCCTAAGCTAGTGCAATTCCTAGGCTTTAATAAAGTTTTTCCACTAGTGCTATTAAGTTCTTAAAATACTTAATAAGTTCTTATATTTCTTCTTTTTTTTCCCCTTTTTCTTATTATACCCTATAGCATTACTTACCGTCTTCTCCTGTCTTTATTACATTAATATCTTTTACCTTATATTCTTTTTCCTCTCCTTTAATAATAATTTCATCCTAAATAAACCTTCTAGTTTTTTTATTAATTTATACTTTTTCTAATAGAAAAATATAAAATATTAAATATATATATTTTCTGCGTTTTTCCTATTATTCTAGAAGTTTAAGTTTATAGTTTACTTCCCCAATTTTTCTTAAAATTTTATAAAGTCTAAGTTTTTTAAAATTAAGTTTATTACTTACCCTATTTATTTTAATATTTACTTATTTATTTCCTTATATATATTAGTATAACTAAACTATATCCCCTTCCTAAAGGGTTAGTCCTTTAATCCTATTTCTATCTATATATTTAATTATCCTTTATTAAACAAATTTAAATTATTATCGTAGTTTATTATATAATTTAATTATATCTTCTACTTTAATTATAGCTTTTTTAATATTTTCCTTTTACCTTAGCAGTTAGTAGGCTTTAGATTTAAATTTATAGTTTAGGAAGAATAGTAATTTACTAGTTAATTTTGATTTTATGCTATTATATGCAAGTTATATAACAGGGAGTAGTTCTACCTAATTATTTTATTTAAAATTAATATAATAGCGTAAATAGGTCTTAATTATTTAGTTAATTCTTTCCGTCTATCTATCTATTTATAAATAGTAGGCCGTGCTGGCCTTATAATTTATTCCTAGTCTAGCTGTAAGTATTTTCTAAAATTTAAATATAAATATATTTCCTTTATTAAAGATTATATCTCCTGGTAGTCTATGGCTGCTTATAACGTATTTTATTATTATATAGGCTAGTTCTTCTGCATTGCTGGCTTCTTTAAAGAGTATAAAGTAGGCTATTTTTATAAGTTTATTAACTATTATAAAGATACTATTGTAGAGTACCTTTGTAACTGGTTTTTTTAAAGAAGGTAGCTTAGTAATTAAATTAAATAAGATTAATTCCTATAGTTATTGTAGTATAGGTAATAGTTATAGTCGTCTATATGGTTTATATTTAGAACTTTTAGCTTATTTATATATTATATATTCTAATATAACCTTTTATACCTATTTTTTAATACCTTTAAATTTAAAGTATTATATAATTTATTATATAGTTTTTCTAATTCCACGGTATCCGTTAAGTTTATATACATATACTAATTTTACTACTTTATTTTATAAGTCTTCTAGTACTTAGATAAGTCTATCTAATATTAGGTATTTAATATTTATAAAAATACCTTTTAAGTATTATTTATTTTCCTAATTTTTAATATATTCCTTTATATTATTAATAATCAGGTTATTTATCTTAATTTAGTATAAGGTATTAATTAATTAAATAACTAGGTCTTTATACTAATTTTTCTCTAGTATTTATACCTTAACCTTTAGTATTTTTTAAAAGTAGTTTAGGCATTTATTAAATACGTTAGCGTATTTGTTATTTAATCCGCTATAGTATTTAATAATAAGCTTAAATTTAAAAAGTTACTTATAATACTTAACTTATCTACGGGATAGTTCTTATATTATTATAAAGTAAGTAATATTCCGGTAGTCCGTAAGGATTATTACTAAGAATCGGCTTCCTTTATAGTAATATCTTTAATATTATTTACTAAGCGCTTAATATATAGCTAGAAATTCCTTATTATAGATAAGGTATCTAAGTTTTAATTTATATAGTTTCTTAGAAAAATAGGTAATAGGCCTAAGTCTTTTCTTTTTTATATTATTTAGTTAGCTAAATACTCCTCTAATTACGTAATCTAAGGCGTTGGTTTTAATTGTAATAGGTTTATTTAGGTTAAATATTATAAGTACTAGTATACTTATAAGGGCTTATTTAAGGTAGTTAAAAGCTATTTAAGTATTTTATATAAGTTTAAATTTAACGTCTTTCTTTATTAAGTTTATAAGTAATATAGTAATTTTTAAGAAGTCCTTAATAAAGCATTAGTAGTAATTAATAAGTCCTAAGAAGCTTTATACCTACTTAACGTTTTATAGCAGTTCTTAATTATTAATTACCTTAAGTTTCTTAGGGTTTATTTAGACTTTGCCTAGGGTAATAATATATCCTAGGAATATAACCCTTTATATATAAAAGTTATATTTTTTAGGTTTTACTAGGAGTTTATTATTTTAGAGTATTTATAATACCTTTTTAATATATTTCTTATATTCTTCTAAGTTCTTAAAGTAAATAAGGATATTATTAAGGTATATAATAATAAAATAATCTACGTAGTTTTATAATATATAGTTAATTATTTTTTAGAATATTACTAGGGCGTTTATAAGTCTAAAAGGTATTACCTGGTATTTGTAAAGTTTATATTTAATACAGAAGGCGGTTTTCTATTTATTACCTTTTTTAATTTAAATAAGGTTATATACTCCTTTAAGGTTTAATAAAGTAAAGATATTAGCTTCTATAAGCCGATCTTTAATTTCCGAAATTAGGGGTAGCAGCGTAATATCTTTCT